CCACCCACCGACGCTCGACGACGAGACGCAGACGCGAAATCTCGACCCGCAGTGCTACCTGCATCCTAATTGCATCCTTTTTCACCACCACGCGCAAACGTGCCGCCGGCGTCTGTAGGTCACTGGACCTCAACAGATCTAACGCGGCGAAGCGCCGCTGCTCAGGGGGCCTGAACAGCAGCGCTCCGGCCCATCACCGCTCTTGCGCAAGCGCGAAAGCGGTGATGGCCGCTCAAACGAACGACAACGGAGCGCACTACCGGCGGGGTAGCAAGTGCCTGGACACAAGCCGACCGACCCACCGAGCAGCAGCGCCGACGCCTAACGGTGGCGACCGCACGAGCGCCTTGGCTCCCGACATCCTACTGCACACTATCACAACCGCGCACGAACTGGCGCTTACCCTGTCAGACCTGTGACTGCAAACAAGCAGACTTCAACCTGCAAACTGGCTACAGAGCCTACCAACCCGAACCCCCCCGCAACCTGCATACTGCCAACGGCGTAAACAGGGGAGGAACGACATCTGCTGTGGGCACGGACGATGAGACCGCGAGGACAAGAAAAAAGCAACGCGAGGTCGCGATTTCAAGTCCCAGCTACCCGTCTATTTCTACTACTACAGGCGCGCACGGAGCGCGGCATACATTTTTGGCAGGATGCGAGCGTTTTCCATGCGTCGCGGCAAAAGAACCGCTGGACTCGTCCCTCGCCAGTCATAAGATCAGTAGCTTCTATCTTGGAGCAGCCTTTTCAAGTGCAAGTGCCCTGGGTCGATGACCGCACTTATTATATTACAGGCACCTAGGAAGCCTCGATCCGCGCGGATCCAGGCCGCCGATGGCTCGTAAGCCCGGCGCGCCACAGCTGGCGCAGCGACGCGCTCCTTTTGGCGCGTTCTATCTTCTTTTGGGCGCCGTCCGTAAGCGGCGAACCGGGTAGACTGGCTGGGCGGCGCTGCCATCGGCCCGCCCGGAGACCCTGCCGCTAGCAGCCACGCAGCAATGTGATTCCTATAGGCACGGGAGTCCGCCGCGCGGCGCTTCCTGTTTCAGAAAGCGCAAGGGCCTCCGAAGCGGCCGCGCGTTTTACCACTGCTGCCCTAGTTTCGCGAATTCGGGGCGGGCCGGGGGGCCGGAGGAAGGCCGCGAAGCGCCGCGACCCCTTGCGCCGCGGCCGCCGGCGAAAAAGTGCGCGCCCCCCACTTTTCGTGTCGCTCGTGCGCACCACGCAACGCCACCCGCCCGGGTGGGCGAAAGCGTCCGCCACATGAGACCGCACGGCCGAAGCAGCCGCGGACCTGCAAAAGCCCGCCGGGGGTTTACAGAAACTTTAAGGAAGAGAGCGCACTTCACCCCTGCACGATCGCTGAGCGGGCATTGTGTTACTGACGGGTCTTTTCCTCCGGCGAGGTGCACTCCGCAAGCCCCGAGGAAGTCCGGCCCCGAATTCTCACTCTGCGTGTGCAGGCCGCGCACGTATAACCTAGTCGGGCACACCCGGGTTGGTCCACTCTGTGCCACAAAGAGCACTTATTCTTGTGCCCGCCATTTGCCACGCGTTCATGCAAAAGCGATACTAGATTACACTGCGGCATCAACTAGAGAGCAAAGTTCGTTTACCTCATATTCGTTTTCGTGGGAAGAGAGTTGCATCCTTCTCGCTATCGTGAAATCGTCGTCGTGCCACTGCATCGGTTCCGGACCTAAGATGTCTTTTCGCCACTTCTTTCGTACAGGGTAGGGAGGCTATCAATCTCGTCAACTTCTTTTGTTCGTGACCTTGATTGTGAAATCAAAATCCTTTTTAGTTAAGTTTTTTTTTCCGCGTTATTCGTATTCCGCGACAACCAATACAACTTTCGCACCTTTAAAACTTGTTCGCAAAAGCGGTTCGCTGCTGCTACTTTTGTGGATCGAAAAATTTCCGCTCCAAGAAGCGACCTCTACGTCGTCTACAGGTGTTGAGCACTGTACTTTATTCGCTGCGCCGAATCTGGACATTCTGGGAAAGATGCTGTCGAGTAGTTCCGCCGGAGCTACGTCTTCCCGTGCCGCGCTGAAGCGGCTGATGCGGGACTTGCAGGAACTGCAGAAGAATCCCGTGGAGGGTGTGCAGGTGGCCCCGCTGGAAAACGACATGTTCGTGTGGCACGCGAGCATTCGGCCGAGCAAGGGCTGCTGCTTCTACGGGTTGGATTTTCACTTCGTCATGAAGTTCCCGGCCGACTACCCGGCCAACCCGCCCAAGGTGAAGAACGTGACGTTTTTGCCGCACCCCAACGTGTTCCCCACCTACATCTGCTTGGACATGCTCAACGGGGGGTCCAACCCGCACGAGGGCTGGAGTGCGGCGTACACCGTGTCCAGTCTGTGCACCAACCTGTCCTGCTTCCTGTTCGACACATTCGCGCACGACGAGAGCGGCAAGGTGCGCAACGTGCTCTGGGAGTCCTACGAGAAGAAACTGACGCAGCCGCAGGTGATCACGAACTTCATGCAGGCCCAAACCGAGTCCGTGGCGTTTGACTGCGCGCGCGTGCTGCAGACGAGTGTTAAGTACCGCGACGGAAGTATCGTGGACGACGACAACAACTCTGCGCAGGCGCGGGACCAACAACCTGAGCGCGGTTTCCGCTGGCCGGACCAACTGCCGCAGCCGGACGACTTGCACAAGGCGATGACTTGCCCCTGCTGCGATCATGCGGACAAGGCGGTGAACAACCCGACCAAGAGCAGCCAGGCTCTCCGCGTTCCGGGCATTCTGCTCGAGGGCGACTTGGTCTACCTGAAGCAAAGCAAGTACCTCTACCGCGTCTGTCACGCGCTGAACAACCCGAACCACATGCACGACGTGGAAACCCCGCACGGCTACCAGGTCCGCGCCAGCGCCGCCGGGCTGTGCACCTCGAAGGCGTCCGCGCATTTGACGACGGCTACCGACAAGTACAGCGAGTGCCTGCGGAAATCATGGATGACCTTCCGTGACCGCACGGGCATGTTGCTGTGCCAGGCGGGTTTGTTGACCTTAGAGAAGGTCGGGGAGGAGAGCGGCCTACCGGTTTTGAAGTCGTTGCCGTCGTTGACCACGGCGATCGCGTCGTTTTCGATGTCCTCGTCCTCGCAATCGTCTTCCTCATCCTCGGGCGACGAACAGAAAAAACTTGGAAATAAGGAGAGTACTTCTAACCCGAATGGCGAGGAGCAACAACTGGGTAGCAGCTCCAGTGCGGCGTTTCCCGCGAGCGCGTTCTCTTTGTCGGCCGGCGCGAAGAAGAAAACTAAGACCACGAAGGGCGGCGTGAAGAAGGGCGAGACGAAGCTTGCGGCCACGCCCGCCGCGAAGAATAAAGGGAAAAATAATGCCAAAGGCGGGAACAAGAAGAAACAGGAACAAGAGAAGGTGGAGGAACAATGCACGTCTTTTCTCAAAATGAAAACCGCCCCCTCGCCTCCCGCAACCTCGACCCGACAACAAGTGTTGGCGGTGTTTGCCAACGAGCTGCGAGACAAGCCGTGGTTCCACCCGGAAAAGACGGCGGTCGTGTTTGTGGACGAGAGTAAGATGAAAGAAGATTTGCTCAACGCGTTCACCAAATTGGAAATCAACGGCAAGCGCGACTCCACCGCGGTCCAGGCCTCCCGGCGGCCCACGCTCGCCTCCGCGAACGCTATCCCACAGAAAAAAACTAGCATAGAATGGTGGATTTTTCGCAAAAGTAGACACTTACGCAGAAAATTCCCGCGCGCCCTGGCACGACTTTTCCTTAAGTCGTTCGAACGACTTAAGCGCGGGCGGTGCGCGTAAACGGTGTTTTCTTAAGTCGTGCGAACTACTTAAGCGTGAGCGGTGCGCGTAAACGGGGTTCCCTTAAGTCGTTCGAACGACTTAAGCGCGGGCCGTGCGCGCAAACGGCTTTCCCTTAAGTCGTGCGAACTACTTAAGCGTGAGCGGTGCGCGCAAACGGCATTCCCTTAAGTCGTGCGAACTACTTAAGCGTGGGCGTTGCGCGTACACGGCATTCCCTGAAGTCGTGCGAACTCCTTAAGCGGTGCGCGTCAACGGCTTTCGCTTGTTAGGTGGTGCGGTGCGAACTACTTAAGCGTGAGCGGGGCGCGCAAACGGCTTTCCCTTAAGTCGTGCGAACTACTTAAGCGTGAGCGGTGCGCGAAAACGGCATTCCCTTAAGTCGTTCGAACGACTTAAGCGTGAGCGGGGCGCGCAGACTGCATTCCCTTAAGTCGTGCGAACTACTTGAGCGTGGGCGGTGCGCGTCCACGGCATTCCCTTAAGTCGTGCGAACTACTTAAGCGGTGCGCGTCAACGGCTGTCGCTTAGGTCGTGCGAACTACTTAAGCGTCGGCAGCGCGCGTACACACCTCTCCCTTAAGTCGTGCGAACGACTTAAGCGTGAGCGGCGCGCATGAGCGACTTTTCCTTGAACATAGGTCTACCAGTGACACACTTTTCCGGTAATTTTGTTTTTGCATTTACAAGACTCTTATCCCGTGCCGGCTTTTTTCTGTGTGATAAACGCCACCCCGGTGAAAACTGTGAGTCCTGCGACCTTCGTGAACAATTTTCTGGCGGAGTATGAGAAGAAAAGCAAGAAGGACCCTGTTGAGCCAAAGACGGAATTGAAAAAGAAAGAACAAGAGGGGGCTCCTCGTACAATCAAGACCAAAACCACCGTCGCTGAGATCGCGGAGGCGACGAAAAAAGCCCTGCTCAGCTGCGCCAAGAACGATCGTGGTCGGGACGGGATGGGCAACCGCCGGGAGCCGGTGCCCATGTGCATCCAGTGCGGGCACAAGACGAAATTCTACCCGACCGCCCGCCCCTGGGCTGCCTGCGACATTTGCGGAGAAGAAGCCCCGGCCGGGGCGTCGGTGCCGTTTTTCGCGTGCACCCGGGCCTTGAACTATGAGGAGCGGCACCGTATCGGATTTGACCGGTGCGATTTTCTCGTCTGCAAAAAGTGCGAAAATGCGGATTGTCTGATGAAATCCGGTTGTGGAGACAACAAGCCGGACGTTGCCATGATCCGCGACGCGCTGCTCCCGCTGATATCAAATGTAAAAATGTCCGGGTCTGGAAAAGTGTAGACTTGGCATGCAGATTTTCCATGACCCATGAGGTCTGGAATGCGAGACTTAGCATGACAGACTCTGCGAGGTCTCTGCCATGCCTATCCTGCACGAGAAACTTCCTTCCAACTTGGTCAAAAGTGTACCGCTTTTGACACTCATGCAACACAGATTTTTGCATGCTTCAGATTTACCATGACAAGTTGCAACTTTCCAGACCCAGACATTTTCGCAATCCATAGCTGATGCTGTACGACGAAACAGAGCGCAACGCGGAGTCCGAAAAACACTTGGTGATTTCCATCGACAGCATCGTGCAAGAGGGAGAAGAAATCCCGTGGTACACGCCGTATTGCTCGTGGGAGGAAACGCAGAAGAAAGCGGAGGAGCTCGCTCGAAAGCGGGAACAGGAGCGGGAGACGGCGGAGAGCAGCAAGAAACTGACTGAAAAGGAGAAGGAGGTCGAGGACTTGCTAGAAAAGTTCAAGTCTGTCCCCCCGGTTTTCAAAAAGCGGTTGATCCCGTTAAATGACGAGCACAAAAAACTGGTTCTGGTCGGCGGAGGTGGTGGAAATCAAAATGGAGCAGGTACAACTACTGCGAAACAAACCGACAACCGTCCGACCGTCCAAGACTTCGACATTCTCTTCGACGAGACCAAAATCACGTTCCAGACCGTGCACGGGAAGAGCGGGAGGCTGCTGAGCGAATTGAGTAACCCGGAGTTGGTCACCCGAATTTTTGAGTTTTTGGATTTGAACGCGTTAAACAAGATATCGGTTTTGTCTCGCTCGTTCCGCGACTACACGAAGGTGTTTAAAGCGATGTTCTTGTCGTCGCAAAACGGCCGTTGCTGCTTTTTTACGAAGTCCGTCGCGGTGGATGACGCGAGCAAACTTGTGTTTGGCGATGAGGATGTTGACATCGAAATCGCGAAAAAGCCATCCTCTACTTCCAGCTCCCAGCCGAACAGGAACACCGGTGCTGGTAACAACCGTGATGCAAACCGTACGGCGCGGCAATCTGGTGGTCCCGGCAATAACAACAGCAATCAACGACCCCGAGAGGTGGCCAGATTTCATTCCTTCGACTCCGACAGTGATATTGTGGAGGAATATGTCGAACCGACAGCACAGCGGGTCGGGAATAACAGCGGCCGCCAGCAAAATGATTTTCAAAGCAATCATGCCAACGTCCGCGAGCAGTTGCTGGAGCGCACCACGTTTCAGGACATGATGCATTCCTACTCCAACTGGAATGTTAACAATGCGAACAGCGGGAGCAGTAACAACGGTGAGGGAATAGACAATCATCCCGGGCCCAAGCAACCCGCGGAAAACGCAATCGGCTGGTTTTCCGAACAGTTGATCAACATATGACAGTGCACAACTCCCCCGCCCCCGCATTTGTCATGCGAAATACCTAATCCACCCTTTGCCACGTGGCACTGCTTGCATGACAAGTTCTGGTAGCCCAAATAGCACTTTGCTATGCAAAACCGGCATTTCTTACGGGTGCTTGTATTGCCGTTCACGCTATACAAATGAGGGGGAGGGGGGGTTGTGCAGTGTTATACAACAGCGTGAACATGCACAAGGAGGGCCTGCTGGGCGTGTGCCTCGCGCTGCAGCAGAACGCGGACAAGCGGAACTTGATGGAACTGATATGAATTGCAAAAGCATCGTACTAGTATGAATTGCGTTACAAATTTCCTCAGCGTGATAAATGGAATTTATAATGCTGATTGACCTTAAAAAAGAATTGTAATGCATGACTGCAATTACTACGAGTGCAATACTTTTACTTTTGCACTGGATAACTGAGCTGCAACTACGATTTGCTGAACCTGAAATCCTTCCGGGATCTGAAAGTACGGGAGACGGTGTGGAAGGAGGAGTTCCACTTCTGGCTTCCCATCGCGCACAACCAGTACCACTTCACGCAGTCTTTGCCTTTATTGTTCGAGGGGCTGGAAATTCTGAACAGTGATTACTTGGCGAACGTGACGCAGTCACACGGCAATTTGAAGAAGAGTCTCCCGATCGTGCGGCAACTGACGGAGAGTGGGGAAGTGGAAAACAAACCCGCGGACATGGATTCGGTGTTCTCGGAGCTGCTGGAAGAGTACGGACCGGAGTGCACGCAATCCAAGGAAGTCTTCTACAACCTCCAAGAGTTCCAGGTCGGCAAGGAGAAGCAGAACAAGCCGAAGAAGCCGGTCACATGGGCCAAGGTGATGAACAGCAAGCGGCTCGTATTCTGAGTAAAAACCTCCCCACCCCAGAGTTGTCATGCAAATCTGCATGCCAAGAACGTTGGTTTGTCATGCGGAGCACCATGAGAGGCATTTTTTTTTCGTGTTTTGGAATTTGTGATGCTATAATCAGCATGATATACGAGATCTGTGATGCTGCTGAACTACCTAAACAGGAATACACTACGAGGACAAGCTTGTCATGCCAAACTACCAAAGCCGGCTGATTTGTCTAGCAGATTTCCCATCTTGACTCTGGTGTGCGGACGTTTTTACAAACGATAGCTCGTGTCCTACCGCGAATGGACCTTCTGCCGAAGCTTGATCCTCGACGAGTCGGTGTCCATTAAAGACTGCGTATCAAACAGAAAAATCCCCCCTCCCCATATCGAAATGGAAATCTGTGATGCAGGATTTGAGGCACCAAATCGACTTGTCATGCTAGAAGGCCAAGAGCCGCAGTCGTGGTCTCGTTTGCAGGCAATTTGTCATGCTGTTTCCCACTCTCAGCTGCCTCCTATCATGCTGAAGATGCAAGGCTCCCCACGCCACCCAGCACTACAGTCCGCATCTTTTCCCGTGTAGCATGACAAAGCTGATTTGTGACAACAAATCTGCATCACAGATTTCCGTTTTGATATGGGGAGGGGGGATTTTTCCTTTTGATACTGCGAGAGGCTGATCGCAAAGGTTGCGAAATCTGGCCTCGGATACACGCGAACCTCGGCCGAATCGGGATCCTTGCTATTCTGCGAGTCGGACGAGGACAATTTGATTACGGAGGAAATGTTTCCAACAATTAGTGCAGACCAACAACAAGACGACCTGCAGATGAATCCGCAGCAGCAGAACCGCACCAGACGTGGTCGGTTTTACACGGATTTGTTGTCGGATAGCACTTCTTCCCGGGAGCCTCAGATTTTCGCGGACGATCCGGTCACGGACAAACACGTGCGACAAGCGATCCTGTCCTCCCACGCCCCGGATCCGAGTCGGTTGAGCGAGCCGGAGCAGCGGCAGCGGGCGAAAATTCTGCGGACCACAACTTTGCCGCTGTCCCTGGTGAAGGACGTGCTGTCCTTCTACCCCAAAATGCTGAACGTGCAGATGAAGAACGTGTTTGGCGGGCAGGTGCACGCGAGCGCGAAGACGTTGGAGGGCTACTGCGGGTTTCACCACCAATTTCTCTTACTGTGCGAGGACTTCCCGGTGATCCGCGAGGCGGTGGAGAACAAAATCGCGACCTTCGTCGGCGACGAGCACGAGCGGACCAAGTACAAAACGCCGAACATGGGCGAGTTTCTGTGTCTGCTCGCGGTGTCCGACAAGTACCGGTGGGAACACGTTGCGGAAGCCGCGCTGTTCGAGTCCTGGGACCGCCGCACGTTCTGGGTGACGGTGAAGGAAAACATGAGCGGAAACCCGAACCTGCAGGATTGCGGGAAGCTGGGGAAGGACTTGGCGCACTGGTTCTTCACACCGCACAACCCAGTGGGGAACCGGACTTGGCTGTTCAACCACTGGTTCCTGAACATCGTCGCGCAACAAACCCACAAGCACAGCAAACTCGCAACTGGGGATAATGTTCATCTTGCGGGTGGTCGTGCTGCGGGTGATCCCTCGTCAACATCTGCTCTTAATATTAATCATGCGAAATTCTGCAAGAACACGTCTTCGGTGTTGAAAATCTACGAGCGGACCAAGGGCATTCCGAGCAGTAAGTTAATTGAACAGCTCCAAGACGCAATGTTTTTCTTCTGCAACCACGTGAACGACTGGAACTCGTTCTTCTGCGCGGCGGGCTTCTATCCCATCAGCAACAAGCCGGTCGAGCCGGTTCCGGGCACCGCGCGGGCGCCGACATTGCTGGACGAAGTTTTCGGGGACGCGATCGAAAACAGCTTCCGCAAGGGCTACACGCGGCAGCTGTTGGTTGATGGAAAACTGCACTACGAGAAGGATCGCGCGTCCTACAAGTACCCGCGCCGGCTGGAAAATTTGAAGCTCGCGGCAAGAGACGAGGCTTTGACCAGTAACGTGCTGATCGGGTTCGAGAGTGACAGTTACAAGCGGAATAATGGGAATAGTAGCTATGTGGATCGGAACAACACTTATTCATATGCTCGGGATAATCACCACCACAACTCGTACCGCGGGTCAAGCGGGGGCGGTGTCAAGCGCGGGCGCGACGAGGACGAGCACTACTCGTATAACCGCAGCTCCAATAATTATCGGGAGAATGACCGCGATTACGACCGAAACACGCGGCAGCGTACGGAGCGTGGATACAACAGTACAAGTGGTGGTGGTCGTGGGTACAGCTATGGTGATCGCGGTAACTACGACCGTAGCTCGCGTGAGCACCGCGACGAGCACCGACACTACAATGACAGACACTCGGACCACCGAAACAACTACCAGTATGACCGCCACGGAACCTCGGCCGCGTCGAGCAGTCATGCCTACCGTGCTGATACTCAGCCGTGTTACGGAGCGTACGGGCGCGGGCCGTACGACTACTACCGCGCGATTCAGCGGGATTCCCGTACCGTCACCAATAACTACGGGTACGTCAACACGGTGCGCGGTGGGACGCCGACCGGCGTGCACGCCTACTACGACACGCGCGCCGGAGTCGCCGGGGCGAGTTCCTCAAGTGCGGTGCACCATCCGCAAGTGGTCCATCATACGCAAGCGGTGTATCAACAGCCCGCGGTCTCGTCGAGCCAGGTGGCCTATCCACCGTTACGACCGGTCTTTGGCTGGGGACCACCGTACTAACCGGGGGTCGTCGCACCCGCAAAACTCTTGAGTATCGGGACCACCACAGTCGATTGGAATCTTCTTCCTTATTGTCTGAAGGTGCATAATTCTCGCCCTTGATTTAAGCCAGTTTCTCTCTCTTTGTGTGTAATGGTGACTTTTTACGTGCGCTATGGGTTCAACAATCGACTCCTGTACACAAATTTTGCAAAATTGTAATGTGATTTCACTAGTAGCTCTAGTTCTAAAAGTATGCAAAAGGACGAGCCGACTCTTCTGTTGATTTGTGGGGCCTGCAAAAGGAATAGTTGACGGGTTTTCAATCATCTTTGTTGGCTTTTCGCTGGGCTGGGCGTCTCTCATTAATGCGTAGTATGTCGTGGGTATCTTTTTTGCAAAGTTCAAAGAACGTACGAGCACAGATAGAAAGTGAGATGCAGACTCGAGTAGCTGAAATTTAGGATTTTTTACCACGTTGGAAAAATGACTCTCGCACAATGCTCAACAATGCGTAAAGATGTATGTGTACTTGCTTGACGTAATTTACTATGTGACGACAAATGGTTCCCGCTTGATATTGGCATTTATTTCTTACCACGACGGCACAAATTTGCACAGTAGCCGCTTTGAGACGTAAAAAACAAACACAGTCTATGTTGTCGCTGACAGTACTTATTCAGTTTTAGAAAACAAAAACTTCTGGCAGTTCGCCGGTCGTAATTCTCGTAAATTTTTACCGTTTCAAACATTTTTGGCAATTTAACAGTTTACAACTCTACGAAGTTCTCTCTTCACTGAATCTATTTTCTTGCCGCTTCAATGCGGAATTTGAATTTCTTTACCAAGTATCACTCCGATATTTTTTCTGTACGATAGATTCTTTTGTTTTCATTCTATTTTCAAATTTTGTTTTCTTTGGAATTCCGTACGCTCAAAACTATTTTCCTTTGGACAAAAAGTTGCAAAAAAATCCAAAAAATCAAATCCCGACCGCTAGCGGCGCTGCGGCAGCACTGAGACTCGGACTTAAAGCTTGCCGGTCGCCGCTGCGAAAAGTTTATCGCGGTGGGGTGGAACCCAACCTCTGATCTTGAAATCGGTCGTGATGAGAAAATCGCAAAAGTGAGATCCGTCGACAAGAAAAAAAAAAGATCCCTTTAGATGTGAGCTGCAGAAGATCTTCGGATCTATTGTCCGCTGCACTTCGTCCGAAATTGATGGATCTCGATCCAGTTCTTTGAGCAAACGTAAAAGTCAAATAGTAATTTGTGATCGTGAATGCAAGGAGCTTGGAGCATGAGGATCCGTTTCTGGAAGTTCACCGCCCTGTACAGCGGGCAGATCTCAGGAAATCTCACCGTCTAGCTGATCGTCATCTTAGTGTGATGTTGTGTCGAAGTGTAGTCCGCCTTCTCTACTACGCTCAAGGATACAGGTACAGGACACTGATGTAGAGATGTTTCTATCTAAGTGCTTCGCAATAGTGATTTTCTCTATGCAGTGTATCTGGCCGCGCTGTGGTTTAGCTCTCAACTAGAAATCTTATTTGTGTAGTTTGTTTTTACAATTAAACCTACGCGGGCTACGAATTGTTGATTTTCGTTTTCCCTTCACAAAGACAAATTAGCACCCTTTCGTTCTTGCATCAGAGGACAAAATGGACGAAAATTTCTTGGATCATTTCCACCAGCTCGCGACGACGGTGCCGGAGCCACGATGCAGAGCGGGATTTCAGATCGTATTTTATTAGACTTCAAAATGATGAAAATGAAAAATGCATCCCTGCATGACAAAATTTTTTACCAACTTCCTTTTGCATCAAAAATTGTTCATCTTTCAAATATTCACAAACAGATCCACCGCATGGAGCGCGACGAGAAAAAAGCCGAATACGCGCTCACTCGTCTGGTTCGCGGTCTGGTTTCCGCAAATGGCGCCGCACGACAGGGATTCGCGACAACGTTGGCTGAGTTGCTCGCCCGGCACCCTGAGCAGATTAGCGACACTTTGGCCCTGGCGGAGCAACAGTAAATACGATTTGATTTCAAGAAAAGGTTTCGCTTTTGTAGTTCAGTGGCACACAAAGAACAGTTCGTTTTGCAATTTCTCATTTTTCAAAAAAAAGAAAATCCTTTCCACAACCTCAATCCGCAGGTTCCGCAAGGACAACGATGCAGTTGCGGCATCCGACCGGGACGTCTTGCTTGGCCGGTTGTGCCTTTACAAGGCAGTTCTGAGTGTCGACGCGGAGCTGAGCAGCAAAATCGAGCTCAAGGTTGTTTCCGGTTTACGGGAACTGTTTCACGCGAAATCCTACCTGCAGGCACCGGCAACCCGAACGTTGCTGAGTTACTTAGAAAATATCAACCAAGATAAAACTAGCAAAGCCGACCGTGTCGCCGCCTTGGCCCGGTTTTTCATCGTCAACGGCGAGAAAGAATTGCTCCTTTCTGAAGGAAAAGCAAAGCCTTTACTCGCGGGGGAAGTGAAGAACATGCACCACATGGGACTGGTTCTGGCGCTGAGAAATGCTGGTGGGAAAAGCAAGAACCCATTAAAGCAGAAGTTGCCGAACGTAGCCGAGAAGGGGAAGAACCTGAACAGTTTGCTGCACTACTTGGTGCAGTATCTGAAGCCGAACAAGGAAAATTACACCGACTACCAGCCCTGGTTCTTCGAATTTCTCTTGCAGGAGTTGTATCCGATAGTAGCGGCCGAAGGAACATCAGACCAGAATCTTGCAGCGGCGGATAACATCAAAGCGACCTACTTCACGGAAGCGGAGCAGGTCAGCAACTTGCTCTTCGATGCCATTTCCAAAGCGCTGCACACGACGGCGATCATTTCCCAACAAGACCAGCAGGAAACTACAAATGAGAAAAGCAACAAAAACAACAAAATCCACGCGAAGCAGCACAAGGAGCGACTGACCCAGTCGGAGCACGTGACGAAAAAGTGTCTTGCTCTGCTCCAACTTTCCCTCGAACACCTGAAATCCGCGACCGCCGGCGCCGCCGCGCTTCCCGCACTGTGGAAGTCCTGCTTGGTGCAGGCGTTTTGCGCCTCGCTAGCGAGCGCGAGCAACAAAAAGCAAACCAAGAACGAGGCGAACGAAATTTTGGAAAAAACGGTTCGGAAGTGCTTTGTGGCAACTGGAGAGGAAAAGAACAGTTTCGCCTGCGCGGATCTGGAGCTGAAGGACAAATATTTCTACCAGGCGTACGAAAATTTGGTGAGACTCCAAGAGTACAAGCAGCTGCCCCCCCGACTGCAGCGCAGCTTGCTGTCCCTGTTGGTTTCTCGGCTCTCCGTGGAGAAGGCGAACTTAGTTGCGGTGAAGGTCTTGAACGTGCAGAACAGTGTCAGTAGTACCAAGCTAGCGTCAGCTGGTTCCGCACCGACACATCTCCACTTCCTCGAACCAGAATTGATCCACGCGCTCACCGCGCACCCGAAGGCTTCTCGGCACGTGCAATTGGCGAGCTTGGCGGCGTTTTTGCTCCACTTCGCGAACCCAACTGCGGACGCGAAGAGGGAAGCACAGAAAGTGCTGGACAGCACTTCGGTAGGTGCGGAAAACAAGAACGGTAGTAGTATCCAACTGGCAGCAATGGTTATCGCCGGACAAAAAGTGCCAGAAGAAAAGCAGAAGGTGTGGCGCGCGCAGTTCTGGAAGCTGCTGAATTCGGTATTGAAAAAGTGCAGCAAAGTACAGGACCGCTTGCTAATCCTCCGCTTTGTGTACTTGTTCCGGACAGAGAAGTCACTTCCCAACATCCCGGAAAGCGTCCAACTGCTCGACCGGGAAATGAGCGACGGCGCGGGGTCCACTGCTTCTTCGGCGAGCACCGGCTCTTTGCTGCAGCTGATGCTGTCCGTGCAGTGCGTGCAGGGACTGGAGGAGGGAAGTAGGGAGAAAATGGAAGAAACGCTGGAACAATTAGGCAGTTTGGTCACCTTTTCACCACCAGCAGGGAAAAAGCAGAAGAAAAACAAGGACTCGAACAACAGTAAATCTACTTCTACCTCCCAGAGCTGCGCTTCTGTGGACGCCGCGGGCGTGGCGGAGTTTCTGCCGCAGTTGTATGCGGACATGCAGGGCTTTGTGAAGGAAGCCGTCGAGCGCTGTTGGACGGACATTCTGCCCCCGCTTTTCCAAGATTTCGATAATGAGGTACTATTATAAATAAAGATTCTCTTTATTTCCTTCTATTTCTCGTGATTTGCTTCGTAAATTCCTAGACCATAACGGATACTTCGGAAACAAATTGCATACCGATCACATCACAAAAAATTCTGACAGGCCGATCCCGCGATGGCAGAGGAGTTAAAAACCGCGGTGAAATACGTTTCCAGCGACAGCGTCGCCCGGTCCCGGGGGATGATGATGTTACTGGCATTATGCGGAACTCTGTTCGACGAGCAGGTTCAACAGGAGGACGAGGATGCCGAGGGATCCGATGTTGGCAGCGACGACGAGGATGTGGAGGTCGGGAACAAAGAAGTATCGGAGGACGATAATGACGGGGAAGATGATGATGATGAGCACGCGGATGAAAATCAAAAGGTTAAATCATCAGACCGACAGCTAGAGGACAGTTCCACTGCAGCTGGAGTTCCTTCATCCACTGGTGCTCCACCAACAACCTCGACCACCGCGAACCCCTTTGAAGAAATAGCGGTGGCGGATGAGGAGCAGCTCCTCACGATCCTCACGGAGGACGACGCAAACGAGGAGATGAAGCAGCTGGGGCAAGCCTTCGGTGTGAACAACGAAACCAACCCGAAGATGGCGGACCAGCACCGGCGGCAGCAGGAATTGAAGAGTCACTTGGCAAACATCGTGAAGCAGATCAAATATCTCGATTTGCTGCAGGGCTATTTGGACTTCGCGGTTTGTTCGGGAAGTTCGAGTTCCAGTGGCAGCAGCGGTGGTAAAGCTATTGACACGGAGTTGCCGCTGTTCGCGTTGGACATTCTGCAGCAGCTTTTTGACGCGTTGAAGGTGGCGAGCAAACGGTGCGCGAAGCTGACCAGCGGGAAGGGTCAGCAGCACAACGTAAACGCCGAGTGCACGAGCAAGTTGCGAGACATCGTGCGGAAGAACTGCGAGAAGGTGCTCCGGAAGGTGCCAGAGAGCTTGCGAAAAAACTTCGGGGAGCACGTGGTGTCGGTGTGTCAGCACCAAAGGAAGAAGCTCCCCGCGCTCTTCGAAGCGGGAGGAATCGCTGCGGTCAGTGCATTGGCGGGAGCGGAAGGGGGAGCTGTTTCTGCTGCTGGAGGATCGTCTTCCTCGTCGAGCTGTACTAGCGGGGACAATACCTCAGCTGCCCGAAGCACAGCAAGGCTGCAAGGAACGGTTGTGAAAGGTACTTCATTGCTTTTTTTTGTTGCTCATCTTTAGGCATGCGCATCGTATCTGTTTTTACTGTGTACTATTGCTGTTCTGTGGGCAGCGCGAGTCCTCGACTGATTCTGGCAGGCAAGAATTATGAAACAACTAGCGTCCCGGTTTGTCCTCGCACTCAGGGAATGTCTTGAGCATTTTTTTCCAAAATCTTCAACCTAAAACCCCATTCCAGACACCCTGCTTCACTGGATCAAGAAGGACGACACGAAGTGGGCGCCAACGTTCCTGAAAGCCGTAAGCGACCGGTTTCCCGCGACGTTTGTGGACTTTGATTTCGAAGATTTATTCAAAACCGAGGGCGCAAAGCCGTACTGCAAAAACGAGATTCGCAGCTTCCTGGTGCACCTATTGCAGCGAAATTACAAGAACATGGTATAGAGGTTGTGATTTTAGTGTTTTTTTTTGTGTCTGTAGTGGTTTCAATCTTTCTCAGCACCTTGCCGTAGTGGAGCTTGGTTTCTCTCCACGAGTTTTGGTAGTAGCACTTGCAAGCGGTCTCAGCATGGCAAATCTTTTGTGCGACATCATCCCAGGTTCTCCTACGAAAAACCGACACCCTCGTCCACCTCTGCCTGGACGCAATGGACAACAAGAAAACCGCGGAATTAGCCGGGAAAGACTTACTGCACATCCTTGAATGCTGTCTGAAGTCCCCAGCGACAGTGGGAATTATGGAGAAGCAGCGAATAGAGGAACGCACGGCGGGATTGAGGCAGCAGCTGCAGGATAAGAATTTGAAGAACAAGGTGTACAAGATGCTGTGCCAAGCGGAGAAGTTAATTGCCAAGCTTCCAGAATACCAGGTCAAGCCTGTAGCGACACCTTCCACGACGGCAGATAAGGGAGCAGTCACGCCAATAACTTCCATTGCAGAGAAAAAGCAAACCCCAGCGACCACTGCAGCACCAGCGACCATTGGTGGAAGCAAAAAGCGAAAACGAAGTAAATCCTTCGATGAGGAAGCGAAGGCCGGCGCGGTGATAGAAACGAAGGCAACAGAGGGGGGAGAACAAGCGGCATCAGGAGCTAGCCTCGATGCTGGGAGAAAGGGCAGCGCCGGAGAGGGGCAAGAAGTGACTGCAAACCCACCCGCAAAGAAGAAGAAAAAGAAGAACAAGAAAGTTTGAGTTCTTGTTTCCATTGTGTAAATGCCATCATTGGAAATTCACATTCAACTGATTTCATATGCGCAGATCAATCATGTCGGGGTGCAAGACTAAGACTCTTGTACATCTGTTATGTATATATACTACAATGACTTTCTCCTAAGGGAATTCGATGCGCTTTTCAGTGGCAGCCCCTGTCCTTGAAGGAGTTTGTTGCGCAAGAGCGCTTTCTCTGTGTTCAGTTGTTTGTAGCAAATCGTCGCTCGTAATCGTAATCGTATTTATTAATTTGTTTCGCGTGGGACAGCTTGTACTCAATGAATGTCGCTTCTGTCTTCATCGAATGAAATTGAAGGATTGAATAAACGAGTGAAACGGGCAAACGAGAGATGAGGAGCATCAAGTGTTGCAGCGCTTTTTGGCAAAGCTCTCGTTTCGTGAACTGCTGTCTCAATTGAAATACCTCATCAACAGAAAGAGAATATTTTCGACATTTTAGAATTTGAGAATAAGTCGGCAAATTCAATTTGCGAAGACAAGCACCACATGATGCGGGCCGCGGGCGTCCCGGTCCGGGGGCCAATTACGGACAAGGAGACCACGCTCTTCTCCCTACCAATGCGGGTCCTTCCCCTCGTCCTCGCGCTGCATCTGGCGCAAACTTTCGCTTCCCCAGTCCAGGCCAACCTGCGGGGAACCAAATCGGGTGTCGGTCCGGACTCGCCCGCTTCGGCGCCAACCTCTGCGTTGCAGGAACCACCGAAGCAACGCAACAGCAAGTTTTTCGGCTTCATGGTGCGGCAGAACGTGAACTTTCTGGAAGCCGGTTTTTCCCCGCAGCACCTCGCGCTGACGAACAGCATGCTGGCGGACAAGCGGAACGGCGCGACTTACGACGATCGCGCGCAAACTGTCATCGCCACGTACGAATCCGGCCTGTTTGACGAGTTTTTGCGGAACGACCGGAACCAGGACTACCAACTGGACCGCGGCGAGTGCCCCATGTTGCACATCCCCCCGGGCGGCTTCGGGTTGGACATCAGCGCTTTTGCCAAGTCGTGTACGGAGAAGATCGAGGCGTCGTTTCTGCAAACCGGGGTCGGGGTCGACGGGGAAAGCGGTGCGGCCGCGAGTACGGAGGTCGCGTCCAGCGGGAACTCGTTTGTGCAGACGCAGCGATTGGAGTTACCACAGTGGATATCGTGCTGCCTGTGGCCGGAGGAGGCCGTCGCGGAGGAGAAGAATAATGAGTATGTCTTCATCAATATCTTGAGAGTGTGAAAGTGAATCTTAGAAATCTGCATCATGTGACCCGCAACCACACCCACCATATCAATGAATTTAGGTTGCGGACAGATACCCGTCATATCCTGTGTAAAAACGTACCCGCTCTATAGTCATGCTAGTCGGTGTCGGACGAGCATGAGACTTGTTAGAATTACACAATTCCGGGACTTTTCGAAGCCACGCACGACACACTTCGGCCCGCAGCTTTGTCGTGACTGGCTAGCACAGTCACATCCCAAATCCGCGGCGTCATCCTGATTTATTAGATCACACCAAAGGAAATGCCTGGGATAGATAGTGAGCCGCATGATGGAGCTCCGGCACATGCGAGATTTGCCTGACAAGTCGGGGCGGAGTACGTTTTTGCTCAGGATACATACCTCCGACGAGTACCGTTGGGAGGACGTGGGAAACAGGGTATGGCAAGACGAAAAGGGATTTTTCGCGGAAGAGGGGCCGGAAGAAGGGGATATTTGGGTAAGTGTTGTGCTTTGCTGCTTCATTTTTCTCGTCACTTCTATCGTTGCCACCGTCGTCTATTGTGATGATGGCGGAGGCGGGCCACATGTCCACGTCAACCAAAGTACAGAAGCTCGGTCGTGATTTAGCGGGCAAAGTAGTGCTTTTCTGGGTGCTCCAGATTGCCGGCCACCATAGATAAAGTGCGTGACAAGTTGGCCAAAAGATTGAGCCGAAGATCGGGCACAGCGATCGGCTCGCGCCGCCAAAATAAGGCAGCACCAACGTAGCTCGTAGACCGCCAGGAGAATACTGCGCCGCTCACCACATTGCGAGCGCGACCACGAAAAGGAAAGGGGGGGGACGCCTCCTACAATGTGTCAAATCTACATGCGCGCGAGAGGCCCCGCGAGGGGCCACAGCAGTAACACGAAACTGCGATCGAGACGGCCTTCCCGACCCCGCGCCTGGCCGAGCGCACAACGCACAGCAACTGGGTCGGGATCAGACGAAACAGCACACTCCGGACGCGTCCCCGGAGCCAGGGCGCTGAAACGTTGAGCCTCGCACAGTTAGTCCATGCGCGCGCGAGGACTGAGAGCTCGAGTGTCCTCTCATTTTGACTTCTCTGTTGAACCAATAGGATTGTAGTCTCGCGAGATCTTCTCGCGAATAAGTTGTAAGTTGTAAATTGTATGGCGCTGACGCATGCACGTTTGCCTGAGCAACCCTCCCTCCAGGTGCGCTAGCTTCTCCACGGGAAACTTCTACAGCTTGTATGCTTGTAGCGTTAACGGACTGACTAAGGCCTCTCAACACCCCACTGCGGGGCAGATTTTGGAAAGATGAACTGCACACGAGAAGCACCGAGGTGCATTACAAGTTGAGCACTACTTTGATTCTTAGTGCTGCTCGGATTCGTGTTGACTTTCTTTTGCGTTTCGCTTGTCTTTGGGTATCGTTGGAGTATTCAGGTGGGAAAGACACCAACCGTCAAAATCAGGTTGTTGGTGGAGCAGGATCCACATTTGAAGAAGACCATGCTAAAGCACAAGCTGAAGCAAAACGCCAAGCAAAACTCGACGCGCTCCGAGAAAAACTGCAGAAAGGCGGAGCAGCGTCGATGTTCAGGAACCCCCCCCAATTAAGGGACGATGTGCAGGGATCAGGGGCACACTGTAAAGCACGTCTTGACTGAAGACGAGTGGACTCGCCTTGCACTGCGCTCAAAGAGGCATGTGAGAGGGGATGCATTGTCCTACGATTGGAGAATCGTCATACTGGTGGAATGTGGTACACATAAGCGAAAACAAAATGAAACCTGCTCCGAAGCAATTGCAGCGAATCAAGTTGCACATGCAGAATGCCGAGCGAAATGGTGAATAAAATGAATTGTGACTGCTCCCTGCACTGGCATTCCCTGTTCACGGTGAGAAGACACAGATTGCAACCATCATGGGCGGACCGCATGACCCGCGCACTGACAGTCTACTCCTTGTCCTGTTCACTGCACAACTCGCGGCATCCGAGAGTTTACACAAGCGAGGTGGCGCTTTCCAAACTTGCAGCGTCTGAGAGTTTTCTCGTTTCATGACCGTACAGCACAAAAGTTGTAGACATGCACATGTACGCAGCTTCTGGATAAGAACTCTCCCACACCCTCTTCATGCCCTAGCTTTACACAGCTTAGCAGCCCGTGTTGTAAGTATAGTACCTCCGCAAAACAAGAGCACGACAAACTCGCACAACCATGGAAGCCCCCACGACCCAGCGTCCTGCCACGCTGCCCGGGCGCAAACGCAGCCCCTCACCTAAGAGCAAGCGCCAAACCCCACCGAAACAGCACGATGTCCAGATTATCGAGCCCGAGCCGCTCCCCGTCCCGTACAAAGTCGGCCAACCCCGACTGTCCACGTTCGAAACAGCGCTCGTGAACACGCTCCCCCTCACCTACTTCAGTTCCATCTGGTGGGTGGGCACGCAGACCGGGGTCTGGTCCGGCGTTTTGGTCTACGGCCTGCGAAAGGCGATTTCGCAGAACTTCGGGGGTGAGCAGTTGCGGAAGTACTACATGGCGCTGGCGGCCTACTGGCTGTTGAACCTCCTGTCCCCGACCAAGCATTCCGGGTTTTTCCGCAACAAATCGGTCCGCAACCTACCCATGTTCCGGGTTTTGTCCTCCTACTACCCGCACAAAAACATCGTCACCACGCCGCTGACCGGGAAAAAGTACTTTTTCGGGATGCACCCGCACGGGGTGCTGGCGCTCACGCTGGCGCCGTCGTTCGCCGAGGGCTGCGGGTTCGAGAACGAGCTGTTCCCCCAGTTGCGGATCCAAGTCTGCACCGTGGACGCCATCTTTCTGATGCCCTACGCCAACGAGCTGAGCCAGACCGCGGGGATGGTGACCAACCAGAAGAGCCAGATGGTGAAGAACTTGGCGAACAATAAGTCTTATCCCGTGTAGAAAAGATCAGATAATTGTCGTGGTTGGACAAGCACTTGCATAACAAGTAATTTTACTTCATACCTTCTGACACTGCATGAGCAATTGCAGTTTTCACTTCTTCGTAGGGGAAATTTGTGATGCGCTGGGTAGTACAACCACTGCGGCTATACATGATCATCTTGTTGTACCACTTCATAAACCCATCGCGAACTACATTGGTGGCGCGGACGAGGCGCTGCTGTCGGGCGGCGGGAAGATGCGGTTGATTTTGAAGAATCGGATGGGCTTCGTGCAGGTCTGCGTCGCGACCGGGACGCCGTTGGTGCCGTGCCTCGCGTATCAACCGCAAATATGTCTGGGTCTGGGAGAATGTGAGGTTTGTCATGCATATCTTACATGATCTTAATCCATGATGTCTGTGATGCATGCCTGAGCATCACAGATTTTTTGAAAGCGTCTTCATGCCTATTCTGCATGAGAAACACCCTCTCCACGTTGCAAAAACCTGACTCCACTTGCTGCTCACGCAATAGAGATTTTTTTCGAGTCCCAATGTAGCATCACAAGTTGCATCCCTCCCGACCCAGACATATTTGCATTCCATATCGCCTTCGGGGAAACCGCTTTGTACCGACAGGTCTTCCACCCGGCGTTGCGCAAGCTGCAGCTGTGGATGGGCAAGCACCTGCCGATCTCGTTGCCCGTGGCCTACAACGGATTGAAGGAAGACCACTGGATATGCAAGAAGAAAACTGTGTAAGTGTAACTTTTTTGGAGGAACAGCATCACAAGTTTGCTCTGCATGACAGAGAAAACCTGTCGTGCGTAGCTACTACGTGAAAACACGTACGAAAAGAGCCTCTGATGCATGTTCAGCATGACAGTTGTAAGCGTCTTGCATCGTCTGCAACACAGAGGTACAGCTACACAGTTTTTTCCTTGGATACTGGATCACGCCCTTCCGCCCGCGCCGCGTGCCGACGTTCACGGTGTTCGGGAAGCCGATCGAGTGTCCGCTGGTGGACAAGAAGAGAGAGCCGGAGCGGTTTCGCCAAGTCGTTGCGGAAAAGCACGCGGAATACGTTGCGCAGTTACGGGAACTGCACGAGAAGTGGAAGTATGGAATGCGAATATGTCTGGGTCTGGAAGATTCGGAGGCCTGTCATGCAGATTTGCCATGATCCATGTCGTCTGGAATGCAGGACCTAGCGTGACAGGATGTGCAGCCCCTTTGTGATGCCTGTTCTGCATGAGAAATGCCCTCGCAGCATGGCCAGAACTGAGCGCCTTTTGCACGTCACGCAACACAGAAATTTGCATGATCCGCAACATGCATCACAGGTTCGCACCCTTCCAGACCCAGACATTCATATTTGCAATGCATAGGAAGCATCTGGGGACGGCGGAAGACCAGGAGTTGGAGATCTTGTCGGTGGAGGAAAGTCGGAAGCCGCATGTTTTGGGCGACTTGAAACGCGGGCAGGAGAGAATGGATGAGCTGAAGAAATTGCAGCAGTACGATTTACGGAAGGGCGGGAAAGTGTTGCTGGGAGGGAGTGAGCACTTGCGGTATAATGCCAGCTTGTGATGAAGATAGTTTTTCGAGTCTTTTTTTGTAAGCAAAAATTTTGTTTCCCTGTGAAGCTGAACTTACCTGACTTGCATGAAGCATATACTTACGCAGAAACTGTGTCGGCCAAGTCCAAGTCCGAGTGTGTATGGAGTAAGGTACAGTTCGTTCAGATAAATGACTTTTTGAGACAATACCATGATAGATAACATAGCATAAAACTAAGAGCACTTTTGTTTTTGCGCAGTGCCGTAAGTCATCTTCCGTTGTGATTATTGATATGCTACTTTCCACCTTCCTGCACTTGCTGTGTGATTAAACAAATTTTCCATGTTTTTATTTTATTTTTTTGCATACAGTACTACATCGTGAATGAACGGGAAGTTTGGGTCGGCTTTCGGGTGTAGCTCGAGTTCTGCCGTAGTGAAGTCATTGCGCTTTGACAAAGAAAACTGCACTGTTTCTACAGAAACAGATCTCATGGCTTTTTGAAATCATAGCACCCTTTAGTAACTTGGCAAAGCTTTTGAACTGATGTTCCTTCAAATCTTTGGCTCTAGAGGCAAGTACCTGACAACGCACTGGCAATGGATTTTGGAAACTATTCAGGTTTGTGTCAGCGGATGGAAATCGTAATTTCTTCTTTCAAAAACCAAATTTAACATGTGTTCCTTGCACCTATTCATGGTCGTAGCTGATCGTAGAATTTGTCGCGAGACCCAATTTAATGAAATCGCTTCCGGGACAGATAAGAAATTGTAAATAGAAGCACGTCTACGAAGACATAAAATCACAGGGGTTGGATTACTGAAAAGCTTTGGTAGCGGCAGATAGAGATCTCTAGTTCATGCGAATTATGTGGGCACACACTAAGCGCATTTTTTGACGAATGGACTTGTAGGTGTGATTTGTTTGTCTAATTTATGTCCAAGTGTTCAGGTTGTGCCAATTGCTTCCAAGGCTATTTGCGTTTGCCGTTTCGTAGAACAATGTTGCAGCTAAAGGAAAAAATGCTGGATGACCGACTCAAAATGATTGTGGGAGAGATATTCACGCGAAACGGTGTAGATCCGGACGGCCTGGCGAGGGACCTACCCGATAGTGTTTTTGACGGACTCCTTTGGGAGTTCTGCTCAGAAGTACTCCTCAAATTGGTGCTGAATTATTTCGGCTACAATCCGAAGTTGCTTGTGAGGTGTGAGCCGGATTGTGTTTCGCGATTGCCAGGAGTGGCTGTTTGGCGTTTTGCCAACATTACGAAGGAAAACCATCATGCAATAGTTTTTGTAGAAATGCCCGGTCGCGTCCGCGTGCGCGACGTTGAAATAGTCGTCGAACTTTTTCCAAAATTGGAATCGAGACCGGGCCCGAGCGGCTTGCCGGACGATGTGAAGCAGATTTTGGATGGCTATGACAGTGATATGCGTGACGATCCCTTCCGCCGGCTCTACGCAGCATGCGAAGATATGGCGTTTCGCAGGCATCCCGGTCTTCTTTTCCTCTTAGGCGTAGCAGGTGAAGCAGCGTACGGGGAATTTCCGGCAGGAGATCCTGATCAGGCAGAGTTTTGGGTTGGTTCACACACGTTGGACACCTTCGTGGAGCGTACCGGCTGCACAAGAGTGCAAGAGCTCGAAACCATAGATTATTCACTCACCGTGCGGCACAAGCGGACGGGCGAGCCGCGCTGCAGATTCAGTTCCCGGCGAAAAACAGTGCTTGTCATGGACGGGGTGCGTTTTCCGGTCCGCGTTGTAGAGGCCGTGTCACCAGCAGAGTGCCTAGAAATCCACAGCATGCCCTTCGTTCAGAATCCCGGCCGTCCTAGGGGGGCTGTGGACGTGGAGTTCGGTAGTTACGCACACGCGAGGTATGGTGTGGTGAATAGCTTTTGCCCATCGGTTTTGCCAGTTTCCGCTGAGTTTGCTCGATATCCCAAGAGATGTGGCCTCGGCGTTCGCAGATACGCGCTTCGCGACTTCCTGGATGACGCGCCTTCGCACCCTGATACGCCCGCCAATGCTCCTTCAACCTCACATGACGTTCCTACCTTACTGACGCCCAGTCTCCCAGGGGCAACAATGTCGTCATCATCCAGGCTGAAAGCCACCCCCGGACGAAGGAGAAGAAACTTGAACGCAAATCTGGCATGGGCCCGACGCACTCTTCGAACGAATGGTGCCTACTACTGGTTGGCCGTAAACGCGACGCGGGGAAGGTACCAAGAGTGGAGCAGCGGTGTTCCTGACATCTTCGCTATGGCCACACGAAGCGGGGCGGTTCGCCGGGACCAACTGGTAAAACATGCCGACATGGCTGAGATTTTGACTTTTGTGGGAAACATGCAGGAGCACCTGGACGAACCGGAGAACGGGGCTGCGAAGGAGGTTTTGCGCAAATGGGCGGTAGGCTACAAAGGCGGAAAATTTTACGACGAGGACCGATTCGAGGTAACCGCCGGCGAGCTCTTTCCGCTATTTTTCGTCGACAAGGTATGCCCAAAGACCCACGAGTTGTGGTCCGACTATACGAACGTGACGCGCCAGTGGAAGCGTATGCGGGACAACAAAGCGCTCCGAAGTTTGAAGGTTGACTACAAGAGTGGCAGTTCCGAACTCCACAGACTCCTGCAAGCGGACTGGGATTTGTGGGACACGGATTACCCACAGGCAATCGCATTTTTCCGAAATTTGCCCGAGGACCCGCAGTGCCGCCGGGATGTTCTCGAATGGAAGGACGGGAGCGGTCTAACTGCAGTCGATTCAATCGAGGCAGACTGGCGAGGAGACCTGGAGCAGACGCTCTGGAATGCGGTGGGTGAAGCTGAGAACTCCAGTAGTGACGCGGCTGCTGTAAGTGGTGGATGAGAAGGCGAGGCCTGAGCAAGAGCTAGCTGTAAAAATTTTGGTACCAAATGCATGAGCGCTCTATAGTATTCGATTTCTATTCCACCTGAGCGTGTCCTGAGCGACTATGTCCTATCGTTTCGTTTTTTCATCACGGGCAGCACTCTGATGTGACCTTTGAGCTTTCTTAACAGCCTTGAGATGCTTGCGTCAGCAGGATTCAGGTCGATCGCCAGCCCGCGTTGTGGTAAACAGAAGTGTTCTGAAATGTTTTTCACTTATTTCTTGGAGCTGTTTGTTCATCGTACCTTGTGAATTTCAAGCACTCGTCATCGTCAAAACTGAAAACCGTCGTTCAGGTTCCGTTCTGACATTTCGTGCGCGAATCTGTGCACCATCGTCGTCGTTCTTCCTGTGGTCATGCTCGTTGTCACGAATCCCAGCCGTGCCTGGTTATGGTACTTCTTTACAGAGACTGACAAATATCTTTTCTGACCCCGCCCATCACAATCGAAGCACCGAAAAAACCAAGCCTGACCTAGTACCCGTCGATCGTTTTACAACGCGCTTCCCGAAGCAAAACGAAAGCCATGTTGGCACCTTGCTTCTCCATGCTTATTATTGTAGTTCTCTCCTTATACTTTACCTCTTTGTGGTGTAGTATAATTACGCCTTTTTTTGGTGTAGTAATTCCTTGGAGTGCAAGCGATATCGCAGCGCTGCACGCGGCAAATTCGGATTTACCTACCGAACAAGTGACGCCGGCAAATAAAACGAATCTTCGAAGTCACTCCTTTCTGCAACCGTCCTCCTCAGCGCCGAAGGGTAACAAAGAAACTTTTGTCCACGAGAGCTCTCCTAAGTCCCTGCTCGAGCGGTCTCGCACGGGTGCGTCACGTTCTACAGAGGAAAAAGCGGAACTCAAGCCAGCGGTCCTCCCGAAGCCGCAGTACGACTTCAACCAGTGGTCGGACCCGATCCGGAACCAGATTTGCGACGACAGCTTCCCCGGATTCACTTGTACAGTAAATGACAAGAACCAGCGCGTGTACCGCTTCACCGCGGGCACGTTCAAGATCGACCGGCAGTTCCTCGTGCCCGAGAACACGATTTTGCAGGGCAACAGCGACCCGAACGGCAAACTAGCGGACGATTTTCGCGACATTGAAAATGCGCAGAATTCCTTCGGGAAATTGACTTTGCAACAAGTAGAAAACTCCCGTCCGGATTATTCTACGCAAACCCTTTTCCTCGCGACGCGGGGGGCGACGAGCAACAACGATCGGTATTGCAAGGTCGGCGATCTGTACAACCCGGGGAAGAACTGGCGAGTCGGGCTAGTGTTCTCCAGCAACACCGCAGTGCTCGATGTCAGCTACCAGGGTATCGACACCATTCGGCCCTCGGACAACGGAAGTCTCTGCGGCGGCGGCGCTTTCGAGACCAAGGGGTGTGTGCAGGACTTCTGCGGCGGTGATCAGAACACGGGGGGTAGTGACGGCCGCGGCTCGAAAAACGTGGTTATTGCGAACGTCCGGGTCAACGATTTCTACTATGAGGAGGACAAAAACAAGATCGGGGTCCGCATTCCCGGCAACGACAACGTGCCCGGGGGGTGCATCTACTGCCAGCCCAACAACGTCCGGGCGTCGCAGATCGCGCTGTGGGTCCCGATGACCCGCGACGGATCTGCCTCCGAGAACATTGTGATCCGCAATTTGGTCGTGATGTCGCTGCAGGGGGACGGGATCAATTTCCACGGCAAGGTGAACAACGGCGTGGTGCAAAACGCCTGGATCATGAACACGGGGGACGACATCTACGCGGTGTGGGGGGCGCAAAACCCCGGGGAGAAAATCATGTTCAAGAACACCGTCGCCTACAACCCGGGCATCATGCGCCCCGGCTGGTACGGCCAGTGCTACGCGACGTACGGGCTGCGGTCGGTCTACATTTTGAACCACTTCTGTCGCAGCCCGTTGCTGGACCGAATCACCGTGTTTCCCTGGGGCGACAAGGCGCAACAGAATTCCGTAACCATGATTGGTATGCACGAGTCCTTCGACGCGTTGTACCCCGCAGGCGGGGAGCTGATCGTGTCGAACTACGAATTCACCGACTTGGACAACAATATCCATGTCGACGACGGGTCGGATCCGAGCCTGGGAAAAAATTCCGTTCCGATCAAGAAGATGATTTTCAACAGCGACGACAAGGGTACCCGTGCGCCCTATTTCAAGTGGGGCGGAAACATCAACGTCAAGGTGGAATTCAACCAGGACGGGGCGATTGCAGACTCCAAGTGGATGAACGACTGGATGAGAACGACCGGCTTGGTGCTGGGCGAAAGGTTTCTGCCGACGAGGACTGCCGGAGGTGGACCCAATGCTGGTGCCGGCACTGGCGTGGCAGGGGGATTGCCGTGGCAACAAGGTTATGTTCCCTCGTCGGCGACTGCAAATACTGGAGATACAACTCAAATCGGCGGAGGAGGAAATGCAAATGGCAATGGCAGCGGGCAGGTGCCAGCGGCGCCCGGGCTGGCATCAACAGGGTACTATGCGGAGAAGGCGGGTCCTATCGGGTGTTGCGGTGGCCAGAATCGGGTGTCGTACGACGGATCTGCTGGCCAAGCAGTTTCTATGCAGCCGGCGGGGAATACTCAGGCGCAGCCCCTTGCGGGAGGGGCGACCGGAAGATGAAGAGAAAGTTTTGTGGAAGTGAGAAAGTGGACTGTAGCTTTGGTCTCTAGGCAAGGTCAGCTTGTTGTAGCTTCGCGGGAAAAAATATTTATCAGCTTCACTTGTCTGAAGCTCCAGCTACTTTACTGTCATTGGAATTGAATGGATACAATTGAAACAGTGAGCGAAGTGCCCGCGCCCGCTCAGTAAGGTATCTTGAAGTCTCACATGATAAAAGGTTCAGGCTCGGCCAGGATAGATGCGATACAGACTAGTTGCTCGTCTTCTTTGAGTCGCGTGTTCGGCAGTCGGTCGCAACTGGAAATCGTGTGACTCGTCGTGTGTGTTGTGTGAAGAGATCTTATTGCACAGTGGGGCTTGGTGGACGAACGCGATGGAAAAAACGCTGCTCAAGAGAAATCAAATCGTGATGCGAGCAGACGTTTTTGGTATTGTCCGTACAGTTTTTCTTCCCCGTTTCTATCTAAGTCTCTGCAGCAGACTGTACATGAGCGCTTCTCAGTGCTGCACCTACCGTTAGCAGTAAGCCCAAAACCAGAAAGCACCAATACCGAACCAACAAAAACATGCCCGAACTACCTGCCCCCGCCGTCGATCCGCACTTCCTAGCCGCCCCGGGTGCAGCAGCCAACGTTGCTGAGGATGAAAAGGCTAAACTGCCGCCGATGAAGCGGCAAAAGCGAGAGAAGACGCCGGCAGCGGAAGCCGCAAAGGCGGAAAAGAAGCGGTTGCAGGACGAGGAAAAGGTGCGGAAGAAGCAGGAGAAAGAAGCGGAGAAAGTGGCGAGGAATCAGGCGATCGCGGACGAGAAAATGGTATACTGGAATGAAAATTGGTGAAAACGCAAAAAGCGCGGTGTGATGGTTTTCGAAATGGCACCACTTTCTCTGCCCCTTGCTGGTCTTTCTGATTCTGTGCCGCGCGACGCGACAATGCTTGTAGTTACATGCATAGCAAAAAAATCCAACAGGAAAAGGCGCGGCTGAAGAAGTTTGACAAGGAGCTGGGGGACAAGATCAAGGACTATGTGCAGGGGCGGTCGACCCAACTGGAGTATTCCATGGACGACGCGGAATTCAACTACATGTTCTCGCAGTTCCTGCCCACCTGCCAGTACGAGAAAAAAATCACCACGGAGAAAACCTTCGGCGACGGGCGCGTGGAGCGTACGGTCGAGACCGTGGAGAAGGCCCTGTACCTGTCGGCCCACCAGGTGTCCGCTATCTTCGGCTGCAGCAAAGTCCGGGGTGGCACCTACGGCCGGTTCCACGGGGCGACCACCTGGAACATCACCTCCATGGTGGTCAAGCGACTTTCGCCGAACCGCGTGCGCATCACCTGGAAGCTGAGTGGGGCGGCAGATTTTTAAGAAGTGTACGCAGGCGTGTTGAATAAGGCTCTCTGGCTGAAAATTGACCTGATAGTTGCGTCCATCTAGACGTTGTTGTGAATCACAAGTAGTGCTGCAAAGTTGATTCGAAACGCCTTGATGCGAAGGAGAAAAGGTCTAGATAGAACGTAAGTCCTTTGGCGCAGGAGGATATTCTGATATTCTGATTTTGCTTTGACTTATTATCATCCGTGAGCTCTAGTAGCATAGCTATAGCCGAGCTGGAGCTTGTATTTGTAAGTGGCAGCTTCTGTAAAGTTTTGCAGGTGGTCAATTATGATTCCTAGAATGTGAATGCACACGCCGAATTCTGTGGCAGACTCTCAAATGAACTGCAACCAAAATTGTCCTGCGCTGGTTCTGCTGGAGCAAGAGCCCTACAAGGACGAAAGGAGGATCTGACTCAAGTGCAAGCAATGTGAAAAAATGTAAGCGTGCGCATTAATCTCACGATGGTAATCAACTAAAACCAGAAAGATGGTCGTTGTTAGTCAGTGCGCGATTATGAAATGATCCCACTTCACGACAATGCTGCTCAACCGCTTGGGCCGCGAATCGTGTGTCGCTGTTTACAATTTTGGTAGAAAGTACATGCCGGGAAGATGGCTTCGGGACTTTGATGCAGCGGGCTTGTTTCGTTTTCTGCTTTGTCATCTCGCATTTGTGTTTTTTTTTTTGGTTAGGGTTCGCATAGGGCGTCGCTATTTCTTCTCGTGCATTCATTCTGGTCGTTTGATTCTGTGGCATTTGCATTTGCTCGCTGCAATCCGATGAAAGGCAAAGAAGTAGCCCTTACAACACGCGTAACGCAGAATATCAGATGAAACAGAAGTACTTACGCATTGCCGCACGACATAGGTGGACATTTTCTTCTTGCGCCATGTCGTAGTTGTCAAGCGCCAACCAGCAGAGAGATGCCGCAAATCGACGCCAGCTGTTCACCGCCCCTGAAACGGGCGCGCAACAAGCAGGGCCCCGAACCGCCAGGAGACATGGTGGACGAAAGTGCCGCAGCGGAAGCTGCGGCAAAGCAGGCGAAGGAAGCCAAGAAGCAGATGGACCGCCACCGGCAAATCCAGCGCGTGCTTGGGCGGATGATCAACGATCAGGTCAAGGAAAACGGCGAAAAGACACAGCGGATTTACCTTTCGCAGGTTGAGTACGACTACCTCTTCCGCGATTTTCTGCATGTGCAAACGCAGCCCGCGTCCGACTTGTTGGAGCTGCGCCTCGGGCCAGGAGGCGCGCAGCAGGTCTTCGGGGGCGGGGTGGCAAAGAAGCATACGGTCCTGCGAAAAATCTCCGCCATGACGGTCACGCGGTGTACCCGGGAGTTAACGGGGCACAGCTTTTTTCTGGGAAAGGACAAGGAAGCGGGTCTTGTGAGAATGTCTTGGGAGCTGGAAGACGCGCAGGTGGGAAACAAAGCACAAGGCAAGGAGTCTGCGAAAGCCGAGAAGAAGCGTTTGCAGGATGAGGAAAAGGCCCGAAAGAAGCAACAGAAGGAGGCCGAAGGGGCCGCGCTGAAGGCTGCGGAAGCGGAGGAAAAAGCTGTACAGCGTTTGGCATTATGCATTCTACATTTTTAGCGCAGGAGGACGAGCAGAGTGTCACGCGTTCGAAGTGTTTCGCCTTAACTAGTCTTCGGCGGAGGATTCCCTGTTTTGTTATCCACCTCTTAGGATGTCACCAAATTCAACATTATGCACTGAAATTATATCTGACCACAGGAGACGACCCGGCTGCGAGCGTACCACAAGACCGTGGGCGACCGGTTGAAAACGTACGTCCAGGGACAGTGCAAGAGTGCGGACCTCAAGATGTCGCCGGCTGAGTATGAGCATGTGTTCCGTGCCATGCTACACTTGGAATGCTCGAAGAAGATTACGACCGAGTCGACGTATCGGGACGGGTCAGTGACGGTCACAACGCAACACGTGAGCAAGGCCCTGTACCTGAGCGCCGACCAAGTCGCCTCCGTGTTCGGCGTGACGGAGACGCAGGGTGGATCTTGGAACCCGGCCGACGGTCAAACGAGATGGCGTATCGCCTCCATGGTAGCGAAGCGGACGGACCCAGGGGTCGTCTCTCTCGAGTGGACGCTCAACTACGAAGATGATCTTTGACCAGGCACGGTGGATGAATCTACCCGCAAGTGGTGCGGAGCTGCAGAGCTTTGCGCAATGGAGAACTGGTTAGTAGATACGTGTGTGATTGTCCGGACTCGTACAATGTGGAAGAAAGGAAAGGAAAGAAAAGAAAAACAACGCAGAACCGTTTACCATCGCATGTTGGGGGCTTATCCCAATGTGCTGACTGCTAGATGAATATAGAAATGGGCGAGCTACTGTTTCATCTAAGATGTGGTCAAATAGGAACAACAACAAGACAGGCTTGCAGATGCCAAAGACGAGAAAATCTCGTCTCTCTCTGACAGCAAGCAATAGATGCATACTGCTGGGAAAAAGATTATTTTATCATTAACGTGTCTCCTTTTCGTCATTCGTCATGGGCTATCATGATCTCTTCTGCAACCAAAATTGCCCTGCGCTGGTTCTGGAGCAAGAGTCCTACAAGGACGAAAGGAAGATCTGATTCAAGTCCAAGCAATGCGAAAAAATGTAAGTGTGCGCATTGATCTCACGTGTTCGACCGCTTGGGCCGCGAGTCGTGTGTCGCTGTTTACAATATTGGTAGAAAGTACATGCCGGGAGGATGGCTGCTTTGGGACTTTTATGCAGGGGGCTTGTTTCGTTTTCTGATTCGTCACTTCGCATTTTGGGATTCGTTTTCATTAGCGTTCGCATGGGGCGTCGCTATGCGCTTTCGTGCAGTCTGATCGTTTGATTCTGTGGCATTTGCATTTGCTCGTTGGAATCCGAGGAAAGGCAAATATGTAGCTCTTACAACACGTGTAACGCATAAAATTAGACGTACCAGTAGCCGTACGATAGAAGTGGACACTTTCTTTTGCCAGGTCGTAGTTGAGCAGCGCCAATCAGCAGCAATATGCCGGAAATCGCCAACACTTGTTCACCGCCACTGAAACGGGCGCGGAAGGAGGACGCTAAGGCCGAGAAGGAGCGACTGCGGGCCGCTCGAAAGGCTGCCGAAGCGCAGGAAAAAGCCGTATAATTTTTGGCATAAGTTTTATACTTCTTAGTGCAGGAGGAGACTCGTGTCACGCGTTCAAAGTGTTTGACATTGACTTTAGTTGTCCGCAGAGGATTTCCTTTGACTTTAGGCAAAGAATGACTCACGACGGCGCGCTGCAAATTGGTCTCTCTGGCGCGAGAGCGAAATTGCTTGGCCTTGCGGTGTCGAAAAGGATGCAGTTCTCTCGTGGTTGGGGTTGCCTCAGGCAACGCAAGCGAAGCGGCCTGCTTTGCCTGAGGTAGCTCCCGTTTTTTTGTAGTTCCTGAAGTTGCAGCGGACGCGGGTCCTACTGTGTCGCGTCGGATTTTTTTGCGGGTCACGACGCTGGCATAATTGTCGCGCGTTCGTTTTGGCGTCCCCCGCTTTCGTCGTCAGGGACGCTTGGCCACGCATCACAGCGTGCGGCTTTGCGTCCTTTCGCTTGCCTTGCCTTGCCTTGCCTTGCCTTGCCTTGCCTTGCCTTGCCTTGCCTTGCCTTGCCTTGCCTTGCCTTGCCTTGCCTTGCCTTGCCTTGCCTTGGCCTGGCCACTCAAGTGGTTTGGCGCCAATCGCGTCGTCGCGTCGGTTTTCATTAGACCGGCGCAGTAAGCCTTCTCTTCTTGTTATCCGCCATGGATATAGGTTGCTACCAAACGCACTGAATTATCCGACTACAGGAGACGAAGCGGCTGAGAAAGTTCCACAAGGGTGTTGGGGACAACCTGAAGCGGTATGTCCAGGACGAGAAGAAATCCGCGTCCTTCAACATGTCGCAGGCCGTATCAACTGCAAAGTGGTCTGGTTTCCTGGGAGGTTGCACGCTTGTGAGGCATCGGGCGGAAGTGGGAAGCCACAAAAAAACTAATCTTGCGCGACTATCTCTAGTTGGCCATCTTTGGTCATGGTAAGTAGACTAAAGACCTTGCGATATCTGTAATGCCGGTGGTTATCCGATTCTGATGTCATGCTAGGTCTTGCATTGCACACCGCATCGGGCACAGAAGAGCAGTGCGATAACAAACTTTTGTAGGCCTTCAGACCCAGACATATGCGCAGTTGATAGTCCGAGTATGATTGGGTTTTCCGAACAGTGGAATCTACGAAGAAAAGCAAGGGCGACGCGCTGCATTTGTCCACCTACGAGGAGGCTGCGGCGGTGTTCGGCGTGAGCAAGATACAAGGTGGACGCTTTGAGGCGTGTTCCGTATCTTACAGAAAAGCGCGCGCAGTATACCAGAAAAAGAATAAGACCTATGCTGCTGGTTTGCTAGCGCAACACAAGCTGGAATGTGGAGACCACAAGACAGGCCATTTGCGTTTTCTGTCATGCAGCATGCACGTGGACGTGGGGACGCAGTTTAGTGATTAGAGGAGTGGCACCAAAAAGGCTTTTCATGTTGAATAGCGAAGAGTAAAGAGGCCTTGTGGTTGTGACAATAAAAATTGCTCAACACTAACTTTCATTTACTTCTTTGCGCTTTTGCTTTTCTGCAGAATATTTCGGGCGCTGCAGCTGGTGCATCACGTCGATGAAAGTGAAGCGAACAAGCCCGACGGCGGTGGCGTTCACGTGGACGCTCAGCGATATCCTGAGCAAAAACGCCCCAACACAAATCCAGAAGCTTGGGCCGGAGTCAGGCAAAGTAAGGCGCTCCCTGTATTGTAGTGCTGTTCGAAAAAGCCATCGCCCAATCCTGTTTCTAGCATTACAGATTCCAAATGCCTCGCTTGGGATGGATGCGCATTACAAATGTTTCTGCAATTCTTGTAAATCGGCATGGGTGGGGACGTTTTTGCTCAGGATAAGTGACGAGAGATGGGAAAACGACAACTGCTGCGGGCGATAGCTTTCGCGATGCAGGTCGCAGCGAAGGAGCTCCAGACTTTCTGTAAGGGTTTTGCCCCGATGTGTAGGGAAAATGTTTTGAAGCTCGATGTACATCAATGAAGACTCCAAGGACGAGCTAGCAAGCTTGCCTGGACCACAAGAAGTAGGAGATCTCTTGTTGACAGCGAGCACCCTGTGCTGCTCGCAAAAAGCAGATGAATATGTAAATATATTTGCTGGCGGCATTTCTCGTCATTCGTCGTGAATGATCACGGTTCATTCGATGCCCGAAGGTGGATCTCTTAGGTTACTTCGTTGATTTTAGTCTGCACAGCAGCCACAAACCAAACCGGACCCATCAAACTTGGCCCGCAAAATTCGCACAGGGACATCTAGTATTTTTGACTAGCGGACGATGAGCGTTTTGGTCGTAAGTTTTTCGTATCTCAAGAAGGAGCAAGTGTTATTCAAACGGTTAGGCGCCACCAAAAGAAAGCTAGTATCTCAGGACGAAGAAATCGTTTATTTCAGATAAAAGTTGATAAAGTCTCGTCGTGGCAACTACAGCTCGTAAAGTTTTCGCTAGCCCTCGACGTGCAGTTTATCGGGCCAAGCACCGCTGTCTGCGGTACCCTAGTAGTGTAAGGAGCCACATTTCGAAGTACTCCCCCCGTTTTGATATGAAAATTACAACCCAAAACCGATCGCAAGATGACTGGCACTGTTAAGTACGCCCTATTATTCTGAGGAAGACGCGACGATTAAGATTATCACGATGTCCACCATGTCTTCCCCGCCGCTCCTGGCGGAGGTGAAGTTCACCGCAACCATTCATCAAGCGACTCAGAATTCCACCGCTGCTGCTGGAACCAGCATGAAAACTACAAACCCAACCTCCATCACCGTTGCGGAGAACTGTAAGAAGGGCAAGTTCCGCATCCCCCCGACCTTCTCCCTCCCCTCCTTCAACGGAGGGAAAAAATCGTCGTTACTCCCCTCCACGACGATCGAAACCCTGGCGCACATCTTGTGCGAGTTTTTGAAGTTGCAGCCGTTTTGCAAGGCGGAGCGCAGTTTGTCGCTCTGTTGTTCATCCCCCGTCGTGACGGAGCTGTACCTTGTTAGTAAGGAAGAGGAAATATCAAATGCAAAAATGTCTGGGTCTGGAAGGTTACCAGGTTTGTCATGCATATTTTGCATGACTCAGGATGTCTGTAATGCATGATCTAGCATCACATATTTTTAGAGGCCTTCCTGATACCTATCCCGCATGACAAATGCCCTCCCCGCGTAGCACAAACTGGGCTCCTCTTGCTGGTCATGCAATACAAATTCTTTTAGAGTCCAAAGTTAGCATCACAAGTTCCAACCTTCCAGACCCAGACATATTTGCAATGCATAGGAAACGGGGGAGGAGTTCGAGGAGTACATCGACTGCACCGTCTGCGGCGAAAGCGAACTGGCGGCGTTCTTACCGAGTTTTGGTTCAACATCTGGAGGTGGTTCAAGTACGGGAAAGGATGCGAACGGAGGCGGAAACAACAAGTTGCAGCTTCGGGTCGTGTTTGCGTTTGAAGAGAAGAACGTTGGAACAACAAGCACGGGAGCAAGTAGTGTTCTTCCTCCAGACACTTCTGGCAAGAACCTCGCTGGAGCTGCTGCGGGAGTTGGTCGTCTCGCGGGAGCTGCTCCTGCTGCAACGCTGAAGCGACCGGCAGACGAGGGAAAGGACCCGGAGCGAGGACAGCTGGAGGGCGAGGGGGGAGAAGAGCGAAAAGAAGACCACGCGGGAGAAAACGCTCCTGGAGACGAGGAACAGGAGGCGCATCAACCAAAACGGCAGAAGAACGGAGATCTGGAAACGGAGCTTCAGGATCGCGCAAGGAAAGACGTAGACGAAGCAATGAGAAAAGCGGAAGCACAAATCAGAGAACAAAAAGACAAGTCGAATCAAGAAGCCTCAAAACGTCAGTTCTCGATTGTCTGTCGCACGCTATACGGAGGTGAGAAAATTCAACACAACGCCCAAGGAGCTCCGAGCATCACGTCTGGTCGGGGAGAAAATACTAAAACGGTGTACCGCGTTTCCAAGGTTGATGACCATGGAAATATTTTTTCCTCCTCGTCGGATAATTTCGAAGGAAACAATATTAACTTGCTGACAACTAACAAAACTGCAGCAGCCGCAAGTTCTTCCTCGTTCGTGAATGCTACTCCTTCCCCCATGATTTCTTCCACAGAGAATAAAGTCATTTCCCAGCTTTCCGACCTGAAACTCGCGATTTGCAAGGACGAGTTCGGGGAGGAATTTGAAAAAGAAAACTTGATTGCCATCCCGGACAAATGCGAGCTCCCGCCGGGCGAGAACACGGGCTTCAGCAGTGAGTGTGCGAATTTCTGCACGTGTTTGTATGCGAAACGGAAGTTTCTGGACTTGGCGTTCGACCGAGCGGCGAAGGTGAGCTGCGAAGAGTTTGGGACGATTTGGAAAAACAAGAAAAAGGGAAGTACGCAAGAAAAGGGTGAAAGGGAAGAAGAACTGAACGCGTGTGAAAATGACGAAGTTTTTCCTGAAGGAGGTGAGAGACGGATCATATCTGAAAAAGTCCGCGCCGATTTTTCCACGGCAGTGAATGAGGACTGCCACATCTGTCTCGGATTGCTCTCCAAACCCGAAGACGACGGCACGTTGATTCCGAAAAACGAAGATGTGGATGAGATTGATGATGCGGGGCACCTCGTGAGAAATAAATCCCGCAAAAGAACTACATTAGACAAGCAGAAGAGTTTAGTGGTTGGGGGAAAGTGCCGCCACTTCTTTCACTACTCCTGTCTGCGACACAAGCATCTAGATCCGCATTTCCGCTTCCAGTGCCCGGTGTGCAAAGAGGCCTTGGAACTGATTCAGGATGATGAGATTACAAAGGAGAAAAAGCCGCCGGCGGTGCTGATTTACCATAAAAGTGCCAAAGCGGCAGGGGGAGCAGAAACAGGGAACAGTTCTTCGGCCACCGGATTTGTACAAAGTCGCCAAAATTCCAAGTCCACCACCGAAGAAAACGGCATCGTCTGTATCGAAGGCCGGGGGGAGAACGCGGCTGAATTCCCCCGCAGTCCTGTTTGTCACATCACTGCCGGGATGCTCTTTCCCAGGGATGCGAACATCGCGACGCAGATGCCGAGTTTGATGCTGCCCACCGGGATCAACCAAGACCTGCAGCGCAAGCAGCTTTACGCCAACGACTTGATCCGTGGCGGAAGTGACCATAACCACGCTTTTTTTGACCTTTCCAACTGCGGCACGACGACTTCCCCCGTTCTGCACTACTGCGGGCTGCACGCGCACAGAGTGGAGCAAAAGATCAAAATAGAAGTGAAAAGCCTCCCAATCGCGCCGCGGACACGGAAGATCGAAATTAACCGACTCTACATTCAAAACCGGTTATCCACCCTGTGCCGCCAAATCGGGTCGGAAATCGTGGAAGCGACACCGGAACTCGCCACTGCCATGATGGCGCGGCGGATTGTGCTGGTGGCTGCGAACGGAGTTCCGGTCAAGGTGTCGAAGGACCACCGGGTGATCGACATTTTGCCCAACCAGCAGAAGCTAGCGCGGGAAGTCGCGCTGGTTTTTGAGTACGAGCAGGAACCGCGGATTGAGGTGGATTTGTTCGCGAAGGGACTTGCTGCCCCGATTTCCTCCATGGAACAGCTGCTGAAACTCGCGAATAAAGCGGCAGAGAAAATGAAAAAGGATGATGGCGAGGAACTTGATGAAGAAGACCAGGCGGACTTTGGAGCAGCGGCAGCTTCGTCGTCTTCTAGCAATACTGCGGCCCTTGTTCAGTTTTCTGCATCTACTTCGCGTCAATGTCACAAAAAGCGGCGTCATGCCCTCGAGCTCTACGTCAATTTTCGTCGGTCCTACACTGCGAGCGCACTACCTACTCCGGACGACGGGAGCGGACGGGCGAAAGCCGTGCTTTCCTACAGTGACGTGTGGGTGCCGTATGTCGGGAACGGGTGTTTTTTGGACGGACCGGTCTTGAAGAAAGTGGATTTGGCAGCTAGTACCAGTTTATTCGACGCCGCAACCAATGCTGGCAACAACAGTACTACTTCTACCGAGGACGCGGACGGTCACAAAAACCGCGAAAAAACGAAGGAAGCGTACTCACACATGCTTTCTGTGCTTCAGTGCATGCAGAAGAAGTGGAAACAGGTGAAGGGATTGGAAGCGGGGGTTCTGTCCGCGCTGTTTCGTTCCTTACTGGACAACTGGAACCCCGCTGCGGACGCCTTGCACCTGTTGCTGACGCGAAGAGAAAAGCAAATCACCAACGCGGACCTGGGTGCGCTGGTGTCTGGCCTGATCTACGTGTTGCAAAAGACCACCCTGCCCAGGAAAGGCGGGTTTGCGGAGCTACTTTCCTCGGAAGAAATGCTGGACGCGAACGAAGCACAAGCTGTCGGATTCATGTCCGATGATCAGCCACTCACGACCACTGATAATGCGACTAGATCGGGAAGCCGTGATGTTTTGAAGAAAATCCCGAGTCCCGACTGTCTTTCCAACGTGAAGTACGTGTGCTCCGCGCTGATTTGGCTTTTCGAAACTTTGAAAGAAGTCGAGGCGGAGTTTCCCCTGCAGGAACAAGTCATCCCCTCGGATTTTTTTCTCGATTCTGCGACCGCGAAAGCAGAGACCACGGCGAAGAAAGATCAGGAAAGGAAGACGAGCAAAAGCCCGGCGGAGAGACGGGAAAAAGCCGAAGAGGACGATGCAAAAGTGGAACACACCGACGCGGCGCAGTCTTCCTCTGACAGCTCGGAAGATGATGAGAGCGGTCCCAGCAAGGCCGGCGCTGCGGGGCGTCTGATTTCGAAGTGCATCTTTCGCAAAACGGAGTTTCCGCTGACGGAGCAGGTTGTTAGGGCGGTGGAGAAGAAGTTAGGCAAAAACCACGTAAAAGCATCTGTTATCGCAGAGACAGACGAGGACGTGGACATGGACATGGTGTCTGATGATCACGGTGATGAACGGATGCCGGACCATGTTGGAAACAAAATCGCCCAAACTAGCACTGCGCCATCCTCCGTCCACTCCCGGCTGCTGAAACTTTTCGGCACGTATTTCCTGCAACAGCAGGACGACCTCCAAACCTCGACAACAAACCTTACACACCACCGTTTCCTTTCCCTCGCATCTGCCACCGGCGGCACAGCTGTCACGACCTCTTACGGGAGAAATTCCACGACGAGCAAGCACGTCCACCCAATCTTCGAGTTGAAATCGGCGAAGGCGGCGCTGAATTCGGCGCACTCCGAGGGGACGCTGACCTTGAACCCGAAGGGCCGGGTCGTCGTTTGCCGGGGCCGGCCGCCGTGCGACGCGGGAGCGAATCTGTTGCTGTTCGACCCGATTGCGGGCGAGGAGTTGTCCTTCGGAGTGGCGATTCTGACCGCGGCAAACGCGAAAAGGGGTACAACCATTGGGGTCTTGTCGGACAAGCGAGAGGTGCAGAACGACGTGGATCTGAAGGAGGGCATCGCCTGCGTCGTGGATTCCAGCTACAGCATGAGTGAGTCCTCCGGGTTCGGCCGGCGGGAGCGGGATATCAACTGAAAAAATGTCTGGGTCTGGAAGATTGCAAACTTGTGATGGATGCGCATTTCAGAACACAGAAAAATCTCTCATGCATAGGCAGCAAAAGTTGCCCGCTTTCTGTCACCAAAATGGGGGATTTCTTATGCGGATTCGGCAATGATTGCGGAAGCTTCTCGAAACCTGTGATGCTAGAGCTTCCATGCCAGAGCTTCTGTGTCATGCAAAAACAGCATGACCCTTCCGGACCCAGACATTTTTGCAATTCATACGGGACGAGGTGGAGCGAAATTACGACTCGAAACGGGCCAACGGCTGGGACGAGGACCCGCCGGAGGATGACGATGAAGACCGTTTATCCGAGGAACTGGAAAAGTTCGGGAACCACCCGAATCTCTTCGATTTCCGGTCCGTGATTGAACGAAGTGGGGACAAGCGGAAGGCCGCGGAGTGCATCCTGCAGGAGCTGTGCCGGTTGACCTGGGTTAAGACAAAGGATCCCGACGCGGAAGACCGGCGGCGGGTCTTTACCAAACACCGGGAAAAGTTCATCCGGGTGTTGCTTTTGGCCGCGAAAGGGGGAGATGGTTGTACTGGAAGGTGGAACAATAGTTCTTCTTTTCAGAGGATCACGCGGCATGGGAACATCAATCTCGAGGACGACCACGAAGGTGACGCTGATGCGTCAACCAGTGAAGTAGACGTCGTCCCCCACATGTACCTCTGTCCAATTACGCGTGAATTACTGGAAGACCCGGTGATTGCGCCGGACGAATTCACCTACTCGCGCCACGCGATCGAGACGTGGCTGGAGCGGTCGAAAAAATCCCCGATGACAGGGATCGACATGGGAAAGAAGAAGTTGATGGCGAACAAAACGCTGAGAATCGGTTTGGAAGAGTGGAAAGAAGCCCGGGAGAGGAGGAGAAATGGGCAGCGCGGGTGGGCATCAAATGGCGGAAGTGGAGCCTCTTCGTCTTCAGCTGTTTTGGTGAATAATATCACTGGAAATAGTAATAGTTTCCGTGCGACGTCCTCCTCTTCGTCGCTCTTCGGGAAGAACGTGCTTGGGACGACGTCGATGTTGTCCACTGAGAACTTCTCTGATGACGTTTTTGTCAAGATGCAAACGACCGGCAAGACGTGCACGATCCGCTGTAACGTGCGGACCACCACAGTGAAGGAGTTCGCGGCTCTGGTCAACGAAAAGCAGAACTCGCTTTTATTTCCCATTGACCCCGCGAGGATGACCTTTTCCGGCGCAGATCGCTTGTTCTCCACGAGTTCCGACGGGAGTCTGGCGTTGCTGACCTTCGGGGTGCGACACGCGCAAACCCTCACCATGTTTGTGCGCGAGTTCGGGTTTGGTAAAAATTACATGACAACTTCGAGAAGTGCTACTGCATCAGGAGCCAATAAGCGGAAATACGACTTAATCGACGTGGAAATTGCTGGGCTGGAAATTCTCCCCGGAGGAAATAACGGCCTGCAGAAGATGGACATTTGCGACGTCCCCGCGAACGCGACGGTCGAGCACGTGCTGTTGCGCGCCTGGTGTCAGTGTATCCACTTTACAGGGAAGTACGACCTAGCGAACGGCCAACGGTTCAGTCCGCCCAGCGGTTGGGACCTGTGGTGTTTCAGCAGCTCCGAGTCGGATGCGGACCACGAAAAAGGCGACGGGGTCAAGGTACGGTACGGCCAGCGGGGGGAACCGGAGGGGAAGTTTGTTGGCATGGCGGAAGATGGGGGACGAAGTTATGTTTCCTCGTCTCACGAGGACCGTTCCACTGCCTTGGACGCGAGTACTTTGAAGGGCTTCGAGATTATGCCGCGAAAGCTGCGAAGCTGGGAAAAGCGGGAGATGACCCGCATGCAGGCGGTAGTGCAGTTCTTCAACGCCTTTTGCAACCGGTCCATTGCGTACAATTATCCCGCCGCGGTGGGGCTGTGTCCCTTTTCCACCGAGGTACCGGACGTGGAGGATATCAACGTAACCGTCGCGTACGAGGACTTCCGCGAGGAGGTGGACGATTTGAAGCCGGGGGGCGACACGGCTTTGTATGACGCGTTGCTTGCCGCGGCGGAGGCGTTGGTGGAGTGGAAGAAGAAGATCGTGGCACAGAAGAAACAAGCGCTGCAGGGACAGACACAGAGCAGTGGCGGGAACGACCATCAACAACATCTTCAAGGGACGAACAGCAACAAGATGACTGCGAAGGAAGCAGACGCGCTGACCAACGTCGGGCTGCGATTGATTTGCTTTTCCGACGGAAAAGATTCGAGCTCGGAAAGCGAACCTTATGAGGTTACAGTGTTTTTGATGTGTAGAAGCCCTTGGCTATGTTTTTTCTGATGTGTAAAAATTGTACTGCATGATTTTGCGTACTTCGTTGCATAAAAAACCGTGACGAAAAAAGCAAAAGAACTACATCCAAAATAAACCAAAATCCCAGGTTGCCCAGTACTTGCAGAAGCACAAGATTTCGATGGATTTGATCATGATCGGCAGCGAACGAGACCGGGACGAAAACGCGCACGCGATCGCTAAGGCGTCCGGCGGGTACGTGTTCCGTCCGAAGACGTTGCAGCATGGCCTGCAGATTATGGAGCTGGAAACCATGCTGTTTGGCGGGGAACGGCCGATGAATTTTGAGTGGAAGCAGCGGCGGGGGTTACCCCTAGTGAAAGACGAGGACACGTTGAGTGCCTTCACCAACCTCGTGCGCTTTCCGGTGGACCGGTGCGACCAGTCGATCGTGCCCGCGCGGAGGCAGCCGCAGGAGCTGGAGCAGATCGAAGGAGGCAGTTTGAAGGTGCTGGGCGTTGTGAACAAGGACAGCGACAGTCTGGAAAAAGCACTGGATCACATGGTGACAGGAAACAACGGTGGATTAGAGAAGAACAATGGCAACGCGAACAAGCAAGACGACCAGAAGGAGAAATCCTCCGACACATCTGCAGCGGCCGAGGACGACGCTGGAGCACCTGGGGGAGCCAAGAAGCTGTCAAAAGCGATGAAGAAAGCTGCGGGGGAAATGGTGAATGGAAAAAACGCGAAACACAACGACAAAGACGAGAAGAACAAGGACAGTAAGAAAAACAGCAACAGTAAATCAGGAGCTGCTTCTGCGAACGCCACTCAGGGGAAGAACCAGGACAGCGGAGCAGCAACTCCCAAGCCCCCGATTCAGCAGCAAGTGGACGAAGAAGCGCGGAAGCGGTTACTCGTCGAGGTGCGCGCGCTTTCTCGTCGGCGCGCGAACCAAAACCCGCAGATCGACATCTACCCCACGGAACTGCTGCACTTTTGGAAGGTGGTGATGCAGGGCCCGGACAGCAGCGCTTACCAAGGGGGGGTTTTTGAACTGTACGTCAAGTTTCCGCCGGACTACCCGGGGAAGCCGCCGGAAATCCGGTTCACCACCCCGATTAAACACTGCAACGTCAACGCGCACGGGAAGATCTGCCACAGCATCCTAGACCGCAACTGGAATCGGGATCGGACCGCGAGCGAGGCGTTGAACCACGTGTACGGGTTATCGCGAGGAAAAATGCCCCCACCCCAAAGTTGCAAAAATTTGTGATGCGAAGTTTCCAAATGAAAACTTTTTGTCATGCATGAAAGGAGTATGATGAATCTTTGTCTTTCTGATGCAGAGTCTAGGCGTGTTTCGCATCGCTTGCATGACAAGCACCGTTCTTGCTGGGATCTTTTGCAAGACAAATTTTTGCTATTCACGATCGGAAATCTGTGACGCTGATACATGCAAGAGGGCGAGTGTTTCATTCGGAAAGGTTTGCAATACAAATGCTTTCAAGTTCGGGGGTGGGGGCGTTTTTCACTGTAATACGGGCTACTCATGTCGCCGGACTACGACGACCCGTTGGACTCTATCGTAAGGAAAAATCCCCCCTCCCCATATCGAAAAAGCATCCTGTTGAAAATTTGTGATGCTGATTTGTGGTCACAAATCAGGTCTGTCTTGCGAGAGAGCAAAGCCAGAGCTTCCGCCACTTTACACAGGCGGTTTGTAATGCTGCTGCGCTAACAGGGCAATCGTCTGCCATGCTGAGCGCCCATCTCTAGCCAGCCCCTTCCAGGCTTTGTATCTGCCTGCACTCCTCTACTGCAAGACAAAGCTGATTTGTGTACACAAAACCCGCAATACAGATTGCCACTTTGATATGGGGAGGGGGGATGTTTCATGTTGATAGACTCGGTCCTGGCTTTGCAGGCGCGGACGGATCACGAGGCCTACCAAATGGCGATCCGGAAGCACGTGGCGGAACACGCGAAGGGGGTGACGCGGGAGGAATTACGGAAAAAATTGACGGAGGGAGGGGAGTGAGACGAAGCGGCTATTTGATCTGTTCGGCCTGGATACAGGTACGAGTGTTTGTTTGGAACGGGTCTATTTCTAATTGTGATACAGCGTCGTCGTGTTTTTAATGTCGAATCGCGATGATGAACTACGAAGAAATATTATGAAATCATTTAACAGGTCGGCGCTCGTCTGGAATTTTGGCAATGGAGTGTCTATTCGGGTCCTGTTATTTTCATCGATTTCTGGTAACGCCACACGGCTGCCGTGGCTCTACAATTCATTTCTCGAATCCGACAAGCTACGATTCTGGAAGACTCGTGCGTGTTTTTTGATGGAGAACAACGTCTTTACCTCTATCGCAAAAAAGGTTTCTGGCAGAATTGATGTCGTCGGTCACTTATTTGAATTTTCCCATTTTCGATAAATTTGTTGTTTTGAACGAGCTCTTATCATTCCACCAACTAAAAAGCCTTTCGAAATAGTGAGAAGATGACGTTGAGAAATTCCCGAATTTTGACGGAAGGTCCGAATCGAAATAGTAACGAAAATTACTCATAGTGGCGGTGGTGCGTAGCTGTTTCTAGACACTGCGCGCAAGTCCCCTTGCTTCTGTTCGCCTGTCATGAAGATCTGGAACAGAAACTGACAAAACATGCTACCCATAATTCTCCGTGCTCTAATTCGTGTGAACCGTCGGCTGGCGAACGCCAGGGGTCGTATTCGTGGTCGCTTTTCATACAACGCAAGGACATGTCGTGGGTGTACCTGCACCAGTTTTATCGTTTTAAAAGTCGTGGGCGCAGCTGCTCAGTCGTAATTTAGAAGATGCATCGACGATAGTTTTCGGCAGCTCCTCGGTTGAATTCTAAGCGCTGCCAAGAATGGGCATCTGAAGCGAAGCTTTTTTGTTAATGAACAGCAGAAGGTTCTTTTCTTGATGAAGGTGGGGCAAAACAAAAACCACTGTTAAACTCTGGCGGAGCAGCCCAAAAGATCTGTTTACCGTAATATCTGTGATTTGATTCGAAGATCAATACCATAAGTACATATGTTGCTCCGTGGCGTAGAGGGACAGGAGGTTGTCTCGACGGGCGTAGAGAATCACGACTCCGTCGTCGGGTGTGGGCACTGTCTGGACGCGTGCTTCACGTGTAGCCAGAACCAGTATGTTGGTAACTACACGACGACACCTGCTGTACTCTCGAATGCCACGACGAGCCCTACTAGCATGACCACCAACGTGACAGACGTTCTGCTCTCGAACGCGACAAAAGTAGCAGACGTCGTGCTTTCGAACGCGAGCAGTGCAGCGGCGGAAAATGTCCTTAATAACGTGACCACCAACGCGACGGATAGTCTCGTGGAAAACTATGCGACGAACGTAACGGGGGTCGCGGTGGAGCAGAATGTCACCGGGGTTGTCCGGATGCAGAAGGCGATCGCCACCGTTTTCTGCTGCAACGAGAGCCTCGAAGAGCTGAACCCGCTGCTGTTTTTCTGCGGGCTTTTGATCCAGATCGTGCTGTGCGCCACTTGCTGCTGCGTGTTGCTGCCGTGGTTGTGCAAGAAGGTGGTCTTCGGAAGTGGTGGCCGGGGAGGGGGTCGAGGTGCGGTGCGGGGGCACGAGCGGCTCGAGGAGAAGGATGGCTTGCTCGACGCGGACGACAACGGCTACGTCGTGGGTACAACGTACGAGGAAAGCTACGAGTACTACACCACGAACACGAACACGTACAATTATTAATGACCGTGGCGCGAGGAGGACCACGGCAACTATGAGAGGGAAGATGAAATCGATAAAATAAAGGTTAAGGTTTGACTATGTATTTCTTTGTCTTTGCCATGTTTGCATTTGATTCCATCATGAGACGATTTCATACACAAAATTGACTTGTAAAGTAGATTGATAGGTTTGGTTGGCTCGAGGTGTTTCATGGTTTTTTTACAACTGACAGCAGTATGGATTTCTATAGCGTTTAGACGACTTTCAAGGAGACTATGGATCTTTTTTTCTCACCGCACGAAAAACGAAAAGATCAAATAAACCACTACTCACGACGACGTACACGGCTTCGGAAGTGGTGAGAAGTGTATTTATGCCCAAAAACCACCTGCGAGGTAGTCGGTAGAAAATTGTCCGTATGTTACTTCGTTTCAACAATGAGATCCTCAAGGCGTGGAAGCAGGATCAAAATTGGAAAGCACGCCAGGAGCTGTCTGATCCTGATAATGCAAAGCAGTCAAGTCTTCAAAGAAAGCGATGATCCATAAAGAAGTTGTCAACAAAATTCGCTCGGTTTGGGTTTTGCTGCTACAGTGTAGATGTACGTTCTTGATCCCGAGAATTTTCTTCCGGTTGACGTTTCATTCAGTGCCGAAAAATCGGGACCATTTCTCAACAGCAGCGACAAGGGCAGTTTGGTACAACGACATACTGCCACTATCGGTAGAAACGACTTCTACGACTACTCTCTGAATAACAAAAGTAAAAGATATTTTTTGACAAAACTGACTAAGGAGAGAACTTTTCACACGTAAGTAACATGATCCCCTTTTTCAACAAGTACGTGTGAAGTTTACAAAGTGAGACACGAGATGAATTTATAAGCAATTGAGATTGTTTACAGCATGTAACCCAAATATATACGATAAATTACTTAGACTTATTCATATTAATCAGAATAACTACAATGGCACTCCCCAAAGCCGTGTTCCGAACGAGGCCCCGATCCACCCGCGAGCAGCTGCTGGATGCAGCCAACGCCGCGGAGCCTATTTGTTTCGAGACCGTGCCCAGCACGTTTTCAGACCGCTCGCTTTACTACCAAATCTGCTCCGCCAATGTCAAAGCCGAGTTTCTGTCCGCCCTCTACGAGGCCCGGGGCGGGCAACTGCGGTTCCGGGTCTGCGATCCGGTGAACCGATGGACTTCCCGCGGGAAAACGTACGTGGAAGTTGAACCGGTGGGATTTGCGAGGAGAAAACGAAATAATGGCAAGAAAGGTACTATCAAAGAGTCTTCTTCAACTCCTGCTCCTCGTCCTTGTGGTGGTGGTGTTCTAGTACCGCTGACCGACGACCAGCAGGACGACAACCATCATCCTTCCACTTGTGCAACTACTACGCCATCGAACAGTAATATTAGAGATGAGGATGTTGAGCGTGAGCCAGAAGTGGTCGTGCAAGTGGCAGGTGTAGGTGGTGTTGTGGCGACGAATAAAATTGAAGGAGCTTCTGGAACTGCAGGGACAACTACTTCAAATAAAGCCGGGACCACTACTAGTTCTTCATCGCGTGCGGAGGACACGTTGGACCAACTTGCGAATATCCGGGACAACGTGGCAGTGAAGATAAACACAGACGATTTTTATGGAGATCAGAAGAAACTCTGCAACAGCACTCCGAGGAACAAGATGACAAAAAATACTACCAATAAAGAGGAAATAACCGAACAGCAGCATGATGGTACAACCCCCAAACGCGAGTACATTCTCCTCACTGCCGTGGAGGAAACCACCCAAACCAAATACGAAGACCCGCAAACCCCCGAGCAAAAAGAGGAAAACGCCCGTCGGCGCATCTTCGTGCGCGCGGTGGGTCTCGAACAGTTCACCGGCAAGCGGCTGGCGAAAGGTGCGAGAGGTGGAGAGATGTTCGACGTGATCGCTTTCGTCGGCGACTACATCGCGCGGTATGACTGCGCATCTCACCGGTTGTCGGATCCGACGTGTCGCACACCGTTGGAAGACGCGCTACTCCGGCCGGGCAAGCAGCCGCGGGGGACTTTGCGAAAAATCCCAAATGCGGACGCTCTGTTAGCGTGTCAGGGCGAGCTCCCGATCAATGCGTCGCAAACGGAGGCGGTGAACTCGTTTACGAAAAGGATATCCGTCATCGAGGGGCCGCCGGGAACCGGGAAGAGCACGACGATCTACCACATTTTGCGGGCCTACGTCATGCAGCAGGAGGGAAATTGTATTTCTTCGTCTAAGGAGCGTGATGTTTACGGTATGGAACATCTCTTATCCGGCTCTTCCCTCTGTGCGACCGGCGGCAGAAGCAGAGCAACTTCCGTGACACAGCAGTTCACCAAGGCAATACAGGCTGTGTTGAATGCATCGCCTTCGAGAAGCTGCGGGCACTTGCAGAAGCCGGGAACAAGTACCAGAAGTGCGTTTGGCAGTACCGATTCAATGATGGCAAATAGTTCTTGTGTAAGAAATAAACCTACTACATCTTCTCTACCGTCTTTGTCCGCCGCGAGGGAGGAGGTTCAGGTTGCGCAAGAAAATAAATCTGTCCGTCCTCCCCGGGAGCGGTTCCAAAAAGCCGAGAAGGCGGCATTGGTGACTTGTGTGACGAACCAGGCGGTTAACGCGGTGATGGAAAAACTCGGACCACTGGACCAACACGGGGTCAAGTCCCTCGTCCTCGGGAATCCGAGCAAGATCGGAGCCGCCGCGGCGGCGTTCACGCTGGAAGAGAAGGCGAGAAACGATGTGTGGTGCCTGTTTATGAAAAAAGCCTCAACTCTCTTCAATAAGATGCGCAACGCGGTGGACAGCGCGCAGCGGTCGAGGGTGAATCGCTTGCTGGGCGGCGAGGGTGAGACAGCAAACCTTCCAGGTTTATATCCCGCTAGTGAGCAGAAGAAGACGAAACAGAACATCAAAGTACGGGACACCGGACTCCACTATCCGGAGCCCGCCCCCGGCCTTTCCAAGTCTCGCCTATCCTCCTTCGACATCCGATATGCCTTTTCGAAGAATTTCCCGGAAAAGTACGAGGAACTTGAAAAACAGAACAAGGAGCTTCTCGACAAGAAATTGAAAAAAGCGAAAAAATTTTTAGAAATTTGCTCCGCGCGCGACGAATGCACCGCGGAATTCGAGAAAGAACTGGAAAAAGCGCATTTGGAAGTCGTCGACGCGGTCCGGAGAAAGATCGCGCGGGCCTTTGTGGAGAATCATAAGTACAAGAAGACGGAGAAGTTGCGGCGTCTATTTTGCAAGTGTGTGTCGAAAATCAATCACTTTTCCTCCTACTTGAAGCTCACCGCGGAGTGCCGTATCGTCCGGGAAACGAACGTGTTTCTCTTCACCATCGCTTCTGCACACCAAATGCTGCGGCTCCGCCGGGAGTATGAGGAGGACTTCCCGAGCCGGATGGTGATGGGCATTTTGGACGAAGCGGGGGCGACGGCGGAAACTTACATCCCCTTGGTGCTGGAGACGGAAATCGAGAACTTGATCTTGCTCGGCGACCAGCGCCAGCTCCGGCCGTTGGTGATCGCGCCGGACGAGGAGAACATCGACGCGAAGCAGGTGAACCGCAGTCTGTTGGAGCGTATGCATTGCGAATATGTCTGGGTCTGGAAGGATGCGAACTTGTGATGCGCATTTCACAACACAGACAAATCTCTCATGCATAGGCAGCAAAAGGTGCCCACTTACTGTCACCAAAATGGGGGATTCGTCATGCGGATTAAGCAATGCGGAAGCTTTTCGAAATCTGTGATGCTAGGGCTTCCATGACAGACATTTAGTGTCATGCAAAAACAGCATGACAAAAATCTGCATTCTTCCAGACCCAGACACTTTTGCATTTGATAGAGCGGTGCGTCAACTGCAACAGCGGCAGCACCATGTTGCGAGAACAGTACAGGATGCCAAGGAAGTTGTGCAATTTGGTATCCACGTTGTTCTACGACTCCAAGTTGATCACGCCCGCGGCAAAAGTGGAGAAACTAGTTCCAGAAAACCAACTGCGGTGGGTCGACTGCGGTCGGGAAGACGAGATGCAAGTGGGCACGAGTTACGTAGCGCCGCTGCAGGTGGTGGCCGCGGTATGTCTGCTGTTGGGGCACGTGAGTTGTACTCGCTCTACTACTTCTGCTGCAGTAATAAAACAAAAAGTGGGGACGACCACTCCTGCTGCAGCTTCGGCTACCAGCAAAAGCATGCCGGCGTTAGAGGAGGCCGCGACAGGAGCAGTTTTGTCCACGAGCACGACGGCCGAGACGCCTTCGAGTAGTAGCACAACCCCCTTCTCGTCGGAAGGTGCAGAAGGGAGTAGTGACGGAGAAATAAGCAAGTCGAAGTCCAGTTTTTCGGGCAGTTTCTTGGAGAAGACGGACGAAAATGAAAATTCTACAACGAATTGTTCAGTGGAAAGAACATCAGCGACATTGGAAACTGAAGAACATCAACCCGCAGTAAAATCTTCTGTCGACTTCCTCTCCGATGCGAAGGCGGAGGTGATGATCATCTGCATGTACTTGCCCCAAATGCGCCTGCTCCGCGCGGCCCTCCCGGCGTCGCTCCTCCAAAGACCGGGCTTCCGGATTGTCACGGTCGATGCGGCGCAAGGCACGGAAGCCGACCACGTGGTCCTAATTGCGGGGAGGTGCAACCCCTGGGCCAAGGTCGGGTTCACCAAGGTGAAGAACCGCCTCAACGTGGCGATTTCGCGCGCGAAGCAGAGTTTGACCGTGATCGGATGTGAACAAACCATGCGGAGCGACCGGAATTGGCGACAACTGATTGAATCCTGCACGCCGTTCGACTGGCCGGCTGCGGTCACGTGCGGCGAACCGGGACTGGAGCGCCGAGGAAACAATACGAAAGCCGGCACGGGTTTTATTTCAGGATCGTTGTCGAAAAAGACTCTAGTGTCGCTGGTATCTGCAGCGGATGCGCAGGCGGTCAGCGATAATGTGGCGAAAATAATGTCGACGCAGTTTGCTAATGCACAATCTCTGGAACAAACAAGTTGCGGGAACACCCCGAGGAGCTGGAATAGCACGCCGAGAAATCAACAAGGGAAGAAGGGCGCCGGGAAATCAACTGGCACAGGAAAAAATAATGGAGCGCAAGAAGGTCCTGACGAAAGCAAGAGCAATACATTCTTTTCATTTAGTGGAAATGGTGAGAAAAAAGGCAAGAAAAGCAAGGGCAAAGGGAAGAACGGCGACAAGCAGAGCAAGGGTAAGGGAAAAGGGCAAGGGCAAAGCAAAATAGACAACAAGATACTGCCGAAGGTTGAGAAAATAACACCCGCTCTACTGGGAAAAGACGACGATGAAAGCAGTACGGAAGAGCCTCTCGTCTCCGACCGTGCAGCCCTTCGTTCTCGGGACTCTCGCCTGAAACAAAAAGGTTGGATCAAGGTTTACTTTAGCACCACGGAAGCGAACGCGGCCCTGATTGAGCAAAACGGGAACAAGCTTCTAGGCGGCGCGCAAAACGACCCAAGCAAAGGGTTTTTTCTCACCACGAACCCCCGCCTTGCGTCTGGAGGCGTTGTGTACAAAGTCCTGGCCCGCCTTGGTGCGATAGAAAGGCGAGGTTTTGGTAAGAAATCGTTGCCACGCGGGTTTGCGAACCTTTCGAGCCGGGGAAAGGATTCCGAGGAACTGAGCCCGGTAGTTTGGATGGTCTACCACACGGACCAGGTGAAGATCCTGTGCCTAGATAGAGAATTGACTGATTACGCCGCTGCCCAGTTGTCGGACAGCTGGTCTGATAGTTCTTAACCAGTGCCACTACACACGGGCACGGGGTGGCTAAGTACTTGCACTTACGATCATGCCAAACGAGAACATAGAAGATAAGTGGAAAAAGCTGTGCAGCATCAGACAAACTGAGCTTATCAAGGAGCAAGCCGCTGAGCAGGAGCACTAGCCAGCAGCGTTCTTGTATGATGGTTTTAATGGTTGCTTTTTATCCTGGGCCTTGATGAAAAAATACGCCCAAAAATCGTTTTTGACAAAAGTAGTGTAAAATCATTCCAAAAAACGAGAACATTCATTCTGGCGAACTTTACTGTACGAGTACGACACGATTTTCTGAGGAGAGCCTGAAGCACACGACACACGACTACGCGCTTCCTCCTCGACAAAACAAAGATATTCGAACAAAAAGGGTCGAGACCGAGTCTTGCAAACCGAAAACCGGTAATCAATACGTTTGTTCCACCGCCCCAGGGTAAGCCGTCCCTTCGTGTTTAAGTTCTTTGCTTGCTCTCCGTCCTTGATCTGTCGCGCCAAAGTTTGATATTAAGGTCTTCTTTGCGGAAGATGTTCAAAAATCTTTCCTAGATCACGATAGCTGCATGATGTTGAGTGCAAAAAGCAGACGGATCATGATCGGAAAAAATGGTTTCTTCTCTCTGTTCTTTGTGTTTCTCCTTTCCACAAGCACTCTAACGCAAGTCCTCGCGTGGCGACTCCGGTCATCCAGCGTTGAAAGCACGGCGGCTGCCACTGCTACCGCGTCCTCTCGCCAGGCCGTCGATAACGAGAGCGGATTGCCAGCAGCAGGAGAAAAATCGCAATCCAGCGCCGAACGCTTCGCGCAGACCGGGTTGCTTGCCATCCGCCCTGCCACTCCGGCGGGATTGGAACATCAGCGAAAAACCACGGTCCACCGAAAGGCGAATGGGATCGTCAGAACAGAAAGCCCGCGACGGAATGAAGAGGATGATCAGGAGCATGTCGACACGGGAAAGGGCAGCAAGAGGACCCTGGCCACGTTGCCGCAAGTTGGGCAGCTGGTCTTGCTGGACAAGAAGGAAACTGCGGCGAAGAACAGCATCGGGCGATCCACGTCTTTGCCCATGCTGAGTACGTTCTGCACGGAAACCAGCGACGCTGCCAGGAGCGTCAAGCCGCCGCCGCTGCGTCCGAGGGTTTTGCCGAGGAATCCGTTTCATCCCGCCTTTTCAAAAAAGTAGCGAAACATTTTTGTATGATTCTATTTTCCGGGTTTCATCACAGAAAATGAAAAAGGATAATCTCGAGATGATCAGAGTTAGGCTGGTAGTACGTGGCTGTTGCAGCAAAGCGACACGACGCGCAGCAGGAATTGCGCTTGACTTTTTGTCTCATGCAGTATAATAAGTAGGTGTAAGTCGATGTAGATCGGCCCAAGCAACAGTTGTAGTTGAGTATGCTCTGAGTGCAGTTCTTTTGTCTGCGAAACGTAACATTTGAAAATGAACGGCTGGCGCTGGGGTAAGACGCACCTCCTCCTTCAACTTAAAGTTTCATTTGCTCATGGGCTCGTATCAAGCAGAATGTTCGCGCGCCGTCGTCAAGCAGATGCTGTCAAGCTGTTTCGCTCATGCCACTGTGACCGCTTCGGTGTTTCTGTTTACTGATCAGAAGACTGAACTGCAATGTTTAGTAGCTCCTTTCGTTTCTTTGGAAACAAAAGTGTCCCCAGAAGTGAGTTGAGCTCATTCTTCAAGCAACATGGCGCTTCCCGCTCCAGTGCAGGTGACCAGCGAAGGCTGGGTCGATATGCACCACTGCACGGGAATTTCCGCTGCGGAGTCCATCCTCTCCAGTCGGCAATTTCGCGCTGGCACGGACGGCTACTTGGGTGGGGCGATCTACTTTTCTAAAAGTTACGAGGAGGCGATGCGGCGGGCGCAGGGGGTGAAGAACGTGGAGGAGGAACAGGTCGTCTTGTCCGCGCGGGTCTACTTGGGGAGGTGCGGGCACTTCGAGAAGGGCACGATCGTCGACGGGCCGCTGTTGAACCAGTACAAGCTCAATTCCGCCAAGGTGTTCGGGCGCGAAGACAGTTACTGTCTCGCCGACACCAACAAGTACCGCGCGGACCCGCTGGGGCGGGTGAAGTGGATCTTTCGCTGCGATGACCTGTCGGAGACTGAGACCGACTGCACAAAGGTAGCATGTAGGATAGCGTATGTCGAGTGCGGTGTGTGCTACCTGAAGAAGGTATTGGAGCGGACCTACGACGCGCACGTGGCGGAATTCGGGGATGACGGAATCGGAGCAGTTGATCTGGTTGCCGGCACCTTCGCGAGACCGGCAACTGCTGGTAAGTCGCTTGGGCCGAAGCAGTTGCGAAACGAAGCGGGCGGCGGTAGGGGTCAGGAAAGCGAGTGCGTTCTTTTGCGGTACAAGGCCGGCTGCCAGATTTGCCAGAAGTACGGTCCCTCACAGGACAGCGCGGAGCTTGTACAAAAGTTGAAAAAGAATAAGAAAAGCGATTGAACCATTCCGCAAGTGACGAACTAATCATTCCGAAATTCCGATTCTGTTGAAACTTGTTTTTTCCAGCGAAGTTGTACATCACAATTCTAAATCTAAAGCATTTAATTCAGATACAGATTTTCATGATACTCAGTCCCTGTCCCGAGTAGATGATTCTTCTTTTTGTGTATGGGTTCCTTGAAGTTTTTTTTTTGAATATGAAATGCGGCACAAGCTCTTTGACCACTTTGACATGTGTTCAGGCAAGAAAAGTCAGCGGAGACATCCATCATGATGTGCTTTAGAGCTGACTTTGTTCATACCGTCGATTTGGGGTGTATGATAGGAAAGAATGAGTCAGGGTAACTGCGTGCGTTCAACAGATATTTCCATTCCATCTGATATTGGCAGCGGAGCACTAAGGCTGAACGTAGAAGATCGTGAGAGATTGGAGAAGTTCCATGCAAGTTGTCGCAGCGATGCTACCCGCACCGCCTGAGCTTGTCTCTATGTGAGGCGTGAGCCGCACACCGCGAACGCTTTTTGTGAATCAGTATTGTAAGCATTGCCTTCGAATTCGATTCCTGTGACTTATAGGTCTGGAGCTGGTCTCACACGCACGTTTACGCCCGTAGTGTAATGACCTAGGGAATATGAACGAACAGTAAGAATAACGCATTATAGAAACGCATTGTACTTATTTTACGCCAGCGCGCTGCGATCAGGCTTTCAAAAAGACACGCACAGAAAAGTTTTCGAAAGTTCGATTGATTTTTCGACAAAATGAACCACAGCTGCAACATTGTACGTGAAACCGAGGATGAAACGATCCGCCATTTCCCGATTCAGGTTCCGACTGAGCCGGAGCCAGACCGCGCCGGCTTGGGGGTGATTTCCTATGTTTTGACGCATGTTGACGTGGAGACGTTGCACAGACCTTTCGGATTGCCTCAGCATCCGGGAAGCTTCGCCAATTACGAGCCGCCATTGCGAGCGTTCCAATTTTTCGAGTGTAGTGCGATAGTGGAAATCATTCGGGCAGAAATGAGTGCCGCCGCGCGCCAGAAGAAGTTCGCACCGCGCGTAGGGAACCCAACCAACCCTCGCAGCAAGACGGAGAAGCACATAAACTTTATTTTTCAGTCGCGTTACACTTCGGGGAGTACATATAGTTTGAACTCCAGCTTGGGCGCAGTCTTCGAGCCCAGCACAAACTCCGGAAATCTCTGGGCTCAGTGGCACGGCTGGCTTGTCTTGTTGCAGGAAGCGCCCCACGGTGCAGGAGGTTTGCCTCGGAATATTGCTCTTGGTTTTTGTGAAGTCAAGGAGGGAACTGTCAGTTTGCACTGTTTCTCTCTTCACAAGTTCGGTGAGCACAAGCGTTACTTCGTGCGCCCGCTGAGCAATGCCCTGTTCAATAAGAAGTACTACGCTGCTTTGACGGATCTGTTTGACACGACGTACGGCCGGAGAGTTGCAGAGCAGCTGACACGTGGAGACGGTCCGGCCAGGGTTTTGCTATCAGGGACAGCGAACGATTGGGGTCTCGAATCGGCTGTGGAGCGGCTTGCTGCTTCCTGGCAAGGAGTGGCACCTTTCAACCATCAACAGCTGCGTGCCTTGGCGCTTGAGCGGCTGAGCATGAATGGTGTCGTGCTCATACAGGGCCCACCCGGCACCGGAAAATCACACCTCATTGTCAACGGCCTGGTGCCCGAACAAGTTGCAAACAGACAAAAAACACTTGTCGTTTGTAATTCCAACACGGCGATTGATGACTTAATGTTGAAAGTTATCAGGAATAACACGATTCGAGAAGACCAGCTGCTGCGGGTCGGCGATTAACGAAGCGTAAATCCTAGCATCAAAGAAAGGGGCCTGTATTCGAAAGCATGGAATGGACTAAACGAGGATCGTCGAAGGCGGTGCGTCTTCTTTACCACAATCTATCACGCGTCGAAGCCACACGTCGAAAAAGACTGGGATTCTCAATTGAAGAAAGTGTCCGCGTGGGATTTCCAGACCTTGGTCATGGACGAAGCGGGACAAATTGAAGACGCAAAGTTGTTTGCCATCCTGGCACGCTATCCGATGCTGAAAAAAATAATCCTCGTTGGCGACCCGCAGCAATTGCAGCCCTACGTGCCACAGACGATGCGGGAGCTCGGCTACGGAAAAAGCACGATGGAGCGTATCATGGAAATTGCCAAGCAAGCACAGCTACCGAGCGGACAGATGTGCCACGTGATGTTGGACGAGCAGCATCGGATGCCACCCATGATATCGAACGTGATCTCCGGCTTGTACTACAATGGTAGGCTGCGAGATGCACAGGCAAGCATGCACAATGGACCGAGAGCAGGTCTGCCGTGGAAGCCACTTGTCGTCATTGACTACCAGGGAGGGCAGATGAAATGGTGCAGTGCCTCTCGGTCTTTCAGTAACGAGAACGAGGCTGAGGTCGTGCGTGTGGTAGTCGACTTTGTAACGCAAAATGCAGGTGGCATGCTTGATCCGCCGCAGCGGTTGTCCAGTCGTGACTTCTGTATCCTAACGCCGTTTCGCGCCCATAACAACCTACTCAAGTAAGTAAATACGTTTTTCATTTTGTGCACTTGATCATGTAGTGATTAGCGTGGCATCTGTCTACGGCTCGGTATGGGTCATCAAGAACCTCGCAGCAAAGTGAACATCAAAATTAACTGCATCAAACACAGGAGAAAGCTAGCGGGCCAGACAGCAGAACAGATCGCAGATGAAGAAGATGACAGTTTCAACGCCGACCCGGATCGGGAGTTTCAGTCGCCATTTTTTCAAGCGACAGCACAAGCTTCACAAATTCCCAAAGGAAACATCGATACGGTAGACAGGTTTCAAGGGTCGGAGAAGGCTGTGGTATTTGTCTCTGCGTGCGTAGACTCGAATCTGTCCCGTGCCGCAGATCCGCACTTCATCAACGTAGCCTGTTCGCGTGCGAAGCACATGCTGTTTTTAGTTGGGAATTTTTCTGCGCTGGGAAAGCATCCAGATTGGAGGTGCTGGTTGGAGGAAGCGCAAGCAGAAGGCGTGTACATTAATCTAGGGGATGTGAGCAACCTGATCACCGTAAACACGATGTTGCGGCAAACACTGCTCGCGCCACAGGATTCACGCCCGAGCCGAGGACCAGGATTCATGCCCGACACAAGGGCCAGATCGCCGAGAAGGCAGGAGCGATCTGGCTCCCCATTGCGGATGATCAACCCATTGCGTTGATCGAACAATCGGAACAATAGTTGCAGAACGTAAGGGGTGTACTCGTTCCCGTGTAAACGTCCCGCTGGTGTTCTTGAGCTCTTACTTAGTGACAAAAAAGGGCTGATAGAAGTGTTCTGCGTGATTGGTTGGCTTCTGAACGATTTTTCCCTTTGTTGCTCTGTTTGCTCGGACAGCATGGCAAGATGGAAGAGGAAGGTGTCAAAAGTGCGAGGCATTCTTTTTTTTAGCAGGGTCATACCGATCGTGATCGTGTAAGTGAATCAGTAATAGTTTGATCGAGTTCGTTGAGATCGAGTTCCACTTAGTACCATTTTGAAACCAAAAGTGCTTTGAGGTTGACACAGCAAATACGTTTGCACTGATCGAAACGATTCACATACAATGCCCGAGCTCCTTAAACGCGTTGTGGGCGACGGGCCGCTCGCTCCCCCGGTACCGAGCAGTTTTTCCGCGAATGTTACCACGGTCCAGCTGGAATTTGCCGACGAGGGGAAGACGATCTCCCTGCCACTCGAGACTTTACCAGAACTTTTCAAAAACTTCTACGCGTCTCCCTGGTACGCGCTCCGCAATACCGGCGAGGTTGGAATAAGCAACAAACACGATGATCCAACACCGACCGTTCCCGGTCGCGTTCGCATGCAGGAGTTTGGCGTTTCCTTTGACGAATTTGTTCTGGCCCTGCACCGATTGAGTTCCGGCGAAAAACCGATTCTCACCGTCGAAGAAGAACGGGAACTCCGGAATAAGTTGCGGATTGTCGCGCTCGATGAGGTTCTCGTTTCGGCACCACCAACCTTGGGGGGAGTCCTTGGAGGCACAGGCAGTTCGACAGCAGAAGGGCGGCACGAAAAATTTACGCCCATCTACGAGTTCCTTTCCTTCTTCGACGGCCAGGACTATTCCAATTTTGTCGACCTGTACTTCAAGGGCCGAGTCGCGGGCATCGCTCTCAAAGGGGAGGCGCCTGGTCGTTTATCCGAGCTGAAAAATACGTACCAGGGCCTGTACGACTTGCACGACGAATCCGGCAACTCGCGGATTAAGGGAGAGCTGATCAAAACCCTCAGCTTTCCCGAGGACGTCGTCGTCCTTCGGCCCCAGTATAGTAGCTCTGAAGTCGCAGCTGATGACTTCGGTAGAAACGGCTACTGCACATTTCAAGTCGCAAAGGACAAGGTTTGCAAGGAGGTGTTGAATCATTTTCCAGATAGTTGGCAAGAAGAATTTCTCACGCCTTTCGACCTGAACCCATGGGACGCTTTCGGTTTGTTTGTGCAGGACATCCTCTCACAAAGGCTGGATTTCGGAAACGGCAAGACGGGGCGTTTCGCGCTCTGTGGCGGGTCGGTTTTCACGGCGCTCGCATCGAAGGAGATGCAGCACCGCGTCCCGTGTGAGAGACCGGCACCGGACTACGACTTTTTTCTGATTCTGGATGGCGTCCACGATGATCCACCGCTTTCCTTCGTGCAAACGGCTGCGAATACTCTGCATAAGGTTCTCTTGAAATACTGTGTGAAGGGCGACAAGGAACAGGACGAAGCGGCCGATCGAATGTTCATGAACAATCTTTTGGGTCTGGGAGCCATTCAGCGGTCGCAGTGTGCGATTTCAATTTACGTGTCGAACCCTGGCGTGTACGGAAATCCGGTTATTCCGATCCAGCTCGTGGGGTGGTATTCGAGTCTCGATTATGGAAGGGTTTGTGGGGGTTTGCGCTTTTGTCAATCTGGAGACCAGTTGTAAGTACATGAAAGACAAGTGCAGTGTTGCGAAGTAAAAATGATGAATTTTTCGCCTTGCGGCAGGTGCAACTTTTCAAGTAAAAATTATTTCGCGGATCATTTTCGTGGCTGCAAAGTGCTAGTTATGCCATGATCTTGGTAAAACACCAGATCCAGATCGGTTGTAGTTGTGGTTTCCTCCTTCTTTCCAACCTCCATGAACCGTCCTGCCTCTCGTCCTTTGACTTGGGCTGTTGTCAGGTGGGCTACGACGGTAACCGCTTTTACGGTACGGCGAAAGCTGTTGCAGCGCTCGCAACGCGGGTCAATGTGCTGAACGTGAACGACATTTCCCCGACGTATGTTTCGCGACTGGGAAAATATTTCGAGCGTGGCATCGGCGTGGCGGTTCCTTGCGATCGACGTATCGAGGGCGGCCAGGTGCCGCTGGACGCGAAAGTCGACGACCAGCTGTCCGGCCAGCGGCTCATGGCGCGGAGGTTGCTGCAGGTGTTCGAAAGTTACGTGCAAAAAAAACTGACAAGTGCTTCGGAGATTGTGGAAGAGTATAAATCGCCAAGTAAGCGGAAAACCGCGGAATGCCGCTTGCGGGAAGCCCGGAAGGCAGCCTATTCCACCTATATGTCGCAAACCAGTATCCCCGAGCGGGTAATCGTCATGTGCCTGCAAATGCGGCAACGAGGCTTCTTGTGTTTCGATTACGAACCTGGCAGCCGGTCGCTGCGGGCCGTTGACGGCATGCAAACGCGGGAGAGATATCCGCTACACCAGCTAGAAACGAGCGACACCGTTGAGGCAACTTCCGCGCACCAGTCTAGAACTTCTGCGTACGACTATCCGCTGGATATTGACGTCGACAACATTACGGTCCCGGACCACTTCGTACTTCCTGGGCGCCACCGAGGGTCTACTAGAAGAGAAGTCGAGCGGTTGCAGCGCACGGAGCTACGGCTTGCGAATCAATCCGTTGATGCGCCGACCTCGTGTGGGGCGCGCTTGCTGGGACCGGACATAGACGGCTCATTGTATCAGTATCTGTCATTCAATCTTATGCTGAGAAAAATGTTTGAACATAGCTGAGTGCAGTTGCTGTGGTTTCATCGCGAATGGTCCGTGCGCTTTGCAAGAAACTGAAAACTGCGAATCGAAGAACACGCAATAAGCAGCTATTTTCATCTCTTCCATATTGGGCAGACTAGGAAAAGAGCCGACTACTTTCGTGACTACAGACTTGCAGACGGCCCTCTGCCCCGTGAACGCGCACCCGGATAGCCTCATGCCCGGCGTTTTTATTCAGGTCAGCGAAGATGTTTTTCCCGAAACTGCGTCCCTGTTCGAAGATGGTCTCATGCCCGTTCCGTCGAGCTTGCAAGGGCCGTTCGTCATGAAGCGGCGCGATGGTGGGGGATCTTTCGACAAGCGACATCCGAAAGAAATCTTTGAGGCGGGGCAGTGGGGAGCGAAAAGCTTGCACGGTGGCGTGGATCACTTGACGCGAATGGTGTTGTTTGGTTCCAATAATTTTTAACACGAATACAAATCGAAATTATGTCGCGATAATACTAAATCCCATTTTTGTTTTGGTCTAGTCTTCCGAAAACCTAACGCAGAAAGGCTCTCGATTAGACACGGGAACCTGTTGACGCAAAAAAGCGATGCTTACAACGTACGTCGGCTGTGTTTTGCTACCGGGTGCGGAGGGGAGTTTTGAGAAGTAAGCCAGGTGTTGCAGTTGTTCTTTCATCCGCGGTGGAGAGGTTTTTACGTGGTGAGTGACTAGCAGGCGGATGTATGTGTTCAATATGTGAGAGGTCTCTTCTTCTTGGAAAAAATGAGAGATCTTCATGCGGGTCAGAGTGTCGTGAAAATTGCAAGTCACAGCATGTACAAAGAAAAAAATATTTTTGCTTTTCCGAAACCAGAACAAGTACACGACGATCTGTCGAGGGTTTATTCCGTTTTCGGCTTAGAAGGAAGATGTCTCCCGTACCGATGAAAAAGACGAGCGAGGGTTGGTGTACTCTCTACCACGCAACCACCACCGCGAACGCGAATTCCATCGTCCAAGAGCAGCGGTTCCGGCCCGGTCAGTCGGGCCTGCTCGGCGGCAACATCTACTTTTCGAAGGAACGGAGCCAAGCAATCAAGCGGCGGCGGAAACGCGGTGGCGACTGCAGCACCGTCGTTCTGTCCGCTTTCGTCAAACTCGGCAGGTGCGGGCACTGGCGCGCAAACGCCATCGACGTCTCGGGGCAGACACTGAACGCGCACGGGCTGCATTCGGCGAAAGTTTACGGGCAGGATGCCTACTGCGTTTGCTCCACGAATAGTTACCGCGAGGACCCGGCGAGCAAGATCAAGTGGATTAGGATCGACGAACCGTCTGACACGGAGAACGACTCGGATGAGGATGATGAGGACTACGAGCCGGACGCCCAGCGACGCCGGACGGGATACAGCTCGGACTCGGACGAGTAGCGGGGTTTTGCCGGGCATCTGCGGTGAAGGTGTAGTTTGTGAACCGCAACTCAGGTATTGGCGCTGCGACCCCGCTGAACCCAAATGCAAGGACGGAATATCCTCATGAATCTGTGAATGTATTGAGATTTTTTTGTTCCGGATCTGGTGGAACCAAAACATATATTAATTTTCGGAAAACGATAGACACGATCTTCCCATGATTCCATTCCGACACGACGTCTTTTCCATTTTTTTGCATTCCACAATAACATGATGTGGCGCTGCTCTCCGGTTGATTTTGATGTACTAGTATGTCAGCACGGTCTTGAAGCAGGAAATTTCTGATGGTCATTTCTTTGTCATCGAGCTAGTTGTTCGTGTTTGTAATTCTGAATTGCGATTGATGTGAGTGCAGAGACGGTTGTTTGTTGCGTTGACGTTGAGAGACAGAAGTAGAAAGGGGATACGCAAGAAGCGATGCACCTATGATGGTTTGAAGCCCGCTCTCGAATGTTGACTTGGAATATAGGATCTTCGACGTTTTTGAATTGGGTCGTTTGATTGCGTTTTAGTAGGCTCGCAGCTGATGTTTGAATTTGGTATTGACGCATGAAAGCCTAGAAAGAAGAAAGGGAAGCGAAGCAGAAGCTGCACTGATCGTTTTTTTCCGTTCAGTATTAGGGCCCGTGATGTAGCACTAGACAATTTAGATTTCATTGGTCTCTGGATTGCAAAAAAATGGCGCTTACTTCATCGCGACGACATCGCTTCCTACAGTCGTCAAGGACCTCCAGAACAGCTGTAGCTTTCCTCCTTTCCTCCACCTTTCCGCCGTCAAATTTGATCCTACAAGCCACCGGCTTTGCCATATACGCTCCAGCTGCAGATGCTGATTGTGACTACGAGGAGGAGCAAGCAGATGAGCCAATGGCTTCGGAGCGTAGCTTCCCAGCCGAAACAAGCAAATCCCCGTCGACAACTGTTGACATATGGCAGAGGACGACGAGCTTGACGGCAGCGCACGCAGCGAGAAGTGGCGCAGTGGACCACACGTCGACCACGGGCAGTGAAACTGACGGTAGTAGTACAGCAAGAACTTCCTCGAAGAATAAACACAGGAGAAGCAAACGGAGAAACAATCCCGCCACCGATCCCGACTACGGTCCACTCGGGAACGTGATTGGAAGCGCGATGACCAGCCTGCTCGGGAAAAAGGAACCACGGCCGGACAGGCCGGACTGCAGCCGCAGGAAACGGCTGATGAACATGAAGTTCGGAGACAAAGCGGACGATGCGCTCGTGCAAGGAGCGAAGCGGAACGTGGACGCGGTGAAGAATCTGGTCGGCTCTCTGTTTTCGCCCAACACGTTGGAGGGGAGAAAACGACTGCTTTACTACGAGCAGCTCGCGGGGGACGGTGAGGGCGGCGAAGCAGTGGCGGGAAATGCGGCCAAACACCGTAGGAAGGGGAGGCCTGGAGGAGATGCTGGCGGCATATTACCGGGTACTTGTGATTGCGTTTTCGGTTTTTGCATGCACACCGCATTTCAAAATTGCTACCATGCGTCGTAGTTTCCATATTGAGTAACTCTAACTTTTTTGCTATGCATGGTTGAGACTTGTGCAGATAGCATCGCTGATTCTCTGCAGGTGTGGCGAATCTCGACGAGAATTACGGATTGTAGGGCCCGTCTCTGATTCCACGCTGCGCTTCGGCCATCCCTCCGCGTCCGCTTATCATGAAGCCGTGACGTCAAAATTAATTACTTTTTCTTGAGCATACAGAGATGTGGTCCTGTCAACTGAAATTCTTGTAGATCATTTGTTATTGTTACGCTACAACTGTAGAAGTAGATCGGCGTCTTCGCTTTCGCTGTGTTGCAAACGAGCTGCTTCACGGCTGCGGGTCCTCTCCTGAAGGGGACGCTCACAAGCGTCGGAATTTCACCAGAATAAAATTAAAGTTACACATTTGTTGGACGGAAAGTCTTACCTTTGTACCCTCTTATTTTTTGTACAGCTGTAGCTACTAGAAATTGATTCACTCGTTTTAACTGTAAATTGATGGCTCTCGCCGCGTTGTGCGAACAGAATCCTTTTCGTGCTTTTTTAGCTTGTAAAAGTATACTTTTTCCTGGTCTTGCACTTTCTTGTATGCTACGCTTAGAATCACTTGTACCTTTCTTGTGACCGGTACAAGTAAGAGGCATCGCGCTGTGTTGTACCTTTGTTGCCTCGAACCCTGGCGTTGGCCCAAAACAAACTCAAAACTTTTAAGTAGCCGCATGAGAAGTGTACTGCACTTCGCCTAAAAATCGCAGCATGACATCGACGCGCCTCAAGTAGAGCGGGCTTTTTTGCAAACACGAAATTTCCGTGTTTCAACTTGGGTTTCTTTTTCTATCTTCGCCAACTATGTGAACCAGAGCGATTACAAGTCCGTCGTCGAGGATCTAAATGTAGTTCTGAGGGAGGCAGGATGAGTGGGGGTGATGAAAAGTCCAAGATGAGAGACGATGGCTCTGGATGATTACCAGTTCAGTATCGTGTTGACAAGAACAGTTCACTTGTAAAATCCCATGGTCTACTAGCCGCGGCGCAAGAAACGACAGCAACGTAAAAAAGCACCTGCAGCCGACGAAGGAACTGCCAATTGGTTCTGCGTCACTTCGCAGCTACACCGACTTGAAAACCGCGTCAAAATCAGCACACCCACACAGCCGACAGGATGGCGGACTCCGACATTCAAATTACGTTCGATGCGGACAACTATCCAGTGCAAAAGTATCGTACTCGTATTGCAAGCATGCATTACAAATCTTTGGTTAAAGGTAAATCCGCATTTCTCATGCTGAGGAAATTTGCTTCTCATGCTGAGGAAATTTGTCATGCATTTATACGAGTACGATACTTTTGCAGTTCATAACAACCACATCCGGGTCCTGGACCCGGAGAAGTTCAAACAGATGGAGAACCTATGAGAGTGCACAACTCCCCCTCCCCCTCATTTGTATAGCATGAACGGCAATACAAGCACCAGCAAGAGTGCCGGTTTTGCATGACAAATTTGCACTGGGGTGTAGTGCTGTTTGGGCTGCCAGAACTTGTCATGCAGACAGTGCCATGAGGCAAAGGGTGGATCTGGATTGGGTATTTTGCATGACAAATGAGGGTTGGTGGAAAGGTTCTTGATGAGGTGCAGTCGGGTATGCATGACAAATGAGGGGGAGGGGGAGTTGTGCACTGTCATAGAACCTGTCCCAGGAGTGTCAAAATTTCACGGAGAAGATTCACCAGTTTGGGACCACGGTCCAAACTTTGGTGGATGTGCTCGACGGGCAGGCGAAGAGGATCGAGTTTGAGAAGCTGAGGTACTACTTTAGATTTGGTGGAAGTCGTCCTTTGTGAAGCAGAAAAATTTTTGAATCGGAGTTTTTCTGTCCTCTACAAGGTCAACATCTTCAAGGCTAGTTTTTGCAATTTCCGGTCATATTCACAGGGCAATCGGACAGAAGAACTTAGCCGAAATGGAGTCGGAGAACCGGCGCAGGAAACAACAGCAAATGCGAGCACTGATTGCCAGTAAGGAGGCGGAGTTGTCGAGGCTAACAACGTATCAAATGCAAAAATGTCTGGGTCTGGAAGATTACGGGATTTGTCATGCTAGTCCGGCATGACTCTGAGCTCTGCCTGTCATGCAAAAACGCAGTTTCTCATGCGGAGTACGCAACTCTGAACCACGGAAAAACGTGTCATGCTTGGCAGTGCATTACAGTGTGCGCATTTTTTCCTGACTTGCGTCACAAGTTTCCAGACCCAGACATTTTTGCAGTTGATACAAAGTATTACGACAGTTTGGAGAAAGTAGAGCGGGAGCAGAAAGCCATGATCGAAAGGCTAAGCAACAACGACGTGTGATTTATTTCAGCGACATCAATAATATAGCGCCGAAAGGCAGTAGAGATGAAACGGAAAAGAGCTCTGTCTAGAATTTGTGTAGCCACTGAGCAGGTACATGTACAAAGTTGTAAGCGAGGTTTTCTTTGAATTTTTTCGTCCCGTCTCTTCCAAGAGCTTTTGATATGCTGGTTGTAGTGTTCACTCTTCATGCGTCTACTCTGGTGTTGAAGAGACGACGCTATAAACATGTGAGCGATTGAGCTGACGTCTTCAACTTTTCCTGACATCATTGAGAGTGGTGCAATGAGTGCTGTGGTCAGTGACTGATGAAAAACCTGAGAATCAAAAAAAGCGAGCGAGAAGAGCGAGAGAGACGGTACGGAGCAAGCGGACTGATCTTCTTCTAGTGTCATCTTCATGAAGTTTTGCTTGAAATGCTAATAAAATTCACTACATCTGTTCCATGTTAGTTGCGTCTCCTGACCTGTACTCTTGCGCATCGTGGGCATCTACTTCTAGAACCCTTCGTATTGTAACGTAATACTGCGTAAGGACCCAAGAGCATTTGCTTGCCACGATTCAAAAGGAAAACTCAACAAAATTCACAGCACAGGTTTTTTTGTATACTAGTGTTGAATTCATATCTCTACCCCATCCTTAACTGTACACCCATTTTGTTTTCTGCTGTATACAACACCCCACTATCACTAATTTGTAAAATGAACCCCCGTCGGATATTCTTCACACGAACTAAAATGAACCACAAAAATGGGATCTTTGCGCGACGAAATCCCGGGCAAAATTGTTGATTTTGCCATCACTGCTTCGGCATGTTTCACCCCTTGCTTCTATACCCGAGGTGACACCATGCAGTCGCGGTGGCGCGGCCCGCCGCCACGAAGAAAGAGCAGGCGTTTTTGCTGGCTCGAGGAGAAGGAATCCTTTGCACCCTATGTGTTGCCCTGGAAGAGACGGAGCAAAAGCGGGAATTCGTCCAGTTTTCGGAATGATGGAAGAAGGAAGACCGCAAAGAGCACCCGTCCTGCTTCAAGAAAAACCTCTTCTTTCTCAGCGACAGAGACAGTCCGAGCCTTGTGCTTCCATGTTGGGGTGTTTCTGCATTTCGTCTTCTTCGTTTTCAATTTTTTCGTCGGCTATGACAAGAGCTCGGCGTTCGCGAATCTCCAATCGCTGGAGAACACACCGCTTGGCTCGGAGCCAACGGGGACTATTTTCCAGGAAGACCAAGTGGTTTCTCGACGGGCGGAGAATCTCGACGGGGACATCGTCAAGAATGCAGCGCCAAATCTGGAACAAGAAACTGCCCCGAAAAGAAGTCCAATTTCTTCAACACTTGATGGAAGCAGTAGACCAGATCCAGACGGGCGGGCGCAGCTACAAAATGCAGACGCTGATTCACGGGCTAGAACATCTTCCCGGAGTTCTTTTGATGCAATATCAACCGCGACAAGTAGAACCGACCACGATACAGAAAACGATCAGAAGCTGCGGAACCTCCAGGCCGCGGTCACGGTCCGTTCGGACGGCCGCTGGAAGTTCCCGGCCGGGACGAAGATCAGCTTCGAATCCTACAGCAATATGAACCAAAACGCCTTCGGTGCCGGCGCGCCGGCCTCGACAGATTTCACCTCCAGGATCAACCTGCTTGCGGGCTACCCGTACGGAAAAGTCACGGTGAACGCGGTCACCTTCGATTTTCCGATCGCGCAGCACCCCGACCCGCAGATAAAACTCGTGGATTTTACGCTGGAAGACACATCCAAGTGCTACGAATCGTCAGCCGTCCCCATGGGCTTGTACGATATCCAACCGCCGTATGGAAGTGTCAGAATCGAAATTGACAAAATCGAAATTGTTTGCCATGCATAAAATGGATTCCAGTTCGAACCCAGTTTCTAAGTGGCGCATGACACATTCTGGCGGTGCCTGAATCCAGTTTGTAATGCTGTTTAGGCAAACGCAAAGAAGACTGATTCTCTCATGCTGCTCTAGGAGCTCGAGCTATAACCCCAAACAGGTTTACAATCGGCCTCCCTTGCCTGCTCTGCAACACACGTACTTCGCGTCATGCATTTTATGCATCACAAATTTTTCGATTTTGTCAATTTCGATCCTGACACTCCCATACCCCGTTAGGCTCCACCTCCCCGCCCCAATTTTTCATTCCGGACATTACCCGGGACACGGGGCTGCAGATGGGGCACGGCTTCAACCAGATTTTCGGTTCAAACACAAACGGGGGGACCAACCGGTTTCAGTTTGAGGTGGGCGGGCAATACCAAATCTGCTACGCGCCGACCGGGAATTTCAACGACACAACAACGATCACCTCCGCCAGTTCGCTGCCGCAAATTTACGTGGCCGGCGTGTGGCGGCAGGAGTGCGTGACAAACACCAACGATTTCAATAATGGGATTTTCAGGGACGGCTGTTTCGAGTTCGGCAGTGTTTGGAACTGCTACTTCCCCTGGCACCAACAAACCATCTCTCCAGCTTTACTCGACATTGCGCCCGACCGGACTTGCTACTTCGATTTCCGGAACGACGTCACCACCGGGGAGAAGAAGGACCCGTTAGCGCAGAAGGGGTTCCGGATCTACCAAGGGACCGTTTCCGAACTTTCCTTTACGCAAATCTGGAACCCAGACTCCATCACGGAGGGGGTGCTGTTCGGTTCCGAGCCGAAGCTTTGCGCCCTACCAGCGCAGAATAGCTACACGTTGTGGGAGCAGACGGTCTGGGACCAAACTTCGTTGGAACAGTCCTTCACCGAGCAGGCCAGGGAAAAAACTTTCGCGGAAGTGAAGGATGTGACAAACATCTGGACCTACCACAAAAATTTCGACGACAGCTCGCCCTATCGCGTGCCAAGGGTCCGGGAGGACCAGGAGCTCGGGTTCACTCTGACCCTTTGCTACTGTCCCAACTACGATTCCCCGCTGGACAACGACGCGACCGCGTGCAATTCCGGCTACGAATTCATCCAGAACTTGGGTCACCTCCGCTACTGGACGTTTTTGATTTGTGACAAAACCAATTACGTCAATTGCGAGTACCAAAACCAGCTCCACGCCAGCTTCAATCCGCGGTACCAGCCGTACTCGCGTGTCACCCCCCAGCAGCCCTTTGTCTTGAAGGTGCTCTGCCCCCCGGGCGGCTGCGACAACACGGTGACGCAGCGGATGCGCATCCTCGACTACAGTGCCACAACCTCCGACCGCATGGCGTGGGAGGAACTGCAGCAGTGCCGGGAGTGGAATGTGCCGGTGATCTACACGCAGACCAGCACGACGCAATTAGTCGATTTCATGGATCACCTGGGGTTTGACACGAGCGTGATCGGGCCTGATTTGATCTCCTACACACAGAGATTCTCCTGCGCCTACAATGCGACCGAAGTCATCGCGAATTTGACGAGCGAAAAAGCCCAAACCGCGCTCTACAAGCTATTCGGCGGGGCGCCGATCTACGAGGAGAACGAGGTCGATCTGACGCCGAACGTGAGTAACGACAGCAACAACACGGAATTGAACCGAACGCTAGTCGGCTTCACGGACCGAACGCCGGAGGGTACGAGTCTGTTCGCGAATGACACGGTGATCAGTGACTACATCGCCGAAACGATCCACAACACTTCGGTCCTCGTCAACGACCCCGTCGCCCGGGAGGTCATCAAGTGTCTCTACGGCCCCGACACGTACATTACCCGACTCCGGCTCGGCGCTTTGTGGCAATCGTTGAAGCAGACCATCTGGACCGCACCCGTGGCGCAGACGGACGTGACCAAACTAGAGACGACCTTCACGGAAGTGACGCAGGGGGACATCGATGGTTACTCCGGCCGGTCTTGGAACGCCTGGTACACCTTACCGGTGGATGTGCACAGCAGTGCCGCCGCAGTGGACGTGAACGCGACGAACGAAACCGACACGAGTGCTGACGCAACGTATGCATTGCAAATATGTCTGAGTCTGGAAACCTGTGATGCTGAACTGAGCATGATTGACGCGCTTGCAATGGCAGCCAGGCATGACAAGTTTTAGAGACGCCTGCTGATGCCTACCACGCATCACAACTCGCGTTTTTGCGATGACAAAGCAAGCTCCTCTTTTGCTGCTCATGCAACACAGATTTTCCGAAAATGCAAGACACGCATCACAAGTTCCACTGTTCTAGACCCAGACATTTTTGCATTTCATACATCGTCTTCCAGTACAACTACGGAAGAAGTATCAACAGACGAGAATGCCACGAACGGAACCACAGTTGACGCGAATATCACCGCAGGCCCCTTGCTCGAGACCTGCACGCCGAGCACCAATTTCGGCACCACCATCAACGCGGTCCGCGACGGCTGTCTGTACGGGCACTTCGCGGGGGGGAATGGCGTGCACCAGAATGGGCTGGATCTGTTTTTGTCCATCACGAATTCCGACACACAATTCGACGCGGACAACACCGGCGCAAATGTGGACGGGACAACTGGCTGCCACGTCGGGGAGACGTACGCGACGTACCAGATGGTAGTGGCGCAAGAGTCGGAGGTGAAGTTGTATATGGAAGTGGCAACGGAGTCGTCGACGGTCCCGAACGACGATTCCTTCTGCATCGATCTCCCGTACGTAAACAAGACCACAACCTGGCCGGAGGTTTGGAACACGGGTTTTGGGTCGGTGGACCAAATCTTCCGCGAAAGAGTTGTTTCCCTGATATGAATTGCAAAAATGTTTGGGTCTGGAAGATTGCGAGGTTTGTTATGCTGATCTGGCATGGCCCTTAAATCTGTACTGCGTGGTCATAAACAGCCTCTCTCGCCTGTCATGCAAAAACGCAGTTTCTCATGCGGAATACGCAGCACAGAAGCACGAAGCAACTTGTCATGCTTGGCGGCGCATTACAGTGCATTTGTTATTGACTGACTTGCATCACAAGTTTCCAGACCCAGACATTTTTGCATTTCATACCTGAACCAGCAGGCGGATTCCGGCGGGATTTGGTCGGATGCGGACAACGGAACGAGTTTCGTGTTGCCAGTTGGAACGCATAACCTCACAGTGCGCCCGAGGGAGGACGGGGCGAGGTTGTCGACCATCAGGATGGAGGTGCTGTCCGGCGACGCACAGTTCCAACTGATGGAAACGCTTTTCAACGAAACAGAGGTCAGGCCGGCCCTGAACTTCTGCCGGAACAACCAAAACTCGATTTTGACAACGACAATAAACGCCGCTGCCGACGGGTGCTTGTTCGGAAAATTCACCGCAAAGACCTGGGTACCGGATGGATCCACTTATGTCTCGGTCGCAAACGCCGACACGGATTTTATCGAGTCCATCGTCGGTAATGACAGAACAACCGGCTGTAATGTGTGCAACCCGGCTAGTTCCATCGGGAACTGCTTCAAGACGGTGCCGCACAACCGGGCCGAGTACCAAATCGTCGCGGTTGTGGACTCGAAGATAAAGATCCAGATGGAAGTCCAGCCCGAGGATAGCAGTAGTACCAACAAGCACCTCGACGACAGCTTCTGTTTGACCATCGCCGGCCCGGGGAGTGTCGATTTTAGTGATATCCCAAGTTCCTTCACGCTGTCCCCCTGGCACTGCGGGGGCGTCACGACGTGGACGACGAAGGCGGTTTCGGTGCGCCAAACGCACACCGGTGACGAAAGCGTTGCGAGCGCCACCAGCTCCGATTTGGATACTGGCGGAACGGAGTGGACTTTGGCCGCGGGGGTCCACACGTTGGTGGTTTCGCCAAGGGAGAAGGGGGCGCAGCTGCGGGGAATCAGCATGACCGTCGTGTCAGGGAACGTCGGGTTCCAGCCCATAAGCATCGGGCCGTCGTATCCAAGTACGACGACAACCAGCACAACGAGCACAACGTCGACGAGTATGGCAGCTGGAAATTTGGTGGAATTTTTCTTTCCAAGTGCTGTCACGGAGAAGTTCGCGAGCTAATATCGTGCTTTGTTTTTGCGTGCAGTTTTGCTTCAAATAGAAATCAATACTGCGTCAAAAAGTAGTACATGTTGAACGTGAAAATTTCTATCCCAAAAATCCAATCTATGGTAAAATACCGAACCGAATTTCCAAACCTTCCATACCTTCCACCACTACCCCACTGGACATCAACATTCTCTCCAGCGAGCCGGGGATTCTGAAAACCAACGTTCTCCCCGCTTTCAATCTGACCTTGATCCGGAACAACACCGTGTACCTTCCCGCCACCTCCGCCTGGGACACGTCCGACCGGATTTGGCCGACGCCGATCCAATATCAAATGCAAAAATGTCTGGGTCTGGAAGATTGCAGGAGGTTGTCATGCATCTTCTGGATCACGCAACTGGTCTCTAATGCACGCAAAAGCATTACAGGTTTTGCGCAGGCCTCCTGATGTCTATCCCGCATGAGAAATTCCCTATTTGCGAAGAAAGAAATGGGAAGCTTTTGGTGCTTATGCAATACAAGTTTTTGCCTATTCCAGAATTCGCATGACAAGTTCCAACTCTTCCAGATCCAGACATTTTTGCATTTGATATCCAACGAGAGCTCGACCAGGTGAACCCCGACCCCACGATATCCCGTGTAAAAACATCCTCACCCCAGAGTTGTCATGCAATTCTGCATGCCAAAAAAGTTTCTCATGCGGAGCCCTATGAGAAGAATTTTCTATTCGCGTTTTAGGATTTGTGATGCTAGGATCAGCATGCTGTGCTAGATCTGTGATGCTTCTGAGCCAGCTAAACAGGATCACACTACGAGGACAAACTTGTCATGCCAAACAACCAAAGCTGTGTGATTTGTCTAGCAGGTTTCCCATCTTGACTCTGGTGTGGGGACGTTTTTGATCAGGATACACGAAACCCTCGAAAACGCTCTCCGGGGGTGCGCGCGCGGACTTCAAGACCTTCGGATTGGAGTCCCCGGTGCCCTCTGCCTTATTTGGGCAGTACGACCAAATCTACGATATCTGCTACTGCCACAAGGACTGCGACCACGCGACGAACTACTTCAAAGTGGGGAACGTGCAGCTCGCGAAGAAGATCGGGCTGGCGTCGCGGACGAAATCGGTGATCGACGCGAAAACGCTGAACGCGGTGCGCCAGGTGCAGGCGGCGGGCGCTTTGACGTTCTACGGCATGGTCTCGTCCCGGTTGAATAATCTGGACCCGCACGACACCGGCCCGTTTCGGAACACGGGGCTGTTTTACATGCTTTCCTACGACGTGGAGAACATTCTCGACCCGGTTCCCGGGCAATCCTTTTACACCGCCTCGGAGTTGACCGTGGTGTCCCGGAAAACGGACGTGGCGGGGAAGACGACGATAGAACGGGCCTACGGGTTCGACCGGAGAATTCCGTCGGAAAATCTGTTCGCCAGCAGAATGAGTGAGGAGTGCCTATCCTGTGCAAAAGTATCGTACTCGTAGTAATTGCAATCATGCATGACAAACCTTTTTCTTAAGGTAAATCGGCATTACAAATTATATTTCTCATGCTGGGAAAATTTGTAATGCATTTTTACGAGTACCTACGATACTTTTGCAAGCCATAGTGCCGGAAGAAGTACTACTCGCCGGACCTGATGGAGCAGGGGCCGAGTAACGACGTGTTCGTGAAGCAGTACGTTGTATCAAGTGCGAAAATGTCTGGGTCTGGAAGATTGCGAGATTTGTCATGCTGATCTGGCATGGCACTTAAATCTGTATTGCGTGGCCACAAACAGCCTCTCTCGCCTGTCATGCAAAAACGTAGTTTCTCATGCGGAATAGGCAGCACAGAAGCACGAAGTGGTGGCGCATTACAGTGCATTTGTTATTGACTGACTTGCATCACAAGTTTCCAGACCCAGACATTTTTGCATTTCATACGTCGCGATGAACCATAACAACGAGGACATGCAGTACTACGCGTTCACCGGTACTTCCCAGGATTTCCCGAGATCCGTTATCATGAAAAAGCCGGGGAACGTCCTGCTGTGTTACTGCGCGCGGCTGACGGACCAAAACGATTGCTTTGACACAAAATCCTGGATGTACATCAACCGGTTCATGGTCCAGGGCCCGGTGTTGCAACAGTTAAGGTTGCCGCGCGGGCGCACCGTCGGCGTGCAGTTGAAGGGCTTCGGCTTTCTCGGAACAGACACCTACCGGGTGATCGCGGCAACCAGGTCCTGCAGCGAGCGGGGCAATTTTCCGCCTGGGATCCAGACCTATTCCACAAACTGTCCGGGGACGTTCCCGAACGACTTGACCTGCGGGCCGCCGATCATCGACCACGATCTGCCGCTGTTCACAACGAGTTCTCAAGATCTAGGAATCATGATCACGGCGTTTGAGGTAACGCCGACGAACGTGACAATCACGTTTAACAGCAGTATTCAGGGCTTCCTCCGGGATGACGACATGCTGCTGATTGACCACACGTCGGTCGGCACAAACGGGCGAAAAGCGACCGACTTGACCTGGACAAAACGGGACGAGGACGAAACGCTCAAGGTTTGCGGAAAGGGGAAATACTTGGACACGAACGAAGCCTACAACATCGGGATCCGGGCGAGAATAAAACGCAGGATCAGCACCAGCACCGGGGAGATCCGGCTGGATTACACAAAGATGACACTCTATCCCACGAAAAAACTGTTTCACTGTGGTGATTTTGCAAGATCTGCATCACAAGTTTGTTACACATGACACGGAAAATTTGCCATGCGCGCTTTCCATGGGAAAACACGCTTGAAAATCCAATGTCTTGCAGGTGTAGCAAGACAAACACTTTGGTGCTTCGTCCTCTGCATCACAAGTTCACAGTGAAACAGTTTTTTCTTGCGATACACTCGCTGTCTCGGCTTCCGAGGGGGAGTCACCGACCAGAACCTTCGAAGTTCTGTCCTCCGAGGGGGTGTCCTGGCGGGTGACGAACCGCGCGCGGACGGAGTATTTCTTGAAATCGACCATCGTCCAAGCGGGGCTGAAGCTCTGCTGGGGGGTTCTAGACTCCACGACTGCTTCGCAAAAGTACTACGCGCCGGCTGCAGAGCTCGATTTCTACACGCCCCCGCAGGGCATTTTCGAGATTTACCCGATTTCGGCGAAGTCGTTTCAAATTCAGCCGGTCGTGATGGCCTGGTTCCCGATTGCAACCGCGAAATTCGGGACGCAGTTCCCGGATTCTGGGGCGACGATGTTGACGTTCCGGTTCACCAACGTCGAGGAGTACATGGCGCCGTTGGGGCCGTTCGATCCAGACCGCGCGGGGGAGGACAGCATGAACATGGGATTGTCGAACCCGACGAGCTATGTCACCATGAAGGACGCGAGTCAGGCGATCTGCGGGTACCTTTTCATGGAGCTGTACAGCAACGACGCTGATGGGTTTCCCCCTCCGAAGGGGTGCTTCTACGGGCCGGTGATGCAGGACAAAGGGGTTTTGCAAAACGGGCAGAACATGGAGCCGCGGTACCGCGACATCCACATGCTGTTCGAGCCTTACCAATTGAAAGGCTGGTGCGTCCACGAGTCTCTGAACGTGCAGGGCGTGCTGACCTACACGCCGCTCTATCAAGCGCAAAAATGTCTGGGTCTGGAAGAGTGTAAACTTGTCATGCAGGTTTTTTATGATCCATGTCGTCTGGAATGCAGGACCTAGCATGACAGACATTCTGTGAGATCCCTATCATGCCTATCCTGCATGAGAAACCGCCTCCCAACTTGGTCGAAAGTGGACAGCGTTTGGCACTCAGGCAACACAGATTTTTGTATGCTTGAGATTTACCATGACAAGTTTTTACCACCTTCCAGACATCCAGGGATATTTGCGATTCATACGCTCCGCTGCGAGTACCAGTTCGTGATCAACGCCCGGCAGCAGCAGATCCGATTGGCCGATCCGAAGGTGGTATGGATTGCAAAAATGTCTGGGTCTGGAAGAATGCAAGATTTGTCATGCATATTTCTCATGACCCATGATGCCTGTAATGCATGGCCTAGCATCGCAGACTTTTAGAGGGCTTCCCGATGCACCTGCTTCCGCATGAGAAATGCCCTATCCGTGTAGCACAAATGGTACCCCTCTTGCTGGTCATGCAATACAAACTTTTCTAGAGTTCAAAAACAGCATGACAAGTTGCAACCTTCCAGACCCAGACATTTTTGCATTTGATAGGTGGTAGCGGTGGAACTGTCCGTGACCTGTGTGCCCTCGTTGACGTTGCCGCAGGGCATCGTGGACATCACGGGGAATATCCCCTTTGGAAGACTCTACGACGGGTTCACGGAGGAAGAGCAGGCGAAGTGCGGTGGCGAGGAGTTCTACACGTATGAAGTCGGCTATGAAACTGCACAACTCCCCCTCCCCCTCATTTGGATGGCATCCGTAGCAACACAAGTCCTGGCACAGTTGCAGCTTTTGCATGACAAATTTACGACTGATTGTAGTGCTGTTTCGGCTTCGGGAATCTGTCATGCATAGTAGTGGCAAAGGGCAGAGGGGGGCTTTGGTGTTTTGCATGAGAAATGAGAACGAGGGGGAGTTGTGCGGTGTCATATCGGCTCGGGCGCTTTGGGGTTGTACGCGGAGACGCGGGAGGTATCAAATGTAAAAATGTCTGGGTCTGGAAGGGTTGGAACTTGTGATGCGAACTCTGGAACACACAAAAATTTGTGTTGCATGAGCGCCAAAAGCTGTCCATTTCTTGGCACGCAAGTAGGAAGTTTCTCATGCGGGACAGGCATCATGAGGCGTGCTTAAAACCTGTGATGCTTTTGCCTGCATCAGACGCCACTTGCGTGATCCGAAATATGCATGACAAATCTCAGAATTTTCCAGACCCAGACATTTTTACATTTGATAGGAGGGTCCGCAGTACGACTCGATTCCGGGGATCGGGACGGGAAGGAAGGACCGGGAGCTGCAGCGGATGCGGATTTTGGACCGGCCGCCGCCAGATTTTGGGACGGATGTGCAGGACCAGTTTGAGAATCTAGTGCTCGGGTACCAGCACGGCCTGATCAAAGACATCAACAGACCCATGCCAAATCCATTGGTCACGGTGGGGACGGTATAATTTCGTGTGGTCTCTCACAGTTTATGAAAAGTTTTTTCGCTCGAGAGTCTTCGTTTCTCTGCGTGACAGGTGTTGATTGGATTTCATCTGTCTTTTGTACTTTAGAATTCTTGAAATTATTTTCACAGTTGAAAGAAGAATCTGCCGACGAGTCTTCCGTGCACGAGACCCTCCTCCGCAACCACCCGATCTTCTACTTCCACGATCCGGACTTGAAAACCTTATCAAGTGCAAATATGTCTGGGTCTGGAAGAGTGCAAGGCTTGTCATGCACATTTTGCATGACTCCTGATGTCTGTGATGCATGCCCTAGCGTCACAGATTTTGCGAGGGTTTCCTGATGCCTAGACCGCATGAGAAATGCGCTCTCGCCGTGGCAAAAACTGGACCGCTTTTGCTGTTCATGCAATACAGATTTATCTGGAATCCAACTCCAGCATGACAAGTTGCGTCCTTCCAGACCCAGACACATTTGCGATTGATAAACCTACGACCTGTACGACCGGCACTTCCTGCGGCGGTTGAACCTTCTGGAGCCGTTATGCAAGAAAAAAAGTGTGTAAGTGTAACTTTGTCTTGCAGATGTTGCAATACAGTTACACTTGTCATGTCGGATATGCGTCAGAGGCTATTTCAATACGTGTTTTCGCTTACTAGCTACGCATGACAGGAGGTTTTCTGTCATGCAAAACAAATCTGTGATGCTGTTCCTGCAAAAAAGTTACACTTACACAGTTTTTTTCTTGGATAGCCGTACGAAACCGAACTTCAGCTGGATGACGGGCCAAACGTGGACACGGGCCAGAAATTGTGGGACTTGATCGGCCTGTTGGAGCAATACCTCCCCTCGGAGGACGGCGCGTTGTGGTGGTCGGGAAAAATTTTCGTGGACACGGTAGACGTGGAAACGAAAACGAACCCCCAGGGGGAGGTTTATCAGGAGATCGACGTGGATAGCTCGGAGCACATCGGGTCGACGGAGCAAGATGTCGTGGTGTCGTTTCACGTGCCCGACCCGATCCGGGACATTGAGGGGAAGTCGGGGAAACTGGAGGTGGAGGTGTTAGCGCCCCACATGTACGAGTTTTCGACCCAATGTCTGGTGTCGCAGGAGTCCATGGTGGCCAGCATCGAGGCCGATGGGACCACGATCTTCTACCCACAGAACATGACGAGAGTGGACGCGAAGATTTTGAACGCCATACCCTGGCCGACGACGACCACGACCACGACGATTATGAGGTGGAAATTTTGGGTCGGATAAATCGATGGCATGCAGAGCCAGCGATCGGGAAAGGAAAAGAACAGCATGGTCTGCTATGTACTAAAAATCCTGCATGTAGTTTGTGCGAATTGAGTCTGTTTCTGTTATGTTCAAGTTGTCGTTTTGGAACGGCAGTTCTCTTCATCGCATGTCAACAAATTTTCTCACCGGCTCATGATTTATCCTCCTCCATATCCCCCACCAGCACGTTCACCACCACCACGACCACCGCTTTGATTACAACGACAACCACCACATATCCTGTGCAAAAGTATCGTACTCGTATAAATGCATGACAAATTTCCTCAGCATGAGAGATAAAATTTGTAATGCGGACGTGCCTTAAAAAAAGATTTGTAATGCAAGACTTGCATTTATACGAGTGCGATACTTTTGCAATGCATACCACAACCTCCACGACAACCTCCACCAGCTCCACCACGAGCACCACTACCTCTTATGCACTGCAAAGATGTCTGGGTCTGGAAGGTTGGAACTTGTCATGCTAAATCTGAAGCATGCGAAAATCTGTGTTGCATGATTCCCAAATGCTGCCCAATTTTGATCAAATTGAGAGGCAGTTTCTCATGCAGGATAGGCATGATAGTGATCTCACGGAATCTGTCATGCTAGGTCTTCCGTTACAGATCATATGGGTCATGGAAAACCCGCAAGACAAGTCTAGCAAAGTTCCAGACCCAGACATATTTGCATTTGATACCTCCACTTCCAGCACGACCTCCACCACCACCGGCACCACGACCACGTCCACGACGTCCACTTCAACCACCACCACCACAGTGCCGCCCTACTACGTGTGGCGCATGGACTACCCGCCAGGGGTAGACTGCAGCACGACGGCCTTGCAAGCCACGTCGAATTGTACGCAGGTGAACCATATCAAATGCAAAAGTGTCTGGGTCTGGGAGATTGCGAGACTTGTCATGCTAGTCTGGTATGACTCGAGAATCTGTGTTGCATAGGCACGAAAAAGCCCTCTTACCTGTCATGCAAAAACGCAGTTTGCCATACCATGCGGAATACGTAAGACATGGCAGCCAAAAAATTTGTAATGCATAGCTGCGTATTCTTGCAGTGCGTCTATCATTCATTTTTAGCATTGCAAGTTTCCGACCCAAACATATTTGCAATCCATAAACCAGACGGTGATTCACCCGTACTACCTGACGACGAGCACGACCAGCACGACGACCACAACCTCGACGACCACGAGTTCCACGACGAGCACGTCGACCACGACCTCCAGCTCGACGACAACCACAACCGTTTCAACCACGACCACGACGCCGAACTTCTTCATGTTCACGTCCTGTGTCGGGGACGGGAAAAAAGCATCCTTGACCACGAACCAAGACCTGGGCGTGAGCTTCTTCCAGGGGTTTTACCTCACTATGGTTCTGAAAGTGAAGCACCCCATGTATCACAGCAAGGACGCAAGGCTGAACCGGTGGTATGTGAATTTAAAAACCGGCAATTCCACGTTGCTCGTCGGCGCCATCGCCGGCTACCCCCTGATCCAGGGACAGGCCTCCGGTGGGTTCACAACCAGCACCACCACCACAACCGGTTGGTACGGGAAAGCGCCGAGTTTGGTCACGAAAATATACGCGGCGATCATGACCGAATTAAACACGAAGATGATGCAGGACCCCGGTTCGTTTTCGATGCTTCTCGGACCTAATGCCGCTTCCTTATCGTTAGCCGGGCGGGAGCACGACATGCTCGCCAAAAAAGCGTTGGAGGACGCGATTAACAGTGTTCCCGAAGCGGACAAACTGCTCTACGCACCGAACTGGGCCAACATGACGCAGTTTTCCTTCTACGAGCGGATCGCGTACCTGCTGTTTAAGAACGTGAAGGCGGACAAGACGACGAGGTTTTACTACGATCGGGAAATCGTGTTAAGAAACGTCTCGGAGCATGTGGACAGTGGACTGCTGTCGGATTTGGAGCACAAGACGAAATTTGGGCTGTCGTTGCAGGAACTGGGAAACGTGGAAATCCTCATGGTGGACAACAACGGCGGGGTGCGCGCGGTCGCCACGACGACGACCACCACGACCACGATATTCGGACTGGAAACCACAACAACGACGATCGCACCGGATGCGCCGTATCCCAACAAAGGTAGAAGTGGATTTTGTCTATGCTGCTGGTTGTTTATTTGCGTATTATTGGGATAGACAAGGTGCAGCTGTTTGCCGGCCAGTAGCTTCTGACTGATTTTCGTAAAGTCAAAGTGAGAAATCAAAACTGCACAGATATGCTCCTGACCAAGCCCAACTACTTTCCGGAGAATTTGAAGCACGAGAACATCATGGTCCCGCTATCAAAAGGAAAAATCCCCCTTCCCCATACCAAAAAGGGGCACTTCTGAAAATTTGTGATGCTGATTCGTGACCACAAATCGTCCCTGTATTGCAAGACGGCAAAGCCAGAGAATCAGCTGCGTTTCGCAGGCACTTTGTAATGCTGTATCGCCTACAGAGGATATGCCTGCCTTGCTAGGTGCCTACAGCAAAACGCCCCTACGCAGGCGTTGCATCTGCCTGCAGTCCTCTACTGCCAGACAGATTGGATTTGTGTAGTACACAGATCCCGCATCACAGATTTCGGTTTTGATAGGGGGGGGGATTTTTCCTTGTGATACCCGCTGGAGGCGGTGGCCAGCAATCAGCCCACCGTGGACTACCTCTTTGGCTACCGGTACCACACCGACGGGGAAGAGGGGTACCTGGCGCAAGCGGAGAACCTGCGGAAAATCATCTACCGAAACGTATGACTTGCTCAAACGTTACAATCTCAAACGTTACAATAGAATCTGGAATTTGTGTTGCATGATGGGCATGACAGACTCGCACAGCGTTCCACCTTTTGCAATACAAATTTTCCCAGATTGTAGTGGGGTTTGGAGCTCCGGAACTTGTCATGCGCAACCCTATGAGAGTTGGCTAGATCATGCTCATCATGCAAGACAAATCTCAGATTCTATTGTAACGTTTGAGATTGTAACACCTGAGCGGGTTATAAAACGACCCCCGGTACGGTGTGATGAACGTGATCAACGACCCGCGGAACGTGGAGCACAACACGACGAAGGTCTACGCCGCCTGCACCAGTCAGAACCACACCTACATGCTGTCGGATTTCCTGAATGTCTCCTTCCTGTTGGGGAAGGTCCCGGACTGGAATCGGCAATTCGTCGCTGGCCCGACGCAGATGTTCCAGAATGAGGTCGAGTTGGATCTGATGACGCTGTACTACACGAACTACTCCAGCAATTGGGACACGATGCTGCTGAAAAACTACCTAGATAAGGACAACAAGGAAATTTTCGGCCTCCCGAAGCTGCTCGACGTCTGTTTGTATAAAAATCACGTGCCGCCTATGGGTGTGTCAGGATCGAAATTGTCAAAGTTGAAATTTGTAATGCAAAAAATGCATGACGCGAGGCACGTGTGTTGCAGAGCAGGCAAGTGAGGCCGATGGTAAGCCTGTTTTGGGTTAGAGCTCAAGCTGCTAAAGTAACATGAGAAAATCAGTCTTCTTTGGCCAAACAGCATTACAAACTGGATTTCAGTTCTACCCAAATTTGTCATGCGCCACTTGGAAACTGGGTTCCAACTGGCATCCATTTTATGCATGGCAAACCATCAATCCTGACAGTTCCATACCGCCCAACACCCTCGACCGGGGGTTCGGGTCCGGGAACGGCGTATGGATTGCAAATATGTCTTGGTGTGGAAGAGTGGAACTTGTAATGCTGTCTGCGGATTCTAAAAATGTCTGTGTTGCATGAGCAGCAAGAGGAGTCAGCTCTTGGCGCGCAGAGAGGGCATTTCTCATGCGTAATTAGCATCAAGAAGCTCTCAAAAAATCTGTGATGCTAGCACCAGCATCACAGACCTCACGGGTCATGCAAAATGTGCATGACAAGCCCCAACTCTTCCAGACCCAGACACTTTTGCAGTTGATACGGCGGCGCGCAGTACGACATCGTGAACCAGAAGCCCTACCGGGACGGGCCGGCGATCCAGCCGCAGTTCTACAAATCTGCGCTCCGGTATGGAACTGTCAGGATTGAAATCGTCAAAGTTGAAATAGTTTGTCATGCATAAAATGCAACGCAAAATCGCCTCTGTTGCAGAGGACGCAAGGGAGGCAGATTGTAAGCCTGTTGAGGAGTAGAAATAGAGCTGCTAAAGGAGCATGGCAAATGGCGTCTTCCTTACCCAAACAGCATTACAAACTGGCTTTCGGTTTTCTCCAAATTTGTAATGCGCCACTTGGGAACTGCATTACAACTGGCATCCATGTTATGCATGACAAATCAGTTCAACTTTGTCGATTTCGTTCCTGACAGTTCCATATCCGGCCGAGCGGGAAGGTGTACGGGCCGTTGAACACGGTGGACATCATATCCTGAGTGAAAATGTCCCCACCCCAGAGTTGTCATGCAGATTTGCGATTACAGGAAGATTTGTAATGCGCATCTCCATGAGAGGCCTTGCCAATCTATTGTGTTTTGGAATTTGTAATGCTGCAAACAGGATAAGCAGATGGATTTGTGATGCGGTTGTCCTTGCTAACATGCACTACACTACGGACTGCAACTTGTCATGCGTGGCTCCCAAAAGTTCTGGACTTGTGTTGCTAAGTTCCCAACTTGAATATGAGGTGGGGACATTTTTACATATGATACATCAACTACGACCGCAATGCGAAGTTCGAGACGGAAATCTACCTCCGACTGTATAACATGGAGGGCCGGGACCCGATCCAGGCCGAAACGCGGTTCCGGATCATTTTCTTCCCGTTGACCTTCTGGTACTTCGACAAGTGCGAGTGGGAATGCTTGCCGGACCATTCCGCCGGGAAGGAGTGCCGGACGGAGATCGTGAACGAGAAACTGTTCCGGAATCTAGAGGCGTTGGTGCCGACCTCCCCGGAGTTGACCAGGAGGGTGAACATTATGGTCATCGGGTTGCCGAAACTGATGAACCCGATCAACGGGGGCGACCCCTCGCCGGTGATTAAACTCAAGGAAGTTATCAAATGCAAATATGTCTGGGTCTGGAAGAATGCAACTTGTGATGCTGCGTCTGGATTCCAAAAGAATTTGTACTGCATGAGCAGCAAAGAGAATGCAACTTTTGCTACGCGGACAGAGGATTTGTCATGCGAAATAGGCATCAAGAAGCTTTCAAAAAATCTGTGATGCTAGGGCATGCATCACAGACATCATGGCTCACGCAAAACGTGCATGACAACGACAAGTCTCAGAATCTTCCGGACCCAGACACTTTTGCACTTGATAGAAGTCCGGGTTCCGCAGTACGGATTTGCGCCGCAGAAACTCGGGATTGAGATGATCGACGCGGATGGGCGCCGGCCGAACTTGATCTTTTCCGACCGGTTTTTATCGCTGAAAACGGCGTTTTACACCAACACCAAAATCTTAGTCCAGGGCGCCTTGGGGTACGGGCCGAAGCCGTTTGTGCGGGAGCAGAACAACATGCTGTTGTTGATGCAGTTGGGAGCGTTCATGCGATCCGGGAAAGACCCAGTGCTAAAAGACGTCCACCCAGACACCTACACGACCGAGGCGCCGGACGTCAACGCGACGGAAGCGGAGGTGGGGGAATTTTCCACGACGGTGGCGCCGACGCACGACTTAGGGCTGGGGAGATTGGGGAACGTGACCTACAGCACGCTGATTGAGTGCGAAGACTACGACCCGGAATACTCTTCGGTCTTGCAAATCGTTTTACCGGAAGGGTACGTCTGCGATCTGGACCGGACGAACGACTGGAAGTCGCACGGGATTTTCAACATCAACGTGGACGAGAACGGGTTTTACAAGGACTATGTCGTCACCGAGTTACCGGACGAGAAGTCCGGGTTCTGGTGCGCGGGGCTAACCAACGTGTGCACGTACTTTTTCCGGAAATTCGTCTCCCTGTATCCAGGGCAGAAATACTGGATCCCGCTCCTGGTCAGCAACCCGATCACGGAAATGTACCGGTCGCAGTACAACGGGATTAACTTCTACCAGATTCACTTCCAATGGACCAGTGAGTTCTTCGAAGTTTCGGAATGCGTCTACGATCCGGACCCGGTTTCGCACCAGAGACAGATGATCTGGACGAAAGATGTCGGCTTGCTGTCCGTCGCCGGACCAGACCCCATGGGCGCGGTGGACACCAGTGAGCGGACGATGTGCGACTACTACGGCGCGTTAGACGGGGAGGACTTCAATAAGCAATGCACGGGGTCCCGGCTGAACAAAACCAGCTTGGCGGACATGCTGGTCAAATCCGACTACTACTGCGCGAAAAACTCCTTCGGGCAAACAGAAAGGGAAAGGACCAGGTTTTCCAAAGCGGGGCTGAGCTTGCTGTTTGACAAGCAGGGGGTCAGCTTCCGCGATATCATCAAAGAACCGACGAATCACAACGCTTTTCTCCGCGGGGGGTTGCCCATGCTGGAGAACTTTTTGATCCCAACGCACGCCCTGGCCCCCCCGATCGACATGGGGCCGCTGCCCGCAAACACGTTTCAGAAGCTGTACGATATGGCGGGAGCAAAACAATATTTTTGAAAACAATAAAATTTTGACCAAAGGGTAAAAATGCATATTACGATGGGATTACCTAGTTACATTTTTATGATATGCATAGCTAGGCACCATGTTAAAGTAGCTAGCTAAGGAAGGTCCGGGGCCGGCATTTCGACATCGTCTTCCACGAGCTGCTGCTCCACGGCTGTGGGCACAGCCGTAACCGACCGGGCCGCCCTTCCTCCGTGCTGATGCCGCTCCACCGGACCTTCCTTAGCTAGCTAGCTTAATCACATAGTTAATTGGCGCCTTTTATAGATGGTTTTACAGTATGCTAGATGCAAAATCCTAAATACCCATCGGTCAAAATTTTATTGTTTTCAAAAATATTGTTTTGCTCCCGCCATATACGAGGTGAACGCGTACACGAAGACGTCCACGCAACTCATGTACGAGCAGTTTTGGCAGAGGCCGATGTCTATCAACTGCAAATATGTCTGGGTCTGGAAGAGTGCAAGATTTGTCATGCATATTTCTCATGACCCATGATGCCTGTAATGCATGACCTAGCATCACAGACTTTGAGAGGGCTTCCTGATGCACCTTCCGCATGAGAAATGCCCTGTCCGTGTACCACAAACCGGATCCCTCTTGCTGGTCATGCAATACAAATTTTTTTAGAGTCCAAAAACAGCATGACAAGTTGCAATCTTCCAGACCCAGACACTTTTGCAGTTGATAATGTCGACGGAACGACGGGACGCGGAGAACGAGTTTTGGAACCGGCCGCCGAACAAGCGGCTGATCCCCTTCTATCAACTGCAAATATGTCTGGCTCTGGAAGAGTCGGGACTTGTTATGCACATTTTGCATGACCCGCGAGGTCTGTAATGCAGGTGCTAGCATCACAGATTTCTTGAGAGCTTCTTGATGCTAATCACGCATGAGAAATGCCCTCTCCGTGTGCCAAGAGCTGACTCCTCTTGCTGCTCATGCAACACAGATATTTGTAGAATCCGCAGACAGCATTACAAGTTGCACTCTTCCAGACCCAGACATTTTTGCAATTCATACCTTTTCGGAAGAGACGAATTTAGATTTTGTCGGCCGCATCGCCGTGATCGCGAAGATGTCGGAGGAGATCCAGTACAGCGAGAGAAGTGGGTTTTCTGCAAGTTACAACTACATGGTTGTTTCCACAACCCCCGCCCCGTTCGTGCGAGACACGCTCGTGATGGGCTACACGGAGACGACGAGCACGACGGCCTTACCCCTCCCGTCCGCCTTGTTCCACGGGAAGGGGCCGAACGAGGTGATGCTGTTTTTCCAGTCGGCTTTGTTGGTGGAAAACGAGGCGGAGTTGGTCGTGGATTTACCCACCGGCTACAATGTCCAGTCCGAGTGCACGGGGACGGAGCTCGACGGGTACTACTTCGCCAACCACGGCATCGCGGCGAAGGACGTCTACGAGAAGGCGGCGGACGACAACATTCAAAAGATGCTCCTGCGCCCCTACCTGCTCGCGGCGTCGGGGTCGCTTTTGGTCGAGAAACTAGAGTACCAGGGGATCGTGCCGGATGCCGATCTGCTCCTCGACCCGATCAACAACCAGCCGAACGGGGCCTACACGCCGCTCACGATCGGGGTAAGGTACAAGAAACCTAACGCCTATCCACCGTAAATTTCATCCCGTACTACACGACGTACAAATGTGGTTTCTGCATGAAAAAAGTGCTCTGAAATCCTATAACCTATTTAGCATGACAAATGGCTTGCTCTAGGTTGACGAAGTTTGTGTATGCATTTTGTACGTGTACAGGAAATTTGTATTGCATAATGCCTATGGACTTTCCTTCTTCCTCCAGCTCCATGTGGACCGGACGGGGGGCAATTTGAACACCGTCGCGACCCCGAACTCGATTAATGGCGTCCCTTTCGAAGAAATCGGGTTCGTGCAGTGGCAGTTGGTGGACGACGCGAACAGGTTGTACCTGTATTCCGAGACTTACTTTCCGCGGACCGACATCAAGCGGGTCGTCTACCCGTTGTCGCCCGCGATGGTGACGAGCTGGAAGTCCGTTGTGGTGGAAAACGCAAAAGCACTCGAAGCGGCCACGATCAACCAGCTCGGGGTCCAGGAAGCGGGGATCGAATCCTTGGGAAGGGACCTGTTCGACGTGCGGCCGCGCGTGCGGGGCATCTGCGAGGGCTCGCTGGCGGCCGACAGCACCGGTACGCAGCCGTATTCGAGACACTACGACGTGTACTACGGCGGAGACACGCTGCTGAACCGGGCGATTCTAAGATCCCTGGGGCCGCTGTACGCGGGGGAGCTGTACGCTTTAGGCTTGTATGAAATGCAAAAATGTCTCGGTCTAGGAGATTCCGACATTTGTCATGCAGTTTTTTCAAGCTCCCCCACGTCTGGAATGCAGGGCCTAGCATCACAGGTTCTGCAGCTACTTGGTGATGCGTATTCTGCAAGAGAAATGCGCTCTCCAACATGGCCAGAAGTGGGCACCTTTTGCGCGTTCTGCGTCACAGATCTTTGTAGGGTCCGAAACAAGCATCACAAGTTCGGATCCTTCCCGACCCAGACATATTTGCAATGCATAGCTTGCAGATGACGAACCCGGACTTCAAAAAAGAGTACATCGAGAAGGTGTGGCGGGCGAACTTTCAAAAAGAGCACCAAGCGCTGCTGGCGAACACGAGCTTTCACAAGGCGAACACCATGATCGAGTCGGGGACTTTGGTGAACTCACTGGGCTACCCCGGCCGGATTCAGGAGCAAAAGTTGAAGATGTACGTGCGGGACGCTTTGGGCTTTGTGCAGGGGACCCACTCCCGGTCGATTTTCCAGAACCCGGACAGGAGGGGCACGGACGAATCTTTTCTGAATGTTTTCCCCTTCGAGCACGGTTGGCAGTTATTTCAATACGAATGGCCACGGAGGGCGGTGGTGTTAGATTTTTATTCCGCGGTGGATGGGAAGTTGTTGACAACCAGCACGGATAGCAGTGGGCTGGAGGTCAGGGACGAATTGAATTTAAAAGACCCCCCGGACAGCACCCACTACGAAATCAAGCAGACCGACACGCAAAATTACGATATTTACCTACTGCATCCGGTGTACGACGTGTCAAAGTTGATTTTGCCCTCTTTCGCGATCCTCGGGACGATTTTGAAGGCGAAAATCCGGTTTTTGATCCCTCCGCACCTCGTCTTGCTATGCAAGAAAAAAGTTGTGTAAGTGTAAATCTCTGATGCAGAAAATGCAAAACAGTTACGCTTGTGATGCTCGACATGCATGATCGGCTCGCTTCCTATGTATTTTCCCTTCGTATGTGCGCATAACAAGTTTGGCCTGTCCCTGTCATAGCAGACAAACTTGTGATGCTGTTTTCCCAAAAGACTGACACTAACACAGTTTTTTTTTTGCATACTTGCTCGATCGCATCCACCAAATTTTCTTCCACCAGGAAGCGATTTTAGCGGCGGGGTACTTTGTATCAAATGTAAAGATGTCTGGGTCTGGAAAAGTGGAACTTGTAATGCGTGTCATGCATTCCCGGAAAATCTGTGTTGCATGAGCAGCAAAACAGAGGCTTTCTTTGTCATGCAAAAACGCAATTTGTGATGCGTGCTAGGCATCAGCAGGCCTCTCAAAAATTTGTCATGCTTGGCTGCCATTGGAGGCGCTTCAATCATGCGCAATTCGGCATCACAAGTTTCCAGACCCAGACATTTTTGCATTTGATACTTTGCTTCCGGGTACGACCGCACGAGGTTTCTGGAGTTGCAAACGCTGTACACGAAAATCTGGAACACGACGGAAACCTTGCCCGGGTCCTGGTTTCACTTAATGCACGACGTTGTGAACTCCATGGACTTACAATACTGCTCGAACGGCGCAAGAACGTTAGAACACGTACACCAGGAAGCGGTACTCTACCAGCAGCAGCAGGCGGCCATCGCGGCCGCGATCGCCGCGAACCCCGATTTGGCCACGACCACCACGACCACCTCCACCACAACGGTACCCGCTGGCGTCGCGCAGAATTTTCCCTGTGTCAACATGCAGGAGCTGGTCCGCCAGTACTACTACTACTTCCAAGAGCAGTCCGGCGCGCGACTGTTCGGCTACCGGCCGAGACTGGAGGACGACGCGATCGCTTCCGGCGGGAGCGAAAACAACACAGAGCAAATCACGGTGGAGGAAAAGTACCCACGCTTGCTCGACGCAGCGCCGTTGCTCGGCTCCCCGGTGTCGAACTTGACTGATCCACCGTTCGTATGGAAGCGTCAGGTTTGAAATCGTCAAAGTTGAAATAATTTGTAATGCATAAAATGCATGGCCCGAGGTACGTGTGTTGCAGAGCAGGCAAGTGAGACCGATTGCAAGCCTGTTTGGGGTTACAGCTCGAGCTGCTAAAGTAGCTTGAGAAGATCGCTCTTTTTTGCCTAAACAGCATGACAAACTGGATCACTTAGGGACCGCCGAAATTTGTCATGCGCCACGTGGGAACTGGGTTCCAACTGGCATCCATTTTATGCATGGCAAATCATTTCAACTTTGTCGATTTCGATCCTGACAGTTCCATAGTTCGATCACTTCTTCAAACTCCACACTAACATGCGGATCATCGCGCCGAAGTTTTACGAGTTTTACTTCTTGACCTCCACCCACAGCTTCACGAACAACTTCAACGGGAGAGTCCGGAATGGCAGGAGTTCCCGCTACGCTGCCGGCTACGGCGTATCAAATGTAAAATGTCTGGGTCTGGAAACTTGTGATGCTAAAAGTGAATGGTAGACGGACTGCAATACGCAGCTATGCATGACAATTTTTTTGGCGTCCATGTCTTACGTATTCCGCATGACAAACTGCGTTTTTGCGTGACAGGTAAGAGGGCCTTTTCGTGCCTATGCAACACAGATTCTCGAGTCATGCCAGACACGCATGACAAACTTGCATTGTTCCAGACCCAGACATTTTTACACTTGATACGGCGTGAAGCCGAGCAATGAGCTGCAGTTCGAGGAGTTCCAGGTGTCGACCAAGTACCTCTACGAGGCGGAGCTGATGGTGCAAACGCCGGAGTACACATCCACGCCGAGATATTCAGGAAAAAAACTGTGTAAGTGTATGTTTGCACTAGAAAGAACAGCATTACAAAGTCGCTTTGCATTACAGGGAAAACCTGTCATGCGCAGCTAGTATGTGGAAACACGTATGAAAGTAGCCCATGACGCAGATCCAGCAAGACAAGTGTATATAGTTTTGCAAAGTCTGCATCACAGAGTTACACTCACACAGTTTTTTTCTTGCATACGAGATCCGCTTTGGCGTTTAAGTTCGAACTGGGGTACAAACTATGCCTTGCAAATATGTCTGGGTCTGGAAAGGTGGAACTTGTGATGCTAACTTTGGATTCCAAAAAAATCTGTGTTGCATGACTAGCAAGAGGAGTTCAGTTTGTGTTACGAGGGGAGGGCATTTGTCATGCGGAATAGGCATCAGGAAGCCTTCCAAAAATCTGTGATGCTAGGGCATGCATTACAGGCGTCATGGATCATGCAAAACATGCATGATAAGATAGACCTTGCATCCTTCCAGACCCAGACATATTTGCACTTGATACAAACCGCTGGATGCGTATTTAACCCAGATCGAGGGCAGTACAAGCATCACGACCTACACGGTTTCGACCACCAGCTTGTACTACGAGCCGGCGAAACATGTGTACTTGGAAAGCGTTGCGGCCTTGTCGATGAACGCGCCGAAGTTGCAAGTGATCTACGACGCAAGTGTCCGGTCGTTGGACAACCGGATCGGGGTGTCCGGGAATTTGATGATTCTGTCCATGCGAACCACGACGGTTCTCAACGAGGGCAACGGGTTCCAGTTTTCCGGCGTCAGCACGGCAACTATCGGGCTGAAGCTGCTCTGTTCGCCGGAAGGGTTGTCTGGGATCGACGTGGACGATTACAAGTGCGTCTCCACGAACCCGGACCCGGGGAACCCGCGGATGCAGCTGACTTTGACCACCGGCCCGCACCCGCCGGGGCTGTACAGCTTCAAAATCACCGCGACCAACCCGACGGTGACATACGACACGCGGTCGACGGGCGTCTTTTTTGAACTCGGCACGTACGATTTCGGCGGGACGAGTAGAAGGACAAGAAGATTGGTGGAGAAATTGAAGGCGGAGAAGAGGATTCTCGGAGCGGAAGAAGCACCAGCAGGGGTGGTGGAAAGCAGGAGTATTGGAAGAACTGCAAGCAGTTTACTACCCTCATCTTCTGCGGGAAGTGCAAGTGGGACTCCGACCGCTAGTGCAACAACTTCTATTGCAACAAGTCCGAGCGCAGCATCACCAGCGATGCTGCCGACCCCACTTTGGATGGAACAGCAAAATGAAAGGGAAGAAAAAAGGTCGCTGTCCTTGCTGGTCGACAAGCTGCTGCCGAAGGAGCAGCTGGAAACCGCGACCGAGGGATTGTTTACCAAACTTCCGCGCGACCCGTTTCCTTTAACGGAACTGCAGAAATTCCGGACGTTCCTGCTGCAGAGGGAAGTAAAAGCGGGGCGCATGATGTTGCAAAAATCTTCCGGTGCAGCTGCTTCTTTACCCGAAGATGTTGATATCAGCGACGAAGTCGACTCGTTTCTGCTGGAAACCATGACAAACCCGGAATCCGATCCGCTGGACGCGCTGGATTTTTCGAGAAAGGAAGATGCTAAAATGTCGGAGAGCCGGAGAAACGATCCGCTTGCCTCACCTGCATCTTCCTCTGCCCAAGTCGTGACAGCACCAGCAAAAGACGAAGACATTCTGTTCCACCCGGACTTCGTCACTTACCTCAAAAAGCGGAGAAGAGAACTCTCCTCCGTGCGAACGGTGGACAAGCCGATGGTGGTCGGGTTGTCCTTATGAAATGCAAAAATGTCTGGGTCTGGAAGAGTCATGCTGTCTTTGCATGACACAGAAGGTCTGGCATGGAAGCTCTAGCATCACAGGTTTCGAGAAGCGTTCGCAATGCCGAGCCCGCATGTTAAATCCCTGACTTTGGTGACAGAAGGTGTGCAACTTTTGCTGCCTATGCATGAGAGATTTTTCTGTGTTCTGAAATGCGCATCACAAGTTTGTATGCTTCCAAACCCAGACACTTTTGCATTTGATTGTCCCCCCACCCCGCGATCTTCGCGGTGAAGACCATTATGACTTGCTCAAGCGTTACTTACAATCTCAAGCGTTACAATAGAGTCTGGAATTTGTGTTGCATGATGAGCATGACAGACTTGCACAGCGTTCCACCTTTTGCAATACAAATTTCGCCAGATTGTAGTGGTGTTTGGGGCTCCGGAACTTGTCATGCGCAATCCTATGAGAGTAGGCTAGATCATGCACTCTTGCATCACAGATTGCCATATTCTATTGTAACGTTTGAGATTGTAACACGTGAGCGGGTTATAACCATGGCGAGCTTCTTCTGGGTCTCCGGCGGCGACGCGAATCCGGATTATCTCAACTTTCTCGGCAAGGACGACCGGCCGCAGAAAAACACGAAGGTTTTCTTCGCTTTCAAACTCGCGGACACCCTGCCACGCCGGGAGCAGGTGAAGATGGTCCTGAAAGCGCCCGAGGGGTTCATCTTCGACGCAAAATGCATGATCGACCTGCAGCCGGTGTTCCGGAAGGGCTACAAGTCCGCGGCGTTGACCCACCGGTACTTGGTCCGTCGGCAGTACACGCAGAGCCGCAGTTATGGGACCACAACGTCGACCACGACGACGACCACCGGGCCCCGGTACGGACCCCAGTTGCTGAACCCGCCGCCGAGGTTCAGTACCTACCACAACTACGCGGAGAACCAGTTCCAGACGGTGGACCTGCCGGTCCCACCGCCGTACGACCGGACCGACGGGGTGCCGTCCGCGATCACGGAGTACCTGGCCAATTTGACCCGGTCGGCCCTGGAGCAAGCGGAACAGGACCAGCTCTCCTTCGACGGGCAGATCCGGTCTGCGCGCTTTTCCATGTCGACGGAGGAGCAAGACAACCAGTGGGGCATCAAGGTCGACAGCTGCACGGGCAACGGGGCGGAGGCCAGCATCATGTTCTCGCCCAACGCCGACTACAGCTACATGTATTGAGAGGAAAAATCCCCCCTCCCCATATTGAAAAGGCATGGCTCCGGAAATTTGTGTTGCTGATTTGAGGTCACAAATCACATCTGTCTTGCAAGAAGACGAGGGCAGAAGCTTCCGCCATATTATGGGGGCGATTTGTCATGCCGTTGGGCCTAAAGGGAGGCCGTTTGCCATGCTGAGCAACTAGACCCATACGCCCCCAGCTAGCCTGGGGATCTGGCCGCCATGCCTTTCTGCAACACAAGTCTGATTTGTGTATCCAAATCCAGCATCAGAAACTTCCTTTTGATATGGGGAGGGGGGATTTTTCCTTTTGATAACATGTTGAAAAAAAACATGCTGTACTACTTCGGCATCTGGGTGACGAACCCGGTCGTGGTATCCTGTGTAAAAACGTCCCCACCCCAGAGTTGTCATGCAGATTTGCCATGACAGGAACATTTGTGATGCGCAACCTCATGACAGGCATTCTCAATCGTGTTTGGGAACTTGTAATGCTGTAAACAGGATCAGAAGGTCGATTTGTGATGCGGCTTTCCTTGCTAACTTGCACTACCTTACGGACTGAAGCTTGTCATGCGTGACTCCTAAAACTCCTAGGTTTGTGTTGCAAAATCCCCATCCTGACTCTGGTGTGGGTACGTTTTTACTCAGGATACGTGGCCAGCAAATACGGCTGGTTCGCGATGGATTTCGAAACCGAGACGTCTGCGCGCGTCGAGGCGTATCCGATCCGGACCATGTCGCGGGCGCAGCTGTTCCCGATCTCCGAGGCGTACGCGCCGCTGCCCTCGGATGCAACGGCCCGATATGGATTGCGAAAATGTCTGGGTCTGGAAGATTGCAACTTGTCATGCTAAATCCGAATCATGCAAAAATCAGTGTTGCATGAGTGCCAAAAGCTGCCCACTTTCGACCAAGTTGAGAGGGAGTTGCTCACGCTGGATAGGCATGACAGAGACCTCACAGAGTCTGTCATGCTAGGTTCCGCATTCCAGACCTCATGGCTCATGAAAAACCTGCATGATTTCCAGACCCAGACATTTTTGCAGTGCATACCCGAACCGCGTCAAACATCCGGGTGACTTTTACTCCGGTGACGCCGATCACGCCTCTGTTCGAGTACGTCCCGACGCAGACGGGGCGACGGCTAAGCGGCAGAAGTGCTGACACTTTTCAAAGTCAGGACTTCGAAAGGAGAATCGACGCTAGGAGACCGCCGGCGTCGAGGGAAAGAAATGCTGCCTCGAAGATAAATCTGGTGGAACATCAATTGGAAGACGGATATCACAGCAGCAACACTGTGCAGGTCGGCGAACCGAGGCTCTTTGAAGGAGGTGACGCTAGTACTAGCGGTGGTAGAAAGAACAAGCACCAGCACGGAATAACGAGTTTCCAGGAGGAAATCCAATTTGGGGAATCCGCAACCCTAGAAGCTGCAGACGACCGGGACCAAAGTCAAACCACAGAGGTCGTCGAGGACCTGCGCTCGCTCCAAGGGCAAACTTTCGCGGAGGGCATGGTGTTGACCGGTTCCTCCGTGGAGGTCGTCGCCCCCTTGGGTTTCGAGTTCGTCGCGCGGATTGGCACCGAGTGCAGCGGCTTCCGGTTCTACCCGGCGGACAACATTTTAGATGCGTTCTACGAGGGCGAGCACGTCCGCTGCTCCGTCGCGGGGCAGAAAATCAAGGTCGTGTTTTTCAAGAAGGGCTTAGAATCCTCCGTCAGCTACGTGTTGGCCGCGGACATCATGAATGCGGATCGCTCGAAGGCGAACATTCTGGAGTCCGCAAGCTGGATCATCCAGACCTACCAATACCAAGACACCAATGTCGAGGACGGGCTGATGGGCAATCTGGTCGCCATGGACGAAGTGTTGATCCCCACTTACGCGATGAACAATTACGTCGAGCGCTTATGCATTGCAAATATGTCTGGGTCTGGAAGGACGTTTATTTTGCTAGAAATAGGGTCTTAAAATTCAATTTCTCATGCGGGATAGCCAGCGCAGGTCCTCCTCGTCTCGCAAAATCTTTGAAGATGCTTCTGTTGGCATTCCAGACCATCTGCGTGGTTCGCGAGTTGCATGACAAACATGCCGACTCGTCCAGAGGACCCAGACTACATATTTACCCTTGATAGAACTGGTCGGTGAACAACTACTGGGAGCGGCAAAAAGGGCGGGAGTTGATCGAAGAACTGTATTTCCGTATGAAGTTTTTCGGTCACGTGCAAACCGGGCAAATCCTGTACATGGAGGCGCCGCAGGGTTTCGAGTTGCACACGCTAGACGCGGAAATGAACGCGCCGGTGAACCAGCTAGAGCACGGGGTCCAACCCTGTTTCGGGTTTTCCTACACCGGGCAGTACCCGTTCTTCTACACGACGCCCGATCCGATCTGCGGCTGCTACGAGCGGAACCTACAGACGGAAGAGCCGTTGAGCTATTTGCGGAACTACGACGACGTTCGGTCGACAACGACCACAACGCCGCCGCCGGTGAACGCCAACGAGTGCCCGCGCATCGAGTCGAAAACGGGCCGGGTGCGGCAGTGCTTTATGCGGATCAATGTTTTCGAGCGAAACCCCGCAGTGTGGCAGGCAGCGCTAAATGACCCGGACCGGGCGGTGATCCAGTTCCGGTTAAAGACCTACAACCCGGAAGAGACGCCGTTTGTGACCCGGAATTTCTGGAATATCTGGCAGTACGAGCCGAGTGACCTCTTCCTGCGATCCAGGTTGGACGCATTCCGGAAGGACGTGACGGACGGGCGGGTTACGGAAAACCACATCTTTCTCCCCGGCGACGCGCCGCGGGTGTTTCAAGACGCGGCGGAGTCCAGCAGGATTTTGAGAAAAGCTGGTGCAGTGTCGGGGGAACAAAGCACTGGTGATATTACTGGTTCTACGGCTACTACTTCTACTCTTGAGAAGTGCGGAAGGTCTGGCGGTTGCGGCGCTTCGACGGAAGGAAACAACTTTGGGTCGGATGATTCCGTTGACCTGCCAAGTGATGTAGCGTTTCAGACATCCTCTACCCTTTTCGACGAGAACATGCTGACTTCCCTGCGGCAGGGGAAGCGAAAGACGCTCGGCACTTGTGATGAGAACGAGATCTTCGCGGAAGATAGTAAGACCGATAATGTCAAGACCGCGACCAACATGTTGAGAAAGAAAAAGAACCCGTTCAAAATTTGGCCGTCCGAAAACACGAGGACGCATGTCGTTCGGGAAAGACCAAACGAGTCTGATAGCAGGAAATTTTCTCAAGTAGGAGAGGACTCCAACGTGGATACGAAGAAGAAGCGAAAGCTGCAGGTTTTCACCCCGCGATACCAGTCGTCGGGCGAAGCGGCAGATTTGATCCTAGTTCCCTACCAGAACGACGGACAGCCGGACAACGGGGTGTCGCCGCAGCGGTTCAGCATTTACGACGACAATTGGCTCCTGATGAAGCCGCGCCTGAACACCGCCGAGATGGTCCCGCCGCTCCATCAGCTCGTCGTCGAGTCTATCTACCGAGCCTACCGCGCGACCGGCGCGACCGCCGCGGGCACCACGCAGGATGCGATTTCCAACAGCAACGAGTGGCAGCTGCTCGTCACCGATGGCTACCTGGGAATTCAGTCGAGTTCGGTCTACCCCTCCTGGGAAATTCGCTCGCAACTCATCCAGCCGCACTTTGCGAACGTGGGGATCGCGGCCCGCACCGGGGCGCTCACGGATTTGTTGCTGCAGTTCACACCCTTACACGAGGCGAACGTTTGCGTGGTGCGGATCCGGGAGCCGAAGGAGTTTTCGTTCAACAAAACGACCGCGTACATGAACGTGACCAAGGTGCCCGTGTTGGTGGAGAAAAAGAAGGAAGAAGTGCTGATCGAACTCGACCAGGAGCGGAACCGCATGAACCAGTTCGGGAAGAAATTGACCGCGGTCCAGCACCAGCGGCTGAGCGACAAAACGTTCCACCTGGCGTACCACAGTATGTTCACGTATCACCAGGTCCCGCTCGACCAGCAGAACCCAAGGTCGCCCTCTTACATCGCGGAGAACTACTTCTTGGAGCCCACCTTGAAATACAACAGGACGAATCTCGCGCCGACCGTGTTCTACCCGTTGTTCTACGAGAGGCGGAACGTCAGCAACACGTTCCAGCCCATGCAGAACGAGGAGCAGTGGATCCCGCTGCCGCATCACTACGACAGCCGGCTGGCGCCGTCCCAGTTGATCCTTGTCAACTGCAGCCTCTGTCCGCAGCAGCGAACGCAGATTTTGCTGAAGAACGCGACAACGGGGAATTACACCGAGGGGATGCGGGTTTCCTTGATCAGTTACTTCTACCATCCACAGCGGACCGACCAAGATTTTTACCAGTACGTCACCGGGTACAGCGAGGGCTTGGACGAGATGCTGGACTACTATCCACAGCGAATCATATTTGTAAACCCTCGTTCCCCCCAACATCCAATTTGTTATGCGCAACCGATGAAGGAAATGGATATTTTTGTCATGCAAAAATGGATCGGGAACGAAGTAGATGACGAGAATACTTTTACTGTGGATACTTGCACGCAAGAAACCATGACGGCTTTTGAGCGCCCGGGTAGGGCGCCGCTGATGGACATGAAGAACGAAGTCGCCGTTGCGGGATACGTGCACGTGAAGGGGATCCCGATTCTGCTGGGCGAGGACACGGTCCGGTGCGCGGAGGGGGTGGTGGGGGAGCTTCCCCCCGGGGCGCTCGCGTATCCTGTGCAAAAGTATCGTACTCGTATGAATTGCAGGCATGCATGACAAATCTGGTTTCCTACCTAAATCTGCATTACAAATTCCAACTTTCTTCCTGATGAAATTTGTCATGCAATTTATACTAGTACGATACTTTTGCAATGCATATCGCGAACACGACGACCACCACCACGTCCACCACCTTCTTGGACGTCCCGGAGGGCGCGGATCCGGTGGAGTACCAGGTGGCGCAGGAAAGGCTAGCTTTGTCCGGGGAAGCGCTGTTGGACTACTACGCGCGGTCGTCGTATCAGATCATCACGCAGTACCAGGAGCTGGACCGGATCCGGTCGCTTCAAAACGACCCCTTCCGCGTGCGGACCCTGCCGGACGGCACGCGGTTGGGCGGGTACAACAACGCCAACACGAGGTTCTCGCCCAAAACCCCCTCCCACCAGTGTGACAGCATGCTGAAGTTGTTTGAACCCCAACTGTACGAGCCCAGCCGGATGACCTTCGTCACCCGCTTCCAGAGGCAGCTCTACTCCGGGGGGCGGATCCGAGTTCAGTCGGTGGAGGACATGGGGCAATTCGTGCCGGATCCGATTGCGCGGGACGATATCTTTTACCAGGAGCAGTTGGAAAAGAACAACGAGCCCTGGGAACTTCTGTACACCTATCCGTACCAGCCGAAAGTGTTCCGGTGCCGCCCGACCACGAACATGCAGTTTGACGACCGCGACCAGTACGACGCGTGGAAGGCGCAGACCGACCCCGACAAGCTCTGCCCGCCGGAGTTGCGGCAGGAGCACGTGATCCTGAAAACCGCGGAAACCTCGCACACCGCGGACCGCTTGGTGGAGCGGGTGGAGACCACCCCGAGCTACGGCTTCGCGAGCCGGAAAACGATGAGCCGGCGGCGGCGGAGCATTGATCTGACCATGCTGAACGTGCAGGAGACAAGGGCGACGTACACCGGCACCGACATAAAGCTCCTGGTCGGAACGGCGGAGCAGCGGGATTTTGACATCAAGCCCCAGTTCAACTTCGACACCTCCGGGGGGATCCCCGTCGGGCTGGAGGTCACAGCCGTCGCCTTAGTGGAAGACCCGCTGCTCGCGAACCCCGCGCAGCGCGCCGGCGTGCAGCCGCACCGGGACAGGCTGGTGTCCATGATCTCCGCCTCCGGCATGCACCACGTTTTGGCGAAGTCGGTGCTCACCCCGGACACGATCGAGAACCACGCGGTGTCGCTGCAGCAACTGTTCGACGGCGTGATTTACCCGATTACGCTGATTTTCTGGGGCGAGCGAAACGTTTTGAAGGACGAGAAGCAAGTCTCGGAGTTAGCAGAGACCTTCATCGACCCGACGACGGGGCAATCGGTCAAGATCTGGGACACGGACATGGAGATCGACGATTACATCGTGTTTCAGCTCTGGGTCATGCCGGGGAAGTTCGACAGCTACCTGCGGATCGAGTCGGAGCTGTACAACAACACGCGGAGTACTTTCATGCTGTCCACGACGAACGACGCCAGCTATTACATGAATGCGACGGAAATGAAGCTCACCTACCCGCTGCCGACAGAAATCGTCGCGGGCAGGAAGATGGGCGAGCGCGCGCCGCCGATGAGCGTCGTGCCGCTGGAAATATCCGTGTCGTTGTACAACACGGACCGAAACTATCAGAGTGCACAACTCCCTCTCCGTTTCATTTGTGCTGCAAAAATGTTCAACTTCAGCTCTTGCCTTGTGGCATTTCATGAGATGACAAACTGGAGTACTCAGACAGTACAACAGTCCGCGCCTGGGCATGTCATGCAGCCCCTGTCACTGTCTCTTTTTCTGGTCATGCCATGCAAATTGATGGGGAGAGGGACGAGTTGTGCACTCTGATAGAGGCCAGTACTTTGAAAACGACTTCCTTTCCGGGAATCGAACCTGGATTGACATTTTGAAGCCGCCACTGTACGACGACATGCGGCTTTGGAATCGGATGGTGATGAAGCTCATCTTCGGGGACGAAATTTTTATCACGATCACCAACAACGAGATGACGACGAACATCATCATATCACAGCAAAATAATTAGAGTGTGAACGTTATGAATGCATGTAGAAAGACAGGGAGTGCATGCAACTTGTATTGCACAGCATTATTGCTAGGCAAAGTCTGTCATGCGTGACTGCAATATCATATTTTTAACGCGTTTACATCATTTCTCTAGAAGTTGATACCTCACCGATTTCGTCGTGAAAGAAGTGATGCTGAAGAACGTCTGGCTGCAGAACAACCTCCTGCTCGATGAGTACTACCCGATGACGGACTATCTTTCTGACGAAAACAAGGCGTGGATCGTGCAGCAGCTGAACGCGGGATCGGGCGTCGCGTCCGGCGCGATCATGTCCGACACCGGGGGCAGCGGCGGGGGCTCGGGGACAGTTTATTCTCCCTTTGGGCAGATCGTGGTGCAGAACACGACCACCCTCCCTCCGTACAACTACACCTGCCAGCCGCACATCTGGGCGCACGTGCTCCAGGTGTGCGACGCGGAGTGCCGGGCGCTGGTGTCCGGCATGCGCGACACGGCCGGGAAAAAGCCGCCGTTGGCCGCCCCGTACCGAAACTGCGACAACTACTGCAAGGCGCAGCAGGGGGGCTACGAGTGCACGCTGGCGGCGGAGGAGCGGGCGGACCCGAACACCGGACTGCCCAGCTGCAACATCCAGGGGGAGTACAGCTGCGACTTCGACTTCTCGCTCTACACGGACGACGTCATTTGCCAGTGCCGCCCGACGACCACCACCACGACCACGCCGCCCCCGCCGCCACACCCGGTGCCGAAAGTGGTGGTCACGCACATGGACTTCATTTTGCCGAAGGACTACCGGTTCTACGGCACGGTGATCAGCAAGTTCGTCGGGACGGGGGGCATGCGGAATTGGGGCAGCATGCTTTTTCCCTACGAACCGGACGCGAACCCGCCGTTGTTCCCCCCGCCGATGCCCATCCAGAAAACCATCAACACGCCCCCGGAAAACCCGGAAGACAACCGGTGGTTCGTCCGCACGAGAAGAATGTGGAACGAGTTCGTCGTGACCAGCGTGAACCCGAATACGCAGGTGCAGACCGGGGAATACCAGCTCATGTCCCTCGTGACCGGGTGGGGCGTGGTCCACGGCTTCCCCCTGGCCGAACTGTCCAGAACCTCCGTGGTGTACCCGGTGCTCCCCAACCTAGTGGACGCGGACGTGCACGCGGGCTTCGAGCTGGCGTACCGCGTTGTCACCTTCGCGCACTCGTTAATAATCTCCGCACCGCGCGGGTTCCTCCTCCAGTGCGCCCCCCCTTCGGTGCCCTCCCCCCAGGCGCAAACGTGCACCACGGACAGCTCGGGCGTGGAAAACTGCCAGTCGGACTACCGCTGCAACACGTGCATCGACATCGTGCGGTCGCGCCTGCTCTTCGCCAAGGACGCAGAAACGGACAACACGGGCTTCAACCTGGCGCCCGGCGCGGCAAACTCAGCGAACGGGCTGATCACGGATCCAATCCTGGCGTTGTTCGGCCAGGCACTGCAGAGCAACACGGACCCCGACACGGGGGAGTGCTACGACCCGTTCACCATGTTCACGACCCAGGAGGCCCTGGACGAGAACTTCGGGCAGTTTGCGTTTTACGTGAACATGAGCGTAAAGGGGCTGATTCTCTCCCAGCAGCAGATTGGCGACGTGGAGCTGCTCGACAAGGCTGTTCCCTTTTCGTTTTTCTTGAAACTGCGAACCAGTTCCGACACGCGAACCGCACTGGAGATCCGGGACGACCAGATGCAGTCTTTGGATCCGAACAATCTATCAACTACAAATATGTTTGGGTCTGGAAACCCGTGATGCTGAATGGAGCACGATTGAAGAGCTTGCAATGGCAGCCAAGCATGACAAGTTTTTGAGAAGCCTGCTGATGCCTAGCACGCCTCACAAATTGCGTCTTCGAAGGAACAAGGCCAGCTTTCGCTGCTCTGGCAACGCAGGTTTTCCAATTCCAGGAATGCAAGACACGCATCACAAGTTCGACTGTTTCATCCCAGACACATTTGTAATCCATAAAACCCGGACACGTACAACGGGGAATGGGACTTCAGAATACACGATTTGGACAACATCACGGTTGACGCCAAATTTGATATCCCCAACCCGCACTTTGTCACCGGGTTGCCCATGGAGGCGCCGAAGCTGAAGATGCAGTTTCCCGTATCCTGAGTAAAAACGTACCCACACCAGAGTCAAGATGGGGAATCGGCTAGACAATTCCACAAGTTTTGGCTGTTTTGCATGACAAATTTGGATTCGTAGTGTAGTGCTGTTTGAGCTAGCTCAGCAGCATCACAGATCTAGCATACCATGCTGATTGAAGCATGACAAATTGCAAAGCACGACTAGAAAATGCTTCTCATGGAGCTCCGCATGAGAAACATTTTCAGCATGCAGATTTGCATTACAACTCTGGCGTGGGTACGTTTTTACTCAGGATATCCCGAGTTCAACGTACGTGACGCTGGGAGCTGGGACAAGTATCAAATGTAAAAATGTCTGGGTCTGGAAGATTCTGAGATTTGTCATGCATGTTTTGCATGAGCCCTGACGTCTGTGATGCATGCCCTAGCATCACAGTTTTTTTGAGAGTTTCTTGATGCCTATTCCGCATGACAAATGCCCTCTCCGCGTACCTGTAGGACGTGGAACGGGTGTGGTACCTGTAGGACGTGGAACGGGTGTCCACCTAGGGGTATTGGCAGAGGCTAAATCTGTTCTAACGCCACGGCATTGGCAGAGGCTAAATCTGTTCTAACGCCACCCTGACAGGAGTCAAATGTCAAAACGATGCGATACGATACGCGTAGCAAAAATTACATTCCTTTTGGTACTCGTGCAATACAGATTTTTCTGGAATCCAAATTCAGCATCACAGGTTGCATTCTTCCAGACCCAGACATTTTTACATTTGATAACAAGTGGAAGTCGACGATTACGGTCAGCTTCGCCACCCGCAACCCAATTTATTTCATCGACGAGACGAGCCGATTCAAGGCGATTCTGATCGTGTTGCCCCAGATGTTTGAGCACAACATCCAGGAGCCCTCGGAATTCATATGCATTTTTGCAAATTTTCCGTCTCGGTCCTCTGGATTTGTGTGGTGCGAGATTTGAAGGCCAACAAGATCATCTGTGATGCGTGAACATTGGCAGGAGCAATGGCCAGCTTTATTTTTGTCGCGCTGGGCCATTGAGATTGAAGTTTGTTAATCGTATTCGTCACTCTACCCACGAATGAACTTCGAAGCTAAACTTATCGCGCTCTTGTGCCCCGCCCGTGCAGGGCAGGGCTGCATCTGGCATGCAAGCACAACTTCTATGACAGGTTGCCTATGAAGATGTATCCATCTGTCCGGACCGAGACATGTTTGCATTCCATAGTTCAAGTCGCTGAACCAAAAGTTCCCGACCGCCATGAATCAAGAGTGGCGGCAGTACCGGGCGAGCAAGCGGTATGTCGTGGTGTTGATTGAGGCCATTGGGATCGAGGAGCTGAAACTAGATGTGGACACTTATTCGTGGCAGTTTCCCATCAAGGTATTATACTACTCGTTTAGTTTTTTTCAGTAGAATTTGAAGTGCACATAATTTTTGTTTTCAGCGCTGGCTGGTGGTCCTGTGTCTGTGGACAAGCTTTATTTGTGCTGTCACTGCGCGCATGCGAGCACCCGCTCGCGGAGTAGAGTAAGTAACTCGCCTCTAGTTCTTCGGCGGCATAATTGCGGGCTTCAGGTCGTATAAAGTATTTCTGTATTGTCGATGGAAGAAGTGTAAACAAAAAGCACACTCCTCCGTCAGGTTCCCTCGCGTCTTTGGCCGATAGACACGACCTTCCAGCTGATTCTTTTATCAAATGTAAAAATGTCTGGGTCTGGAAGAATCCAACTTGTCATGCTGATTTTGGATTCTAAAAAAATCTGTATTGCATGAGCAGCAAAGAGAGTCTAAGTTTTGCTACACAGCAAGAGCATTTGTCATGCGGTATAGGCATCAGGAAGCCCTCACAAAATCTGTGATGCTAGGGCATGCATCACAGACATCAGGAGTCATGCAAAATGTGCATGACAAACCTGGCAATCTTCCAGACCCAGACATTTTTACATTTGATATCTTTGCCGCAACTACAATCCCTGCGGATGGCCCATGCCCGCCGAAGATTACGTGGTCAGGTTTCCCATCTACGGCCCGTCCCGCGAAGAATACCTCCGCCTGATTGATCTAGACGACACGGTGTATTACCGGGGGGCTGCAGCGGGAAAACTATCCGGGAGATCGTCCGTCTCGGTGACGACCATGCTGGCAAGCCTGTTTGCGGTCTGGTGTCTATTCACATCAATAGGCACTGTCTCGGGGCGGGACGGAGAGAGGAGAAAAAAATGGCTCATATGAGAGATAAAGGCCGGGCTGGTAGAAGTAGTTGCTCAGATGGCTCGTTCCCCGCAGAGCGACACTGTAACCGGTTAAATCCAGTACCTTTTCTTTTCCAAGATGCAACTACAAAAACTGCTCGCATACAGTTTTCTTTTCCATTCGTTACTACGAGATGCAGATGTAGATGACTTCGATCACCAGTCTAAAATTCAAAATAATCTTATTCCAACTCCAAGAAACTACGACTAGTCTTTCTTTTTTTCACAAAAACACGTTAATTATTGCATTAATACTTCGTTCATGTTTTGCTTTTCATCGCAGAGCTTCAGCCAGATTGATTTTTCCAATAAATTTGCAACAAAAGAGAGATGGCGATGGGACTTGCAGAGGAACTTCGGCCCAAAGAGCGGTAAAACCTGCTGCGAGGCTTCGTAGTTCTTCCTGCAACTACATCCTTATCTGCTCGGGTTTTCTTTTCAACAGTTTATTTCAACACTCGCTCTCGTTTTTCTTTGGTTTTTATTGCTTTGGGTCTCGCCCTAGAAAAAATCCAATCCATTTTAATTCAAAGTTGTTACACAAGGACTGCTGGTCCTGGTGCGGCAGTAGCACCGTGGCGAGGGAGCAGATAGTCTTCTATTCGGGGAAGAATCAGAATAAAAGATGTTGCAAAAACTCGAGGACGGACAAAAAGAACACCAGACACGCATTCGGTGGTCGCTTTCAGGAGTAAGAAACATTGCGCGGGCGTGGCCGTCTTCGGCACACGAGCAAGATGCTCTGTTCAGACAAAAGGTAGTTGTTTTCGCATTTCCATCGTGCCTCGGTCTGCTTTTATTGCTACGGCGAGTAGTATCTTTGTACTGACGACCCGTACAACAGACTCGCCACTGAGTAAACGGTACATCGTGGGTAATGAAAGTCTGAGCAGTGAGCGGCTTGTCCGAGCGGAGAAATGCCTGAACCAATCGGAAATCTGGCGGGACGATAGGGCAGTATCCAGGACATTAACAAGTACTTCAGAATTAGAATGGAAGGCGCAACATCAAGTACTGCAGTGGCGGGGACAGTGCTTCCAGCTACAGATCAGCCGGCGACTGAGCCTGGTGTCGCGGATGCAGCAACCTCTAAGGTAGACGAAGCAGGGGGACACCAACAAGAGCAGCAGGCAGCAGCCACCGCCTCCTCCAAAGCGGCGGAAGTTCAGCCTACCGCAACCGAGCAAAGTAAAGATGCAGCCAAGACAACTATCAAATCACAGCAAAAATGTGTCTGGGTCTGGAATGAATTTGTTTTTGTGTTCGCCAAAAGCTTGCATGATCGCAGAGTGGCCGCTTGTACTGCGTAGCAGCATCAGAAATTTTGCGAGACATGCTATTTTTGCAGGTTTATCGGTAAAACGCATGGCAAATGGGTTTCCAGCACGACAAAACAACTGGCCAATCGTTGTATTCGTGCATTACGGATCTTGATGTTGTCCTCCTCCTTCAGGTCTCGCATCACAAATCCAGACCCATACACATTTTTTGCAATGCATGACCGCTTATCAAATGCAAATATGTCTGGGTCTGGAAGATTGCCAGGTTTGTCATGCATATTTTGCATAACCCGTTATGCCTGTAATGCATGACCTAGCATCACAGATTTTTAAAGGGCCTTCTTATGCGTATTCCGCGTGAGAAATGCCCACTCCGTGTAGCACAAACTGAACTCCTCTTGCTGGTCATGCCATACAGACGGTTTTCGCTTCCAAAGACAGCATCACAAGTTGCAACCTTCCAGACCCAGACATATTTGCATTCCATACCGCTGCGGACGGACGAAAAATCTACGACGCAGATGAGCTGGAATCGTACGTGCGCGAGAATTATCCACTGCAAATTTATTTCGCTGGGGTTTGAAAAATTCGAGCTTGTCATGCTCTTTCTCACGCGCAGAAAAAGTCGGAACGCGTGAGCAGCGTCCGCTGTCAGTCGCATCCACTTTTGGAACATTGGCCACACTACGAAGAGAGGACTTCGCATGCAGAGTAGGCATATTTGCAGAGCTTCTCTTGGCGGGGTGGAAACTGCAATGCTTGCTCGACTCGGGATTTCGCACCCTGTACTTGGCTACGCAAAACGTGCATGACGAACTTCGGCACTTACTTACTTATGTTCCCGACCCAGACATACTCATTTTCAATCCATAAGAAGACGCGAATCGCGGCGGAAAAGGGGCAAAAGAACGCGATTGCCACCGTGAAGGAGGAAAAGGGAGCCGAGGGCGCGCTGGAGCGGTCCCTGATGGACGGGGACCAATTTCAGACCGAGATCGCGGTATCGTGAGAAAAAACTGTTTCACTGTGATGATTTTGCAAGATCTGCATCACAAGTTTGCTACACATGACACGAAAAATTTGCAATGCGCGCTTTCCAATGGGAAACACACGCAAAAATGCAATGTGTTGCAGATGTAGCAAGACAAGTCATTCTGTGTTCCATTCTATGCATCACAAGTTCACAGTGAAACAGTTTTTTCTTGCGATACGCGGAGAAGGGAGTACAATATCAGACATAGATAAACGCTGGCATGGCATATGATTTGTAGTGCAGAAATGAATTTTCAAGCGAAAAAATTGGCGAGCTCATAGCATGCTGTTTCAAGTACCATGCAGGAGATGAGATCATTTTTTTGCGTCTTTTTTGTGCTTGCACGTACAATTTTGATTGCCGGCTGTCGCTTTTTTCTGTGTGATATCCAACCCGAGTCGTTCAAGACGGTATGCATTGCAAATGACGAGCGGTCTGTGTCTGGAACAATGGAAACCATGTGTTGTTTGACGTGGAACAATGCAAACCAACTTTATAACTGCGTGGTGCACGACGGTCCACCCCAAAAAAGTCGTCTTTTTTCTTATCAGTACTTACAAAAACTACGCGAATTCGCCATGCATAAGTAGTAGACGCAACTAGACCCAATTGCCTGGGAAAAAGTTCTCGTGCCTGGCTGGGCATTGCATTTGCAAAGTGCCTTCACGTAGTTCTTTCTGAATTTAGCATTGCAAGAACGGTGGTCTCCAGAGATGAACCCAGACTCGATATATTTGCAGTTGACAGACGGGGCGGTGGTACAAGTTTCTGAACTTTTCCGGGACCTGCTACGTGTACGTGCACAACCTGACGCGCGACATCACCGCGGTGCGCCCGGAAAATTTTACCGAGCCTACTGCGGAGGAGCTGGTATGGATTGCAAAAATGTCTGGGTCTGGAAAGTTGGAACTTGTGATGCTGCATTTGGATGACAAAAAAATCTGTATTGCATGAGCAGCAACAGGAGTCTAGTTTTTGCTACGCGGAGAGGGCATTCGTCATGCGGACTAGGCATCAAGAATCCCTCAAACAACCTGTGATGCTAGGGCATGCATCACAGACATCATAGCTCATTCAAACCGTGCGTGACAAGGCTCGGAACCTTCCAGACCCAGACATTTTTGCAATCCATAGCTGGAGCAGGAGCGCAAGAAGTATTGAAAGGAAAAACTCCCCCTCCCTATATTGAAAAGGTATGTTTCCGAAAATTAGTCTTGCTGATTTGAGGTCACAAATCACATTTGTCTTGCAAGAAGACAAGGGCAGAAGCTTCCGCCCCATTATGGAAGCGATTTGTCATGCTCTTGGGCCTAAAGGGGAGCCGTTTGCCATGCTGAACAACTAGACCAGGACGCCCCTACTTAGCATGGGGGTCTGACCGGAATGCCTCTCTGCAATACCGTACACAAATCCAGCATCAGAAGTTCCGTTTTGATATGGGGAGGGGGGATTTTTCCTTTCGATAAGAAGGGGTTGCCGCTCACGCTGGTGATCCCGGCCGAGCTGGACAAGATCGGGAGCCGAAAGAAAATCCCCCTGGTGTTATCAAAAGGAAAAATCCCCCCTCCCCATATCGAAAACGAAATTTGTGTTGCTGTATTTGAGTACACAAATCGAGTTGTATTGCTAGAAGGCCAAGAGACGCAGTCGTGGCCTCGTTTGTAGGCAATTTGCCATGCTGTTTCCCACTTCCACCTGCCTCCTGTCATATTGTAGCTGCAAGGCTTTTCCACGCCATACAGCACTACAGTCCGCACTTTTTCCCTTCCAGCATGACAACATGATTTGTGAACACAAATCCCGCATCACAGACTTCCATTTTGATATGGGGAGGGGGGATTTTTCATTTTGATAGGTGTTTTGCACGGAAGAGACGCAGGAAAAGATTCGCACCTTTATGAGCTACGGGCGCGGGCACGTGGTGGAAACCGGGATGCTGAAAAGAATTTCGGAATTCGGGATGGAGCACGCGATATCAAATGCAAATATGTCTGGGTCTGGGTGCAGACATTTGTGATGCAGTTTTTGCCTAGCCCAGATCTTCTGGCATGCAAGCCCTAGCATCGCAGATTCCGAGCAGGTACTTATCCCAATGCCTAATCCGCATGACATTTTCTGTAGACAGGAAGTGGGGCCGTTTGCTGACCATGCATGACAGATTTTGCCGTGATGTAGAATTCGCATCACGAATTCGAATCCACCCAGACCCCGACATATTTGCAACGCATATGCGAGAAAGGCCATCGTGAACGCGATGCGATACGGCATGTATTTGGTCATAGAAATCCCCCTTCACATCTGCGACTTCCGGGACAAGGTATGCATTCGCAAGTGGGAGGGCTACTTTCCGTACGCACAGCAAACAAGCTTAGTTACTTATGCCCCCGCGGGTGGTCTTCGTGAAGTTTCTTTTAGCGCATGAAACAGAGGGAGACGCTCAGGAGCTTGTGCACGACATTTCGCAAACAAAATAATGCCTGAGTCGAGCATTGCTAATTGAAATTTTTGCATGACGAAGGCACAGACGGCGCGGGGGCATAATTGTATTGCATAATGCGATCGAGCTGTTCACCTTTAAGGGCTGCGACGACAATAATCCTGTGTTATCCAAGACAAGAAATATTCTATTATGTCGGTATTATGTTATGACACGTGCAACATGGTTGGGCATCAAGGTCCTACATCTAGGCTGTACAGTTGGGAAATGTCCTACTAGGCTGTATAAGTGTTTTGTTCGCGCATGGAAACAAGCCATTGCTGCAAAGAGCAAGAAACTTGCGCTACACGACAACTGCTTTTTTTTTGCTTGGATACTTGAAAAAGAAGATTTACCGGCCCGAATATCGAATGCAAATAAGTACTTACTTTCATGTCTGGGTCTGGAAAGTTGTGCTGCAAGTCTGTGAGGGACACGCAGGAGCTCCTCCATCCATATACAATTCCGATTCATGTCGGACAAGCATGACAAATGCAAATCTCGCAATCGTCCAGGCCCAGACAGAGACATTTTTTTTTTTCTGTGCACACCAAGGACATTGAGGCCAACCAGTACGTCGTTCGCAAGGGCTTTCAGGTTCTGCTTACCCTCTGCTACGACAGCCAGAACTACCAAATGAGTTCCATGCGGATGGACGAGTGTCGCACAAAAATATACGGAGCGCAAATGATAGCATTAGTGTTGGGAAGTGATCTTCCAGCGTGCTGCTAGTCCCCAAAGAAAAACCCACCTGTAGTCGCTTGCCTTTGCCTAGTCTTGTTGTGATGCAAGGCCGCACGGGGTTCTTGCATGCTTTCGGTATAATACTTCAGATGCAGGACAAGACCGCGGCGCGCGGCAAATCCACGTCGTATGCTGCGACGTGTTTTCTTGGGGCTAGCAACAATCTCGAATATCACACAAATCTTTTCCACTCTATCAAATACCGAACTTCGAACTGATGGAGGTCAGTCGGTGCCGCGGTTGAGCGAGAATATTTTTTTACACCGATGAGAATCTGCTCCAACATGAAGTAGAGCCACTCTATTCCATCCTGGATGACACACAGAACCAACTCCAACTACGCCATGCTATCACTGGATCATTGCAATTTTTATTTTTTTTCTGCCACAATCAGAGAATCACACGCCACATCTCCGAGCAAAAAATGACTTCGAGAAAGAAAACCTGACACAGATCCAAAGAAAAGAAATGACTCTGACGACAGGACCAATTTTTTTTTTCAAAAAGGTAAGAAAATCGACTATCCTGTTTTCCTGCATGCACTATCTACGTCAAATTTGAAATCCAAGACTAAGAAAATCAAATTGATTGAATTCGATGATATCATATCATTTGTCATCAAAATATCTGTCTGATATGAGGAAAAGATATTTCTTTCTTTGCATGTCAGGATGTGGTTTCAAATTCAAAGATGGAAGTTGGATTATAAAATGTGTATCAATCTTATATCTCCTCTGGTCTTTCTATCGATCACCACATATTTCTATTAAATAATAATTTCCGATTGCATCATCTCTGAAGAAATTCTTTTCTTCTTTTCGTTAATTTTTCTTTGTTTCATATTATTTGGGATTCTTCATGTGGTTCTCTCCTATTTTCTTTGTTTCAAATTAGGATTCTTCATGTGATTTCTTCATTATCATAACAAACAAGAGATATTCGTTTGTTTATTCTTATTGGATACATGGAATCTGGGTGAAGATTTTCTTCTCTCATGTATTTATAACGCTCTTTGAAAAAAAATTCATAACAAGAGATCATTCGATCATTCATGAAAGATATCTGAGAATCTTTTAGCTTCATCTTGTGAGATCACATATCATACTAGCCTTGGCCTCCGTGTAACGAACTTAACACTAGGAGCTCGCATCACGTAGCTAACTCTTCCTGGTGTAACAAGACCGCCCCACAACAAAAGCCCCTAGCTAGGGAGCGGGGCGGGGGAAGATTGGGGGGCGGGCCCCCCTGCGTTCCGCCTAGCGGGCGGGAGGGTGCGAAGCGGGGGACCCCTGTGTTACCGCAGGGGCGAGTGGAGCGGGCCCTCTGCCTAACCACGAAGAGGGGCGGGGGCCCCCTGCGTTCGTGGCCTGCGCCCGCAAGAGCGGGGGGTGGTGGCCCCCTGCTCCCTCTCCCTCTAGCGGGTGGGTGGGTGCGAAGGGGGGGCCCCCTGCCTTCCAAGCGGGCGACCGAACGGGGGGGGCCCCCCGGCGGGTGGAGGAGCAGGGCCGGCGGGAGGGAGTTGGGGGGCGGGGGCCCCCTGTGTTCCTTGGCGCGGCTGAGAGGGTGCGAAGCTGGGGCCCCCTGCGCCACCACGGACGGGGTTTCTTGGGGGCCCCTTCCTCGCCATGGAGAGGGGCGGGGCGGGGGGGCCCCCTGTGTTCGCGGCCTTGCTTTTGCGGCAAAGCTTTGGGATGGGGGCCGCCTGTGTTCCCCCTAGCTTGCCAGCAGGCGGAAGGGCGTGAAGCGGGGGCCCCCTGCCTTCCCTTGCGGGCGACCGACGG